TTAATCCATAAGAGGTATACGAGAGGAGTACCTTTTCTTTCAAAAAAATGGTATATAAAAAGTTAAGGGATTGGATCCTGTGGCGGAGCGGAACCTCCCGTTATAAAACTTAGCCCCCCCCCGGGTTACACAAGTACATAGAAGTTGCTCTTTCCGGCTTAAGGGACCCTTGTCTTGCCAGCGATAACTAAATCAGAAAGAAACCGGTACGGAGCGCGGGAAAACGCTTGCGACCAAGTCACGGCTGGAATGGGGCAAAGCTTTAATAAGCCAATCACATGGCAACCAAGAAAAAAAAGCAGATTTTTTTTGTAGAAATTCATCTGGAAAACCCACTACAGAAGCCATTTCTCGAATAAGCAGCGGCAGTCTGCTCACCTATTAGGGTAAGGTTTATTGACTCCAGCGATGTTTATCGCATCACATTTGATGTACAGGAAACTAGTTAGAATAAGACTTATTAACGCAGCTATAAAACACATCTTGGCAGCACCTGACAGGCTTAAGTTCAATCGCTTGTTGATGTAAGCTCCTAAAAAAGCAATAAATATGCGTATTTCAAATGGAAGTCTTCACTTTCAATCATGAGTTTGTCACTGGCTTAAACAAAACTATAATTTGGAAGAGGGATTTTTTGCGTGAACTTTACGCAATCATGTATAAGCAGGAAGAGATAGGGGAGTGTTATCGCTTTGTCTTGCATTATACTCCCCCTTTGTGGCGAAGCGTCAATTGTCCCTGCTCCTTGAATTAAAGAAAATGACTTAAAATCACCCAGCGACAAATGAAATGGGAAAGCCGTTCATGCTGATTTATCTTGCCGCAGGCTCTGTTGCGGTCGTGGAGGCTATGGCAAAGACAAAAAGCGAGAAAGAGAAAGCAAACGGGAGAGGAAGAAGCGGCAAAAAGAAAAAGGAATAGTTGCCAGGTCCCCCCTTCTCTCTACATCACGCTCTCAGGCTAGACGAAAGTCCCCAGTCTCAATTTATTGCCAAAATAATGGGTACTTCGCTTACATTTCTCCAAACAACGTGACTTTCGTTTATGATTTTTCATTGCTGAAGAAAAAATGGACTGTGTTGCGGACAGTATATCATACAATTGCTGGTTTGCACGTGACGTCACACGGCAGCTATGTTGGTGGTCAAGAACAAAAGCATTTCTCTCCTCTGGAAACTTAACTCTATTTTCATGTAAATTCTTCGAGAAAAAATACTATTGTATTGACCCCCAACATGGCCGCCTTATCATGTAGTTGCAAACCAAGAATATATTTAAGTCCCATTCACTCTGATCGACTTACCAAGCATATTGCCAAATAAGGCTACAGACATGGTTACTAAGCCAAACAACAACGCAGCGCGGCCAGCAGGTACGTAATATTGCGACTCGAGTATTTTTGGTCCAAACGCAGCAATGGAAGTAGCGATTAAACTTTCCGTGCATCCACCTATGGTAATAAAGACAAACGGGAGACGAGAAAAAACCAGTTTCGTAGCTTTTGGAAAGTCTAAGAGCCTGGTGTACGATTCCGCAGCATCAGTGGTTACAAGCTGAAAAAAGACCAAGGGCATGTCATTGACATTGAAATGGTTTCATCAGTTGAGTTGATAATGTATAGAGCGTTTTCTCACGACGTCGCGGCGGCCATACATCGGTGTTTGAAAACAATGAAACGGTTGTCATGTTGTTGTTGGTGTCGCAAACCAATCCTGTCAGTGATCCTGTGGCCCGGGGGGGGGGGTACTTTAGGAATTTCTGGGTGGGGATGTGCCGCTGGGACCCTGGAACCCTTAACCTATACCAGAGCTAGTTCAGCTGAATTTTGCTACCCTATACTAGAGTAAATTCCCCAAATTCCCCTATCCTAGAGTAGCTGTTTACCTTGTCTAGACAAAATCTTCAACCAACTGATCAGTTTGGGTCCTGTGGGAGGTGAACTGTTTTTTGTTCCAATAAATTTGCATAGTTCCTGGCCACGTGAGTGAAAACGCTACATAGTGGTCGAAATGAAGAGAACCAACCCTTTATCAGAACGACGAACAGCTGGTAACAAATGGTGATGATATTTTTCTCGTTATGAATATTAACTTACAAATTGTTTCACAGTTTTGGTACCGCAGTCAAAAAGGCTTGGTGACCAATTCTAGCTAACTGTGTAAACTGAGAAATGCCACACTTTTTGAGTAACAGATGAGGTTCGTACCTAGATCAGTCAGGCTTTAAATGTCCAATTTATACGACGAGTGAGATCTAAGTACAACTGAGATAACAGAAGAGAGCTTAAGCAAAGACGTTTTTGAGCGACGCCCCTCGACCAGGAGTGGACGGCTTTGGCAGTGGTTTAGCCGAAAATTTCGAGCAAATCGTCTCCATAAGAAGCTTGCTAGTACAAACCTGGTAGCATCAAGATATTTTAAAAAGGGAACATGCCTCGATCCCGGTTGACGCACGTCGCTCAAAAACTCTTTGCTTAAGCTCCGTAGTGGTATTTATGGGAATATGTCGAATATTAACCTACATCGGCGTCTATTGGAGAAGTTGACTCAGCCCTTCGAGTTTGAGTCACGGGAAGCTTTTTAGGGAAACCAAAAAGCCATAGACTCCAGAACACGGCAAATCCTCCAAATATGGTAAATCCTAGCCACCAATTACCAACCCAGCTTGTATCTTGCCGAGTGAGGGAGGTCTGGACGCCAGTTTCCACAAACAGTGAAAGGAAAATAGAACTAAGCGCGAACCCCACGGCGGCCCCTGATATAAAGAAATTAATGTTTAATGAGTGCCTTTAAATCTGATAAAGACACGGCTAAACTTTACGTCCAATTTTTTAGACCAAAATAACCCTAAATATAATATTGGAGGGAGAATGAGTTGATTTATATCAGAGATTTTGAAGCCGTTCAAAAAATTCTCAGTCGTGTATTATCGGGCTTAAAAACTCTCGCTTTCGCCTCGAGTTTTTAAACCTGATAATATACTCCTGCTCGTTTTTTAAACAGTTCGTGAACTGTAATGCACCGTGGTCTCAACGAGTAAAAAACTAGGTGCGATATGCGATCACAAAGCTTCTTGAGGTCGTTTGGAGGGACAGTAGGGACTTTAAGATCCAACGACGCGACGGCAATGAGAACGTCGCTTAAAAAGTGAATTTGCGTTCTTTCATTCTTTATCGCAATTATTCCTACCCACTTACTTTGTCAAATGTAGGCGAACCCTCCTGGAGCTGAATTCCTAGGCACCGTACACAAGTACAGAAAAAGAAATAAAATTTCGTCGCTGCTTGTTTACGTCCTCCATAAAACGCGAAATTAGGCATGTTTACGTCGTAGTCGTGCAAAAACAGGCAGAGAAATGTACAAAAAAGCGTGGTGCACGTGCAAAGTTATTGTTTTGCAAATAAAAGCTATTGTTTTTTTGACGTTCTCGTTACTGTCCGCGTCGTTGGATCTCAAAGTCCCTATTATGAGGCTCAACAAACATGGTGCACTGTAACTGCTGTGTTCCAAGCTATAATAGTTTCAGAAATGTAATTAATCTTCACTGTTACAGAATTCCTAAAGACCCTAAATTACCAGGTACAGTCTATATGTCTTTTCTCAGTTATAATAACCGTAAGAGCTTCTTTAAAAGGTGGCTTGATGCTATTCGCTGTGGTTTTGTTGTCCCTCCAAACGATCGTACCATTACCCTCGCCATTTAGAACATGGCGAATTACTGACATTTAATCGCCCCCAGACTTGTCAGTGACGAGCAGTTCAATGACGAGGGCAGGCGAAAATAGTTGATCTGACAAATCACGATATTTCAAGAAACAAGAACAATGTTTGTTTCATTATTCAATTGGTATGCTTGTTTTGTTTTGTAATTTATTTGGGAAGTTCGGAACTGTCAATGTCCCCAGAATACGGGAGCCAAACTGCGCATGAGGAGAGCATTGTCTATAGCAAAACAACATTTTCCTCAGGGTGTTATATGCAGTGACGTAATGGCCTCTTGCTTAATAATTCTACCGAAGCTGAATCGATATTTCTGAAGCATTCGTGGACTCAAAAACGATTCTTTCCTACCAAGGAATTAAGAACTTGTTTCCATTGCAAAGAAAATAAAAAAATTGTCTTGGTTTGCCTTACCTAATATTCCGCCAAAACCAACGAAAATCCCCATGTACAAAGGTGACAACTTAGATTTTACGTTCTGATCCAGATAAGGCACCCCTAGCCCGTATAATGGAGAGTTACCAATTCCACCTATAACCATACCCAAAATACACAATGCGTAATATAGACTGTTTCCTTCTCGTCTGCTTTCTCCACAGTGTGCTTTTTTGTCAGAAGTAGTAAGGTTATCTCCACAGAAGACTTGCCCATGGATTGTTTCATTGCTGGCTGGAAATGAAACAAAGAAATGGAAACGTACATTGTTATTAGAGTCGTAATCGTCCACCCAAAATGGAGTCTTACTGGTCGGTTAAGGGAGGTGCTTGTACGAGAATCGAACCACAGTGGTTTCTTCGGAGAAGAGGTCCTGATACTTCTACTTTATAATGGAAGATAATTTATTGATTTACTGTATTTGTAGCTCTATGTGTTCACTAAAAATTCTTGATACATTCCAAGTAGTCTAGTACATACAGCGAGCAGAGAGATGAAGCCATGCGTCAAGTGGTCGCTTACAGGAGGTAGCCGGTAACAAGAGGTTCCAAATGTAGGGCTGTGACTGTGAAAATGTTGGTGTTTTGGATAAGTGGTTGCTTATGGGAGGTTGTCGATTACCAGACTGGAATGATCACGGATAGAGGTTCGACTTTATTCGGCTCAAGGATCGCTGGCTGGCGTGTTCTTACTATACGCACGAATGTTTATTTCAGATTTTTGGAACAACGATAAAAAAACAGCAAGTCCCTATGCGAATCATCTCTTTAGAAATAAAACTTCTGCAAATTTTCTGGTTTCCTGGTAGTGTGTGCACTACTTACCAGGTTGGTATAGTGACGAGATGAAGTGAGGAAAAGTGAAGATGAAGAATCCCACGCCCATAATGAACAAACCAAAACCACAAAATACTGGTTTCTTACGCGAGCCTCCAAAGAAGCTGATGAACGGAGTGACAATCATCGTGGCTATTTCATAACTGCTCAGGATCATTCCTATCTTGAAGCTGTTTAAAATAATTTCATTTAGAAACAAAGATTAAAATAGATTAACCGTGGCAAGATTATCTTTGTCGGGTTGGAGCGCATGACTGCAGTGCGGGAGATCGTGGGCTTGGTTACTCGAGCCAGACCAATACTCAGGGCCTTAGAATAACTGAGAAATGAAGGTACTTCCCTTGCACTGCAAGCGGCTAGACTTTCGCGTAGCTCGGATGACCACGTAAAATGGCAGTTGGATACGTAAACTTACCGTTTTCAATTAGTAATTAATAGTGCTAAATACATTGACACTCAAATTAAGTTTTTTTTTTCTCCAATCAGCATAGCAGGGAATAAGGACGCAATGAGCAAATACCATGTCAATAAAAACTCGGCTCAAAATCACCACTTCAGCGAACTTAGTCTTTGGGATTACCCAAGGGAGTGGTACTATCAAGGTTTTTAGATGGAAAATGACTGGGTCGGCTAAATGAAGGTGGTCGAATAAAAGAGGGGGGGGTAGGGTGGTATCAGCTGGATTTCGGTCATTGTTTGTTTTGGGCGTGTCTGTCGCAGACTTCAGTAACTTTTCACAGTATCTGCCACCACTATACATCGGTGGTAATTAAAGTGCTTTTTAAGGCATAGATTAATTTTGAGCGCGTTTCAATTCTGTTGAGGTCAAATGCCTATCCAGTTCTATAAAATGTTTAAAACGACATTAGTAAATCATACTGAAAATGGCAAAGGAAAAATATGGTAAACTGGGTCAGAGTTAAATAATTTTGAAAAACGTTTTAACAAATTTTTCTATCTACCTGCCCTCTGAGATACCACGTGACATTAAGGAGCTTACTTGTCGTCCGCTTTTGCCGTTTTGGGTCCATATGGACCCATGTATATTATTCTTCCTGGACCCATTAAATTTTCCATTAAAGCTTTCAGATGGTAATTAGCAAAATCAGCGAGGATAGAGCTTTCCACTGGTACCTTATTTAGTAAATTTTTACCAATCCTGACAGTTACAGACAAAAAAACAAGCAACATTTAATGGGGAAAAAAAATCTACTACCAATTTGCTATTTACCTACTACTCTTTACAGATTAAATATCTTCCTTTGCTGAATTTCATGCGAAAGAAAGACGACAAAGTGGGCAAGAAAACTGCCTATAAAAAGAAAGGCAAATGGAAAAAGAAGAGGGCGAGAAAAAAATTCGAAACAGATTCGAAAAAAAAAAAATTGGCTAATGCGCATGCCCGCAAAAACAAAAATGCTGCCATCTAATTAGCAGAAATTTAAGTCCCCAGTGTTGGAAATCTCTCTTTTAGCCATTCCCATGCTAACTGGCCGAAAAGCGGTTCAAAAAGAAGGATATGGTCCAAAATGCGGTTTTTTCCCCTAAAAATTGGCCGACGGCAAAGGGTTTTAAGCAAAAACGTTTTGGAGCGAAACACATCAACCGGAAGTGAGAAATTTTGCCTTGCAATATGTCTCGACGCTACCAAATTTGCATTGTTTAGAGTCTTTATTCTTACAGAGACGATTTGCCTGAAAACATAGGCAAGATCATTGCCCGAGAATGAAAAAGTCCACTTCCGGTTAACATGCGTCGCTCTCTCCCTATTGCTTTGATGTCATCAATCCAAAAGCGCGTGCAAAGATGGAGGGTATCGTGATTAAGGCCTATTAGGCCGGTCTTAGCTATTCGCTCTCCTGTTCAAAAATTTGGCAAATCTTACCTCGAAAATGCAAAGCGTTTCTCTATAGTGCTTGCAATTCCAGGATACAGACCAGTAATCACACAACTTTGTGTGAAATAATACTGAGTCAGAAAAAACAGAAACCATTTAGGTGTGTTCAGGAACTGCAGACACGTTGGACGAGCATTAAGGAAACCGTACCAAGATATTTTGTCCTCTGGTATCGATGGGATGTTTATATCCTACAACAAGAAAAAAAACAAATTAATTGCATTGCTGACTTTTGGTTATTCTTCCTTTGTATGTTAAAAACTGAGTACGGTAGAGTAAAGTAGCACTTATACAGCCAAGGTGCACTGAATTTTTAGTCCCTCAGCACTGCAGTTTTAAAATAATTTTTCTTCAGTACTTTATATAATTACACTGTGTGCTTGCTTCTGGTTTTCTGGTCTAATCCGATTTATTTGATAAATGTTAAAAATTTTCATCGAGAAAAAGCTAATGAAAGTGTCAAATACATGTATCCTATCTACTCAAAACGCCAAGGCGTTTACAAATTTTTCGACAAGTTTATGTGGCACCTATTTGATGGCGATGCTTGCTATTCAAAACTTCCTCTTTGCCCATAACAAATTATTCAAAAGCGACTGATGACAGCAACAGTGGGATGGCAGAAATAAAAACCTAATATAAAAGGTTAGTTTGAACTTCAATGCATTTCATTTCAGATCCAAAAGAGAAGAGTTTTTTTAAAAAAGCGCCAAGTCGAGTTACAATGCTAAGGTTTCTTGGGAATGGAGTGTAAGGCCTAACCTCCGCATGGCGGATGGCGGCATGAAGTAGGTTCTGTAATATCGATGTTATGGGTGAAGTCAAGAGGCTTAGACAAGAAAATCTAAGGTTGAAAGAACGAAAACAAGCTTTATCCAAAGAGGTTGGGCAAATGAAACTTTTGCTTCAGCAGAGTTCTATACAATTAGCGGGTGAACCACCAACTAACGCGAACGCTACTCCGAGTCGTGAAGGCGAGAAGAGCTTAAACTTCCTTAGCGATAAGCACGATGAATTGATTTTGTTCAAAACAAATGCAATGGCCAAACTAGAGCGACTCGGTAAGAAGATTGAAGCTGTTAATGAAAAAGTCAAAAACATTAGTGAAGCAATAGAAAGCATGGAAAATTACAGCTACCAATATAATAAAAAACTTGTTGGATTCCCCGAACTCTACGAACATGAATCGGCGAACGACACCGCGAAACTATGCCTCGAAATCTTTAAAGCCATCGGTGCAATTGAATTAACTGGTCAAGATATTGATATCACTCACCGTGTCCAATAAGGGCTCCGTTTTAGGACCCTTATTGTTTAATATCTTTATAAATGACTTATTTTATTTCCTCAAAGAGGCAAAGCTGTCTAACTATTCTGATGACAATCAGCATACATGTAGTTAGCTAATACGACTTGCTATAGCAAGAACTCGGTGAAATACTCAGTGGCGGCTATTAGTTGGAACAAGATTTCTGATACCTTAAGATCCCTTAGTAGGTCTTAGTACATTGTCAGCTTTTATAAAAGCAGTCCGCTAGTTAAGTTAAAGCTCTTTTATGCAATTAGGCTTTTTTATTGTAACTATTGTAGCTCTATCACGTAATTTTAGGCTTTATATTGTAAATACGTTTTTGGATTTCCCTTTACTTCTCTGTTATTTTATTTTTTATTTTTTTATTTTATTTATTTTTTTTGGTGGGATGGGGAGGGGGGCTTATTAGCATATTCTTCGCTGGACTCACAATCAGGCGATCGCGATTCTAGTCCCCCTCTGACCAATAGCTGGCGCTGTTTCTCGGCAGACCCGGTGTTCGACTTCTAGACCCGTGTAAGTAACCAACTTGTTGCCTTTTAACCAAAATAAGTCTTCATGTAGATTATTTGTTTGTGGTAACTTAAGTGGAATGCCCGTAAACTTAACCATTATTTACATTTTCACAGTGTCTACTCACCCTAACGAGCTGAAATTTGTGATATGACGTAAATGTACTAATATAGGACATTTTACACTCAAATTAAATGTTGATGCTTTTTAGGGTCTTTTTTTTCTTCAAATTTGTCGTTAGTCCGGGTTTATTTCCGAAAATACCACTGGATTCGATCGATAAATTCAGGTAATCTTAACCTTGACAAGGTCATAGATTTAACCCGTCTTAATCCGGCAGTTGAAAACGACACCAATGTACTTGGATAGACTGGGAGAAAATCGTTTCAAGAGATTGGGTTGGCTTTCTCGAAGCAGTCATCTTCGTGTCCTTGTTTCTAGTTGATCTTGTTGTTTTCTTTATGGATCGTTGCGTTTTTAATATGGAAATTAGATATAAGGTGCGTCACTTTAGATCAGCTATGTGCTTTGTGTCACGACGAAGCATGTCAAACAGCAAGTCGAGCAAATCTGAAGGACGAACCATTCTTTTTTTGACGGGGGTCCGGGTTGGAAAATTTTCAATTAAATTGTTTGCAGAGGCTGTAAACACTGAAATAAACTGTATGCAAGTAAAATCACAGGAAGACGAAGACACAAAAAACTGTTTGCAGCAGGAGCCTCATATAAAAAATGTTTGCTTGTGAAAATTTTCCAATTAACGTGTTATAAAATAAAAATATCAAATATCCTCTATTCATCCTAGCTGATCGCCGTGGTTACATAAGCTAATACAAAAGCCGCCGGCCGCACTGCAAAGAACTGGAGTTGCGAAATCACACTCTTCGGGATCCTACAAGTCGTTGTTATGATCATCTTCAGTCTTAAAGCCAGGGCACTCATCTAACTGTCAATTAATTGGAAACAGAATTTCAGACTACAATCTTTGCAGGAGTACCCGACGGAGCCGCTCGACAAAATACCCGCTCGTCAGGCAGAATTTGAGCTAGCTGGAAAAAAAAAAACATTGGCTAGTTAGCTGGCTGGGAAATCTGAATGAGCGCCTTGCTAGCTGAAAATATGAAAAATTTATGCCGGTTCTGGCTGGATAAAAAGGTATATTTTTTCTCCTGGCAATCGCACTGTAATTTTTTATATGGATATTAGAGCGGGCGAAGCAAGTAAGTGCGCGTGGAAATCACCCCACGCGAGCTGTGGAAATGACACCTTTTGCCTGTGAAAACGGAAATTTGTTTGGGTGTGTAAGCAAAACGTCCTGCTGTGAATACCTTGTAAAAGATACACGTAGTGAGAAAATGACACAGTTGAGTCAAGCACCGCTCACCGCTTTGTTTGTAGTCGTTTCGCTGTCGATCCTTTATAGAAAAAACTTTTGTGTGTTCGTGTTTTAATATGCCTGTCTACATATCAGCTACTGGCCTACGTTCTACTTTAAACCTGGTGTTAACGTGGCCAAAAGGTAAGCAAAATGGTTGTGTTTCTTTGTCAGGTTGCCGTGCATGTGTATCGCATTAAGAACATTCGCTAAGGCACATAAATGCCATCAAATATTGAGACGATTGAATACAAAAACTCTGTCCAATAAATAATACACTCTGGCCTCTTAGCGGAGTGAACTCAGAACTGATTTCATTCGGTATGCTCGTTTGCAATGTTGTCCAGGTTTGCGCGCTCAGGAATATTTCCGTTGGAACCAATTTCTCTTTTGTTATGTGCTCACCGGGACGGGAAACCTCCTCGATCTATGGTCATTTGGAAGGCGTTTAGCAACTGCACAGGTATCTGTTAGGATCAGAAAAGGTAGGAAGATTTTACATTTGTACTACCCGTATATTGATGTATTTCGCGTCCGTTATAGTAACTGTTGTTTTTAAAAAAGGCAACATCCAAGTGTGCCGTTGCATTTCAATGCTAACGTCTGTGTAGTAAATTGTAGTATAGCGGGCTAAATCCCGAACGGCTATCATTCTTTGACTTTCATACCAGTATCTGTTTTGACGCTGACGCATTTCTTGCTCTTAAAGCTTTTTATCGTATAAATTGTAAGAGCTCTGTTAGCAAATTTATTCATATCTTCGAACACAGTGACTCAGATTACATATTTTTGGTGATGTTTCCCGGCTGTAGGACCTCAATTTTGACAGCGGGCGTTACCGGCAATGGTTACGTTTGAGAGGCTCTTTGGCCAATGTAGAAAAAAAGAATAAAAAATATTTTACAATTTTCTTGCCAAAAAAATGAAAGAAAATTACAAATGTGAACAGTATTTACTTATTTTCCTAAAATTGCTGCAAGCAGGGTTTAAACTGGACTATTGAATAAACAAATTAATAGACAACTAGGTTGTTCTTTTTGCAACCATTTGTCGTGAAGAACAGGATATTTTTCTTTGGAGTTTTTATTTTCTTCTGGTTATCATGAAGTTATTGCTTTCTACAAAATAATCGCCCTCACAACTCAACCGTAGCCTGCGCAAAAGGCGTCATTAAGGTGCTTAGGGTTGTTTAGAGGCGCGAGCGCGAAGCGCGAGATACGCAGTAGGACGCAGTTACGTCACGTTTGCCGTCGTCAACTCGATTTTTAAACGTACCGAAGAAGGTTTCACCTAAGCTTATCTTATTGCCAAAAGCTACAAGAATTTTTCTGTAGCTGTATTAAAACTGAAGTACTGTTGCTGTTCGCAAATTTACTATGACGGTCGCTTCAAGCAAACTGATAAAGGTATTGCTGCATTTATTTTACTTTGGTGGGTCTCTCTGTACCCAAAGCAAAATAAGCTTGCCTTCCTTGGTGTGATCTTACTTACATTTGTTTCAACTGCGCTTCGATTCTATAACTTATAGATGTCACACGACCATCACATTCACGACATAAGGTTATATGCCTTTAATAGGTGATTGTCTGACTGCAAAACAAAACATTCCTGACTTACATACGACTATTGGCTTTTGCTGCGAAACTTTGCACCAGTTCTGGTGTGAAACTTTTACGGTGATTGCCTGACTGACCACGTACGACTACTGGCTTTTGCTGCGAAACTTTGCACCAGTTCTGGTGTGAAACTTTTACGGTGATTGCCTGACTGACTGCGTACGACTACTGGCTTTTGCTGCGAAACTTTGCACCAGTTCTGGTGTGAAACTTTTACGGTGATTGCCTGACTGACCACGTACGACTACTGGCTTTTGCTGCGAAACTTTGCACCAGTTCTGGTGTGAAACTTTTACGGTGATTGCCTGACTGACTGCGTACGACTACTGGCTTTTGCTGCGAAACTTTGCACCAGTTCTGGTGTGAAACTTTTATGGTGATTGCCTGACTGACCACCTAAGACTACTGGCTTTTGCTGCGAAACTTTGCACCAGTTCTGGTGTGAAACTTTTACGGTGATTGCCTGACTGACTGCGTACGACTACTGGCTTTTGCTGCGAAACTTTGCACCAGTTCTGGTGTGAAACTTTTACGGTGATTGCCTGACTGACTGCGTACGACTACTGGCTTTTGCTGCGAAACTTTGCACCAGTTCTGGTGTGAAACTTTTACGGTGATTGCCTGACTGACTGCGTACGACTACTGGCTTTTGCTGCGAAACTGTGCACCAGTTCTGGTGTGAAACTTTTACGGTGATTGCCTGACTGACCACGTACGACTACTGGCTTTTGCTGCGAAACTTTGCACCAGTTCTGGTGTGAAACTTTTACGGTGATTGCCTGACTGACTGCGTACGACTACTGGCTTTTGCTGCGAAACTTTGCACCAGTTCTGGTGTGAAACTTTTATGGTGATTGCCTAGCTGACTGACCACCTAAGACTACTGGCTTTTGCTGCGAAACTTTGCACCAGTTCTGGTGTGAAACTTTTACGGTGATTGCCTGACTGACTGCGTACGACTACTGGCTTTTGCTGCGAAACTTTGCACCAGTTCTGGTGTGAAACTTTTACGGTGATTGCCTGACTGACTGCGTACGACTACTGGCTTTTGCTGCGAAACTTTGCACCAGTTCTGGTGTGAAACTTTTACGGTGATTGCCTGACTGACCACCTACGACTACTGGCTTTTACTGCGAAACTTTGCACCAGTTCTGGTGTGAAACTTTTACGGTGATTGCCTGACTGACCACGTACGACTACTGGCTTTTGCTGCGAAACTTTGCACCAGTTCTGGTGTGAAACTGTTACGGTGATTGCCTGACTGAACACGTACGACTACTGGCTTTTGCTGCGAAACTTTGCATCAGTTCTGGTGTGAAACTTTTACGGTGATTGCCTGACTGACTGCGTACGACTACTGGCTTTTGCTGCGAAACTTTGCACCAGTTCTGGTGTGAAACTTTTACGGTGATTGCCTGACTGAACACGTACGACTACTGGCTTTTGCTGCGAAACTTTGCACTAGTTCTGGTGTGAAACTTTTACGGTGATTGCCTGACTGACTACCTACGACTACTGGCTTTTGCTGCGAAACTTTTGTGGTGATTGTCTGACGACATACCATTATGGCTTCTTGACCACAGAAAAAATGAGCGAGTAAGATCAAACTCAGGATGACAAGCTCTTACTAGTGCGGAGAAAAATACTACAAGAACACGTTATCAGTCTGGCTTTAAAAAGTAAACTGTTGCCATAGCGTATTTGAAAACATGGACAGTATTGTTTTTTTTTTACCGCAACAGAAAGGTCCTTGTTTGTAGTCAGGCGTTTACGTAAATGACGAAAGAGGAAACCATCCTCCCACTTTGAAACTCGAGTTAAAGACCGCAAACGTTACCTTACTTTGTGGGTTCGTGGTTTTCAGCCGTAGTGGTTAGAAGTTTCCAACGGAAAGCCTGTTTACTCGAAACTTTCTATTAGTTCTGGTGTAGACTTTTTGCGGAGTAACAGTAGGCACGGCATACAATGCTGGCGATAAGCATGTGTCTACACTGAATTTGGGGTGATTTTGCAGAGGAGACCACACGTGGATCGAGCTTACTCGTTATGTTGTTTATTCTTAAACTTTATTTCACCTCAGTCGATTATCGTTGGAAAAAGTTGGCCTTAAGGCTTTGCGATGATCACTTTTTTTACGTGTTATTGTGTTATGGACAAAGTTCGGGATCTTCCTTTTTATCGTTTACCTGGCAAAAACTCAAGACTACTCCTCAAGTCCACATTCCAAAACTTGAGTACCGCTGAATGTCTTTAGTTGTTATGTTATTGTTATGTAATTCTTAGGGATAGGGAATAATATATACTAAACAAATACACTGATCTTTTCCCTATATCTCAAAAAAAAAAACCGACAACTAGATAAAAGGGTGAAACAGGTTAAACACGCTTTTCTTTTATATTATGTAAATTTGAGGTAAAACAGATCTTGCCTACTGACTTACATGTTTTTCTTGGCAATGTGTTAAATGAAACTTTGCTGGCTGGCTCATAACTTACTTCTGCTACCGCTGGCTGGCAAACACCGAATTCCGTTTCACTCTGGCTGGGATTGCGTAATTTTTGTTTTTTTAACCTTGCTGGCTGGCAAAAAACCGTCAAACATGATTGCTGGCTGGGATTTTTATTTTCTGAAAGTCTTGCTGGCTAGCAGTGAAGAGCGGGTATTTTTTTCCCAGGAAAGTTAAATATTAACGTGGGTTGACGTAAAAGCACTTTGCTAGCGTTTACGACATCGTATAATCAATTTTGCGAAAAATGTTCGTTGGGTACTCCTGTCTTTGCGGCATTGTTGTGTTGTTATACCGGTCCACTTTCCCAAACATGGATGACGAGAACGAAGAAAAACGTCTATCCTATGGATGGCTTCAAATTCGTCCTCGTTGGCTGCAGTTCCTCAACACGCCTAAGTGGTTTCTCTTCTTCTTATCGCAGTATTTCTTTACTCAGAGCATCGTAGTAAATGGAATATTTCCTGGTTCTATCAGCACGACAGAGAAGCGCTTTGGGTTTACAAGGTTAGTAAACAAAGTATCAAGTTTTACCCCGGGGTTTTACCATTTATACTTGGATCATATTAAAAGTATTAAAGACCATAGAAAAAAAACGCTTAGTTCCAAAGTGAACGTACAGAATGCAAAGCCATTCTTCATATCTCATCAGAGCGATCAGAGCCACAAGATTTCTGTAGTCTGCAAGGATCAAGCATGGAATTAAAATTCAATCGAGAAACGGTCAAACGAGCAGAGGGCTGCTACATTCTTTAGCTTTTCAATGATGGCTCACTCACGCGTACAGGAGTAGCCGGCAGCCGTTATTTTTGGCGGTTGGGTGGGCAGGCGCCTTTCTTTTCGGGGAGGGAGGGGTATTTGAAGACCATAAAGATGTATAGATTTATTTTTTTCCCTTCTGTTCACTCAATTATCTGATGAACATACTCGTCCACGTATATGCGACGATAATATCGTACTCTGGAAAGGGCTGACTCCAAGGGCTTGTATGGGAGATGGAGGCTCCATTTGATGGGCTCCTGACTCTGTCAGGAGCCGATCGTTGTGGTGCTTGCGTTCTGGGGATCTTTTGTAGTAGCCTGTGTAACGTTTTTGTGGGGGAAAATGACACTTCTAAACTCGTGCGTCGACTTGAGTTTTGAACAGTTTGATGTCATCGTTGTCTCCTTTTTAGTTACATGCCGTAAAACCCTTATCGTTTTATTGGCCGTGGGAGCTACACCATTGCACGAAGCTTGCACGAGCTAAAACCTGTTAGGAAAAACTTTACTAAATAAACTTTACATAAAACTGACAAGTAGTTTAGCGGTCAACTTTCTCAGTTGGGAGCAGCTTAGAGTGTCCTTCAAAAAGCGACTATGGACTTCATGTAAACATTTTTGTCCCGGCCGTGTTTTCGCGCTTTACAGTTTAAGGGTTAAAGGGAGTCAAGGAAAGTGACTGCGGATATATAGAGCAAATATAGGCTTCCTACTTATAGATGTGTCCGTTAAGATAGAGTTGACTGTATGTGGTTTCAGTTACATGTCAGGAATGTTGGCAAGCAGCTACGACGTCGCAGCTCTGGTGGTAACACCACTGATTAGCTACCTCGGTGGCTCAAGAAAGAAACCCGTGTTCTGTGCCTGGGGATTGTTCACTATGGGTGTTGGCTTTTTTGTATTTGTGCTTCCCCATTTTATCTCACCTCCATACGAAGCAGGTAGGTACATATCAATCGTATCAACGTTAAATCGAAATGATAATTCTGGTGGGAATATTGAAAAGCACTAATAATAAATTGAATCTGAAAACTGAACCCGATGAATTTCTGTTTACCGTGCCGCCCTGACCATTTTTTGTCTTATTTAACCTGGTCAAAAAATGAAATCTGAAACAAGAAAGGCAAAGGAAACACAAAGAGAAAGGTGTCCTGAATGTACACTTATTGAAAAAAAAATAAAAACTGTCTTGACATGAGATTCACTTGAATAGTGGCAGAAATCAACAGATGCTAAACTCTCGCTTCACTGACATCCTCAAATAAGCCCCCGAACATTCAAGGTTTAATAGTGTTGAAAACTACAAGATCGTAAACTCTAAGTTAACGAAATTGGAATAGGTTAAGGGTGAACCCCGCGTTTTACATCGTTAGGATACGGCTTCATGGTCACTCGAGAAGAAACGATATCTTAACTTTTAAAACAATTATCGGAATACGGCGAACCTTAAGAAATAGTATATAAAATATAAAACGGCAAAGTGATCCAGACGGCAAGGCGATGAACAAGTACACAAATGAATAAAACAAAAAATGTATTTCAGAACAAATTTGCCTGGTATTTCGGTTTGAAAGATAAACCTTCTTCAGGAACTACAACTGTGAGATCCGGCTCCACTCAACAGTTTCTGGCTAGATGGACTCTCTGCTATTTAATACTCAAGAAATAGCTACAGGTCAGAGAGGACAAACCTCTTTATCTTCAGTTCTAGATCAAAGCGTCCGTAATTAACGTTTGGTCTGTTTATCTCTTTGTTCTTTTTAGATGCTAATTTGGGCCTCAATGGCACTATGGAAGCTGCAAGCAAAGCATCCAAAGTTTGCGCAGGAAATGGAAATTATTATGGCGACAAGGACGATTGCGCGAGAGAATCCGGCGGCAACGGCCTTTACTACGCGCTATTCATTCTGGGAATGGTCGTAATGGGCTGCGGCTGTACTCCAATGTATGCGCTAGGAATTCCTTATATGGATGAAAACGTCAAAGCAAAGGTATCGCCAATGTACGTGGGTATATTTGCAGCAAGTGGTATAGCTGGTAAGTAGCTATGAACCCTGGGAGCTACTCAACAACGTTTTATACCGAGAGGTTCTGCCCCGAGGTCTAACCCCGTACCTGTACATATAACATTTTAACAGAAAAGCCAGGTATCCCCTTCATATACCTTCTGCTGACAAATGGTACGTGTTTCACATGCCTAGTTTAAAACTTTGCTCAACTACAACGTTTACGCGTAGCCTTATTCATATACATTGCCTCCATTTCAATTACGCTCGTAAATCTTAGCACGCAAAAATTAAACGGCAGTGGCAATCAACCCCAAGTTATGTAACAGTTTTCCAAAGTAAGGTTGGTGCCCTGCATACGCTTTAATCTTTCTTTATAATAACACTTACAGCACTTATAGAGCTGTAAAAATTCAACATGGTTTAAATAATTTTAAATAATTTTTGGTAATGCGACGTTTTGTATTGTGGCCCATTTGAGATTTTAATTCCGAGTAGTTGAACTCGTGGCCTACCGAGAATGTAAAACAAGCAATCAGAGACGGATTTGACTAATCTCGTACCTAAGCGGACCAAGGCTGTCTTTTTATATGGGAATTACTTGAAAGAGTTTGTTAGCCCTAGTTAGGAACGTAATCAAGAATTCCTTTCTTCAGCCACACCACAGGGTCAAGTGCTATCTATTACAGAGTGAGATCTGGGTACGACATTAGGATTTGACTACTCGAGGCCTCCAGATTGCAATTCCATCGCTTCAACTGCTTGGCCACGGTGCCTCCACGTAATAAAATAGTTATGCTGGTCATTTGTTGGCTGAATTTAAACATTATTATTACAGGAGCTGCACTGGGCTTTGTTTTTATCTCCCTGTTTCTTTCAATATTTGTGGAACTTGGAGTCCAGACTACACTAACAAGAAGCGACAAGGCTTGGGTAGGAAACTGGTGGCTCGGCTTTCTGATATTTGGAGCGATCTGCATCTTTTGGAGTGTTTGGTTGCTAGGATTTCCAAAGGAGTTCCCGCTGACCAAAAAGTTAAGGGAAAGGATGGAAACAAAGACAAGTAAGGTACGTTCTATTGAAGTTATGTTAAACGCACATCAAGACAATATTTTGACGTAAGATATGTGTTATCGTTTCTTTCTTTCTTCTTTCGGCAGGCCAACCTGGAAATAAGTCCCCTTTCTCCCTCTTGAATTAGCGGCAGCAAATATAGGAGTTTTTGCTGTATTACCGCGCAGTTTTGCCGTACATCAGTCGCCATAATACGTGGGCCGGCTACAAAGCAGGCTACCATAACAACATTCTGTCTTTAAGGTAGTGGCGCGTGGACTTGATGACGTTTCAAACAATGGATTAAATTTTGCTGACGTCCCAGGAATTATACTTACCTTTAGAGAGCTTTAGATTCTAAAAGACGAGTACGACCATGAGTACGAGGTTTTCTCAATTCTACGTAGTGCTCGCGCCAGAACCAGCGTCATTTTTGCGGGAAAATGCAGTAGCCGTCGTCATTTTACTACGAGTTTTAACACGAATGTCGTGCCGGCAATAACAAGATATTTAACAATTATTCTTCGAGTCTGCATGTGCTCTGAGTCGATAGCCCATGAGGCCGAAGGCCGAATCGGGCTATTGACTTAGAGGCCATTTAGACTCGAGGAATAATTGCTTAAGTAAAATTCAACTAGTTGGTCAAAAATATCAAGACAAAACAATTTTAGCTAGCAAAACGCGATTCAGCCGCCATTGTTTTGGTTTTCAAAGCCGGCGCTTTTTGCTACGGATGGGCTATAACATATAGCCTAGTAGTAGCTCAACCAATCAGAACGCAGCATTGATAATAGACCACTAGTTGGATTTTACTAACAAATGTTGGAAGTTTTATCATTTTTCGATCGGGAAAGCGCGTAACCTCCTTCACTAAAGATAACAGTGCTAACCTTTCTAGTGAAATATGGTAAAACAAGAGAGAATGAGCTCATTCTCTCTTGGGTAAAATGAAGCTTTCTGGGGCGTTTATGTTTTGAGAATACGCGCAAAAAAAATTTTAAGTCAAATCTCGTACTCGTAGTCGTCCTAGTCTTCGATAGTGAAATACAATCTGGGCCAACGCCCTAAGATTCTTTCTCTGTCTCATTACTCTCTCGCAAACATCTTCCATGCACCACTTTATAAGTTAAAAGGCTGTATCTTCTTCAGATTTCAAGATTTATAAAACTACATATTCTGGCCTGAAGTAGTGCCAAATTCAAAGTATCAGGAACGTGTAGTCCTTCCTCAAGACCTTCTGTGTCTACCATCGAGATACAGAAATGAATATACATCACTTTTACTGACTTGGTGTACGATTTTGAATCCCAGGAAGAAGAGGCTGGCTTCTATAAGTTAAAGGATCTTCCTAAAGCAACGAAACTGGTCTATTCAAACCTCCCATTCCTTTTTATCACTATCGGAACGTGCCTGGAAAGTTTTCAAATCTCAGCCGGTGGAGCTTTTATGCCGAAAGTCATAGAAACGCAGTTTTATCTGGGAGCAAGAAACGTAGCTCTAATTTATGGCTTAATTACTGTTCCGACCGCTTTCTTCGGAAACTTGGCCGGTGAGTCTTGAATGTTGTTTTTTTATCTTTCACCGTAGTGCCTCAAATATTGTCCGCGCGGCATCTAGTGTCTCAGACCGAACAGCCTGTTTTGCCAGTTGTTTTGACCGAGGCTCTTTGTACTCTGGGGATTTCGAGACCTCTTCAATGTGCACTAAACCGGACGTTTTTTGGCGTAATCAGGAGGAAGAGCGAGCAACTCCCTTGTGTCCATGCAACAGCATTTTCATGGACCAATTTATTTTCAGATCGATATGACTGAAACAAGTCTTACAAATCAGTCATCAAACACTGTAGGCTAGAAAATAGTATTTCGAATGTTTTGATAGCATTTGTGCACGCATACGGAACTGTGCTTTCATTTTCGCGAGAAAAAGTGCTTCAAAATGATGCTAAGAATAACTTGATCTATGAAAACGCCGTTGCATAGGCTAAGTATGGGAGGTGGGGGGTCCGAAGGATTTTTTGGGTCTGACATTTTGGCCAAAAGGGATTTTTTGGCGTCTATGAAAGACGCTGGGATTTTTTTGGGTCGCGAAAACAACACAGGGATTTTTTTGGGCATTGTATTTTTCATCAGCTCAAATCAACAACAACATAAGCGCAATTTACTGCTTATGTGGTATTACGGAATATTTCTGAGATTGTAATCTATGTGAAAAGTAATTACCTGCACTCCACGCGCATCTAATCCAGAGAGAAATATTCAATAGGTCACGTAATTCAAGGCCTTTCAATGAGTCATCAAGACCACAATGGAAACACTGTATACAAAGTAAACTGAGGGATTTTTTGGGTATGCTAAAAAAAGTAGGGATTTTTTTGGGTAGACAAATTCTGAAGTTGGGATTTTTTTGGGTATAAAATATGAACCTCTGTCGGACCCCCCCGTCATTAAAATATGTTCGTGGGGCCCCTGGGGTTGCACACTTCTGACTATACTATGGGCTTCTAGCATCTTGGAAAGGGTCGTTGGTTATCTGCTGTTGACTTATAGTTTAGGTATTGTTCATTCACTCGCACTCATTTGCTTTATAAATTACAGTAGAGTCAAATTAAAAATTAAAGTGGGAGGTGGAATTCGAAAAGCCTTCTTCTTGCAAGAAGACGTGAAACCTACGTCCGTAAGCTGTTGTTGTTGTTTTTTTTTTCAGGGTCATACATAAACAAACGCCTGAAATTAAACACGACTCACTCCGCCAGGATGTGTTTTATCGTCTCGTTACTTGGTTTTCTCCTGACCACCTTGATGTATATCAAATGCGAGACACCATCCATTCCTGGTGTGAACACATCGTATCAAAAAAGGTAAAAGGCCTTATTTCCTTTATTTGTCACTTCTCATACTCCTCCTGTCTCCTCCTTGGCCAGACTCCCTTACGCTTCCCTTTGACATCGTCAAACTTCAAGTGATCTATCAAGCATCAGACGCAGTCAGTTTCATCACCAGATGAAATAACGAGACGAGACACTGTGTCGAATGGTTGATATTACTTCTCAAACAAAATATTTCTTTTTATTTGTAAAAGCAATTGTTAATCTCAGATAGAGATATTTTATTTCAGTTACTGTATTTCCTCGAAGAATAGCCGTCCCTCATTAATCGCCTCCCTCCGTCAATAATATTCCCCCCGCCTTAAACGGAAATATTTAAGATAATCGCCTCCCTCGAATAATCGCCCCTCACCCCTCTCGCCATCTTCTCTTCCTTTTCTACCCTCCTTGTCGAGGTGAAGTGGAGTCTGATCCTGCAAAACTGATCATTGACGATTCAAGCTCTGACGCCGAGGATATTAACATTGAAAATTACTCAAGGAACCAAATTTGGAACACTATTAAAAAAGCCGAGTTTATTTGATGTGATCAGTATTTAATTTAATGGGATAATAAAACAAAACATTTAGGGCACGACTTCCAGTGAGTAATATTTGAAATAATCGCCTCCCTCGAATAATCGCCCCCTTTTGTGCGAAACAAATAATAATCGCCCCCGGCTATTATTCAGGAAATACGGTATATTCTTCTGTACAGCTCGCCGGGCCCGCCCCAGCTTTCTTCACCTTGTAACCAAGCCTGTAACTGCAGTGGGGTAAGCTATTCCCCTGTGTGCGGAGGGTCGCTGACCTATTTTTCACCTTGCCATGCAGGGTGCACGATCGCGAGCAAAACGCAGGTACCGTACCTTTAATATATTGACAAGTGTATTCACAACGGTTTATTCATTCCAAAATAAGGTACAACCCGTTTAAAAAAATTAAAACATCACGAAAAATCGCCCAAAATGCTAATAGTCGAGGACTTGTTGCGATTTCTGAAGCTAGGAAGTGACACCAATTCAATTCAATTCTTTATTTTACACTATACAAGGCATTTACAAGTTGTATACAAGTAGTAGGAAAACAACATAGACACAGTGTCCAAAGGAGCAAGAGCTTTTCAGTTGGAGGCCGTCACGTTAAGACCATAAATATTAAGGCACCCATGAAATTTTTTTCAGACTGGTTCCTGGTCGTACTCCAACTGTACCTGCCTGGCAGATATCGGTCAGTTCCCAGGAGAAGTGAACAAAGGCATCTGTCTGGTTGACTGCAGGATCAAGTTCACTTTGTTTTTGACACTCGTCTGCGCGACAGTATTCCTAATGTTTTTAAATTTAACGCCTGCGATGATTGTCACCTTGAGGTTTGCACTGTTTATAGTAATATATATTTTTAAAATTTCTTCTATGAAGAAACACCCCAGATTCAACCTTGCTGCCAAGCTTTTCTCTCAGTCAGGTTTTTGCTTTCTTCCTTCCACATCATATCTTTCTTGCATTTCTTGCTGTTATGGGCTCCTGACATCACCCATAATACTCCTTGTTTTCTCCCAAAACTTTGCGTAACCTTTGTTTTTTATTTCCACTGGGTATTACAGTGGTCCCAAGAGAAATAAAAGAGAAAGCTTATGCAAAATGTTGGGGGCAAAACAAGGTGTATTATGGGAGATGTGCAGATGGCGAATGGTCTGAAGGGTGTAACGCTTGACTGGTTTTCGTCATACCTAACAAATAGGCCACAGAGGGTATTGCAGTAAAGGGGTCACGGTGTACTTATTCCCAGTTGTGTTGGGCTTACCTCGAAGAAACTGATAAGACACTGACTTATTCACGAGTTCCCCATAGATTTAACCAGGGGTGGTGGTGGTGGTGGAGGGAAGGGGGGGGGGGGGCTTGTAGGGGGGTGGAAGAAACGAGGCCTGGGACCGAGAAACGATGTTCTCCCAACTTGCGAGCAGAGGCTACAGTTTCGCTGCGTGAAACCTGAAATTCAACATGAAAATAAGACAACGAAGATTTTAGACTCTAGTTCTTAGACTGTATGTTTTCATCAATGTGGGTCATTGTGTAAGGTTTAAACGATCTTTTTTTTCACTTTTCAGGAGTGTACCAAAGGCCCAAGAGTCATACGCGTTAGGACACCAGATGACCCTTATGAGAGTTTTGGGTGCTATTCCAGGCCCGATCGTATATGGAGCCTTAATAGACCAAACGTGTATTCTATGGAGCTCAAAGTAACTATCGCCCTTAGCCGTCAGCTCTCGTTTTATGTCATTTTAGAATCACATTAGGCAGATTTTTCAGGCTACAGGTGGAAAATACAATCAAAAATGAGGGCGCGCCTAAGTCCTGCGGTACTGGCACCTTACGCATGCGCACAAGTTCCTGCTTCGCACGATATTCCGCGCTTAAGTTAAGTGCTGGACATACCACAAAGGTTCCTCTTGTCTGACCATTCCAATGCCTTCAAATGGTATACAGGTGAATCCTTGCTGACATCGTTGTTTAAATTTTTGCTCACTAGCGTACGGGTTAACCCATAGAAGGCGTCGTCGTATACGCAAATTGGGTTCAAACGTTGAAAGAGCTGGTTAATTTGAACAGTTTCTGCAATTTTCAGCTCTTTGTGATTCAGAACAAAGGAACTAGCGCAATAAAAATTTGCAAAATTGCTGGGTGGCAAAACATTAATAAGCCAATATATTCTTTGTAAAGTGTGGGGTTTTTCCAAAGAGAAAATCTTTGGAAAAGGCTGTTGAGCCACATGTGCAGTCACTGTGGGCGCGATCCATTCAACCAAAATTCCGACCGGTCGGACCGGGAAAAGTGGTCCACCTCAAAAGGTGGACCAGCATTTTCGAAACTTTTCCGATTGGACCGAACCGATCCACTGAGTTTTGGACCGAAATTTCCGGAAATTTTGGTTGAATGGATCGCGCCCTCTGACTTTCCACGCTTATCCCATTTTTCAAGAACGACAAATACACCGGGCGAATCTACTTAAAGGGGCTGTGTCACGGTAGTCCAGTTCATTTTGTTTTATTTTTTGCAATTACTCGCCCTCAATCGCTATGGAACTTGAAGTAGGCAAAGAAATTACAAGTAAATTACAAATCAGAGATTAGAGACAAACAAATATGTCCCCTAAGCATCATTTTTTAAAGCTGCAAACAACAGTTTTCAAAAACCCTAATTTCAATCCGTTTCAATCTTCTTCAGTTTTGCCCATCCGTGGCAGCTGTTGTGTTATTTTAACCTTCCTTTAATAATTTACGCGGTAATTTTTATGTTTCTTTTAATTTAACGGGCATTTTGAAATAGCCTGATTTGACTGAATTTCGTGACACGGTTTCTTTAATCAAAATAAACCGCCCTCGGGCCAAAATACCTGAACCTGTCTCAACCGAACTCGGCTGAAGTGGTGACGGCAAATCAAACCACACAGCAGTGAAGGGTGAGAAGAAAAGAAAAAAGGATAAGAGAGGTTAAGAACACCTAGTCATGTTTTTTTCATTGCAGGTGCGGAAAACAGGGATATTGCCTGGAGTACGACCACATTGGACTTGCAAAGGTAGTGCTAGGAGTTTCATTGGCGGTGAGATTTCTTACCACCGCGTGTTTTGCTCTCTCGTGGTTCTTTTGTCGGCGACGCGGCGAAGGAAACAGCTCAACAGACCTGAATGACAAGGACTGTGAAGAGACTCGCTGCATTTATGAAACAACTATTTAAAGCTGAGACAGTAAAACGGACGAGCCGGTTAACATTAAAAAAGGTTCACTTAAAAACCATTTCTTTTAACCCATTTGTAGACACGGAGCTGATTCTCCATCTGAAGTATCATTTCCTTTTAACTCCATTCACTCTTCCAGTTGGAGTAACAAGTTTATTAACATTGATAGGACAAAGAATAAATAAATCTTACAAAACACTGAGGGTAGACGTTCATTTATCAGCATCAAGCTTAATTCTAGCAATTGTTTGGTCAAAAGTAATGCAATTTGTGTTTATGCAAATACTGTAAAAAATGGAGTGGAAAGAATGTAACCAAAATAACAGCTGTTATCAACTGAAAATACATATATACTGTGTTTGTGTTGCAGTTCCATTTGCAGCTAACACAAATTGTAATGGTTATTTTCCTGTTTTCAAAAAAGATAAGAATAATTAAAAACAAGTTATGTATTAGCCTGTGTACAGACGTCCCCCTCCCTCAGAAAAAAATCTGAGGGAGGGGGACGTCTGTACACAGGCTAGTTATGCATGTACTCTATCATGAAAACATACAGTCTAAAAACTACACTAAAAATGCTTGGAAAGCCAACTGTGTGGCAAAGGCCTTCTTGGTGTCGTCATCTGCAACAAAACAAAATAATAACAAAACAATGTAAATGTACAATAGCGATTTGGATCATTATACAGTGGAACCCGTTAATACCGTCACAAATTTGGCCGTATTAACGGGTGACCGTATTAACGAGGGTTTTTTTTTTACAAGAAAATGTATGGCCATTTTGCCTGGCAGCCAAAAAAAGATGCTGTAATAACGAGGTGTCTTTATTACCGAGGTGGCCGTAAGGCGGGGTTCCACTGTACGTTTCTGGGGACCTGCCCACCTACCCCTCTGCTAAGCCAACATTTTGCCGTAAGCGAGAAGTAAGCGTTAATGTTGACTTAGGGGAGGGGTAGGTGGGCGGTTTCCCAGAAACGTATAATAATCCGCAGAGTGGATGCATGGTTAGTTCAGTTAATAAATGACTAAGGATAAAGTTACTGGCTTTGCCCTGTGAATAGCTAGACCATCACATACCGTAAAATTCCGAAAATAAGCCCCTCCAAATTTAAGCACCCCAAACCGGTAACGCAAAAAACCCTCTGTTAAATTGCCCCTCCAAATATAAGCCCCCGGGGCGCTTGTACTTGGAAAATTGCCCTCAAGTACAAAGTAAAACAAAGCAAAAACGGTACATTTACTTCCAACTATAAGGCTAGCCCAATCGATTTTGAAACACAAATTTCCCTCCGTAGATAAGCCCCTCTGAATATAAGCCCCTCCAAAAATAAGCCCCTCAAAAAGGGTCTTTGAAAAATACAAGCCCTGGGGCTTATTTTTGGAATTTTACGGTAGCTATTGTAGGATGTCCACTGGTGGTACAGTACAGTCAACTCTCAAAGTTTAACAGACACCCCTATAAGATGGACACCTTACTAAAACGGACATCTAGATTTGGTGCCTGCCTTTCTTTACACCTTTTCGTTGACACTCCATAAGACGGACATCTCTCTAACACCGAAACTGTGCTGTTCCCAAAAGAGGTGTCTGACTTAGAAAGAATTGACTGTACTTCAATATTAATTTTGTAGAATGTTGTGCCAATACACTACACAACCCAGCATGATACATTTTTGTACGTTTTTTTAGGAAGTTTACAACAACATGCAAAAAAAGCAAAGTCTGGGGTGAATTTGAACTTATTGGGGTATGTGTTGTTGCCCCCTCATAACTTTCCACACACGTTTTACTACTAGCAAAATGACCCTGCAGCCCGTTAGATGAACCAGAATGTTGGGTATTACTGTTAATGTCCCGCATTCAATTTAAGACCAACATCATGATTTAGCGGTTTGCAACAACAATTATTATTGCAAACTGCTAAATCATGATGTTGATAATTATGCCTGTAGTCTAGTTTTATAAAATGGGTCCCAAAGCTTCCTTTCACGTCAATCTTACAAAAAGCAGGTTTGGAGCAGCTATAGTTACTGTGAAACTCAGAGAACTGTTAACACCAAAAATATTTCCAGTGGAAAAAAAACAATAATTTGTTTAGACTAATTTTGAAATAGCCTGCATTAGGGGAAGTTTTGGTAGTGGAGCTGGCTGCGCAAGATGCCAAGAAGAATGGGTAAGATATGCTGGTGGCTTTCCCACCCCCAACTGGCACAAGTGAGCCTGTTCCCAGGCTAATTTTAATTTTAACCCTAACCCTGACCCTAAATCCCACTAAATTCCCCTCCCCCCAGGCATATATAAGCCCACCCAAAACCCGCTAAAGAAATTGTACAATTCCGGGGCTCACAACTGGGATTTTATAGTACATAGGCTGATGTTATTTGCACTACCTTTCTGGAAAGTTAGAATCGCCTTGGACTACGAGACCTGCTTCTTCCTCTTCCACCTCCCCACCTGTTAAGGAGAACAGCAACACTCTAAATACACAGTATTTGACTTGGAAGTTGATTCTTTGTTGCCTTAAACATGAGAATCGCAAATTTGCTGAAGCCTTCTGTTAACAAGCAAAGGGAGTTCAGCCAGCTTCAGCAGTTCATCATACGAGACTGACTCATAGTTGAAAACCACTCTAAGGGCTCTCTCCTGTAATTTTTCAACTTTATGTTTGTCTGAGCCTCTGCAGAAGTGCCAAATGGTACTGCAGTTAAGTGAGGCAATATGGCAGCTTTGTATAGTTGTAATTTAGCATGAGTAGGTATAAGATTTTTTAGACGTCTTCGAACTCCTATCTGTTAACTAGCCTTTTTGCAAAACAGAATTAACGTGCTCACTAAAATTAAGTTCAGAGTCCAGGTGTACGTCAAACAATTTGATAGATTTCAATTATTGTTCTATGCTACCTCCATCTACATGCAGGTTTATGGTATTTGCTTCAGCCCTAGAGCCCAGTAACATGGATTGATATTTCTGAACATTAACTTGTGGCAGGTTTTGTATCATAAGAATTAAATTGAAATTATCAGAACAGATGTCAAAATCATGATGTTTTCCATCCTGATCCATATTGATCGGGATTCAGGATTTTCAAGCAAAATCAGGAGAATCCCGACAAAATTGGGGTGGTTGAATAGTCTGCAAGCTACAGGAGACTCGTGGGAGCTAAGGCCAGTAAACTCGGTTCATGCAACAAACATCCTGCATACTACCAGGACTAGGATGTTGAAATGAGCTTAAATAGGTGCAATGTGATGGTGAATTTTGAGCCTGGTGAATGCACGAGAGAGATGTTTTTTTCAGTTAGTGACACAGGCAATTCGGAAAAAAAAACTGAGTACCCGCAGGATTTGAGGCTACAACGTTGTGGTTACTAGTCTAGATGCATTGATTTCAACACATCTGATTCATTATAACAGAGAAGGAGCATATGAGGAGGTTATGATCTGCTTAAATAACGAAGACAGATTCTTCTTTACAGCAACACAGTAATAATGATGATATAAAAGCCAGACTAATATCTGACTATGTTTCATTACTCATGGATGACTGTTATTTGTAGCCTTGGAAAACATTTGCAAACAAAGTAAGTTTCACTGACACTATCAAATGCCAACCTTTTTGATCAAGGAGAATGTGAGTTTGACATAATAATCACTGAACCACTCAATCAATTCATCAAAAAGGCTCTACTTGCCTGTCTCCCTCCATAGATCTGCCTCTTCGGCGTGGTGGTGACCTGTTATAAACATACAAATGAAACAATAAAGCTTTTGAGAAGAAAGTCAAGCAAATTAATGAACCTGAAGTTAATAATTTCTAACAACTGAACTATTTTTAATATTGCTAACTAAAACTTTGAATATTCCTCTTGTTAATTATACATTGTACAAGACATATAGTGAATAGAAAAACACAATATTATTTTCCCAAGAAACTACTCTAAAAGATTAATGAATTGAAAATAAACCCTTTTAGTATTCCCCAAACAAATAAAGTTTTTTTTTTTTAAAAAAAAAAGGATGCAGCCGCGCTCCAAGGTTAACTTTTTTACAGTTACTTTTCCCTTCACGCCACTTTTATTGACACTAACAAGTTTTAAACAAAAGTGTTAGTTACAATTGTTTTCTAACTCATTTTAAAAATTTCTCCAGATCTTAACACAATGAACTGAAAGGCTTACCCATCAAAAATGATACAAAAGATCATTAATATGGCGACTATCATGCCAAATTAAACCATAATGACCAAAACAGTCAAACAGCTTGGAGCACTTGCCAGAGTGTTACTCTTGCAAGCCTTTCAAATTTCACACTTCCATCCTTCTCATCGACAAACTATGCAAATTTTTAAAAGCGGAGTTGCGTAATCTTTTCCAAACCAAGCTTAGTAATTTGGTGATGTACGCTGCCCTAAACGGACGATAACATTTATGGCACTGTGTGGGTGAGTATTGGTGTGAAGCAATGCACCATCCTGTTGGTGATGAAAAGCGTGAAGACAATAAAAATATTAACAGCAAAGTCCAACGGCTGGAACAGATTTGTTGAACTACATGCAGATGCCTTAATACCGATTATGGTCAAATAATCCTGGTAACAGCAGAATGAGAAGTTGCAATTTTTGTATGTTACAAAGTAAGCTTGGCTCCAGTACCAATCTCACGGTGGCTAACCATGGCAGATGTTCTTAAAATAAGATGCAGGAAGTTGTTATTTAAATGAAGCCCACAAAATAACAGAGGGGATCTTTTGATGCTGTTGAACTGTGCATGAGGACACCAAACTTGACATGACGGTGGATTGTGAAGCCAAGAACCACCTTCTCTGATGAGAACCATGGCTGATTTAAAATGACAACATTCACCAACTTGTTTAACTTCATGAAGACACCTTTTTCCAAGTTGTGGTCAACTAATCCAAGTTACAGTAGAGTTACTGGCAGTCACCAAGTTGCAAAAAGGGTGGCTGTGGTAATTGAGTTAAGGGAAGAACAACCAAGGTCTGATGGATGACATAAGCTGAAGGATGTTGTCATTTTGAGTGTGACAGTACAGGGAATATCTGTAGATGCTGTTGACCTTGAGGCAAGGATGCTGTATTTGAAAGAGAAGAGAAGCTTCCCAATGTATAATCACCACTTTGTTTTACCGACTTTTTGCTCAGCCTTGTTCCAGTGTGACAAGAGAGCATCTTGTATTCTTAACCAAGTCCTTATGTGTCTTTACGTTTGCAACAGCAGAACAAACATTTTACATTGATACAGCCATGTGATGGTAGACTCTACTCAGTATCTAGAGAATGCCTGCATTGATTTAGGCACTACTACTAGGTTGGTTGTTGTATGGACCTTGATTCATTGTAGTAATGATTAACTTGCTGATTCCAAAAAAGAAACATGCATTGGAAGATCACCTCATAGATGAAACTGATTGCTATGTGAAGATTATTGATTCATGGCATCAAAATGAGAAGCTGGTACGTAGCAAAAGTAGTTACACGACATTGAGTTGGTGTCGACTTTGAAGGGTTAATGGGAAGGAAGGATGGATGAAAGGAAGACAATGACGAACCTACTTTCAGGGCAATGAAGGGATGATGAAGTAAAAAGAAGTTGGTGGGAAGACGAAGGCAGGTTGGCTGATGGGAGCAGGGTACTGTCTAGGAGAAGCCCATTTGTGTGAAGAAGAGGGGAAGTTCTTTGGGTATCAGCACATCCCAGGGCTAATAACCATGTAAAAGTAGGCAAGTTGGCTCAGCTCTTTAATGGGGACGACGTTTAGATGTACCTAAAGAGTAACCCAGATATGATAGTTACATCAACAAAATGATACTACAAAAGCGTTATCTTGAATATCTACAATGCTGTGCAACTAATGCTGTTTTCTATACTTATCTTTAAGACCGTTATAGTGACAAGAATCTTGACCTTAAGTAACTACTGTATTAACATTCCTAGGCAAACAAAATTTAATTAAATAGTCATTCCTTTTTTGTTTCAGGTGCTGTAGGAGGCTAAGTAAAGAGTAGTAGATAATGTAGAGATTTAGAGTCACATTTCTGACAAATGGCAAATGTGAATTATTTTGTACCACATGACTAAGTTTTCCCTTTACTTGCCATTCACTGTTCATTATCACTACACACGCAAATCTTTAGATACGTTTGCTGTTTGCCGTAAACGTGATTCTAAATCAATCTCTCTCTCTTTCAATTCTTTGCTTTGAAAAGATGGAAAATATCTCGATGGGCTCAGGCATCCCTTCCCTGGTCTGTTCATGTTCATCCTTTTTTTTTGCACTAACGATTATAACAGTCAACTCTCTCTTAACGGGCACCTCTATACAACAGACACCTCTCTAAGATGGACACCTGCTGTTGGTCCCTACCGTTTTTCACTCATTCTACTGTAACTATACCCTCTACAAGATGGATAACTCTCTAAGATGGACAACAGACGCTTGAGCAGTGCTTTATGCAGTGAAAAATACCTCAAAACGGAAATGTAGGTGCTCTACATGAAGTTAAATTGCAAAATTCTTAATATTTTGTACTCTTTCTACAATTTGCATAGTGTCTTAGACCAAGAAGCCATGAACATTTGCTTGTAATGAACTTTTGATTGTACAATAAGAAAATGTTCTTTTCTGTTACAATTTTCCAGTTTTAGCTGTTTTGCATAAGTTCAACACTTTACCTTGACTCTCTATAAGCTGGACTTCTCTCTAAGACGGACAGTAGGGGCCGGTCCCAAAGGTGTCCTTCTTAGAGAGAGTTGAATGTATTACCATTGACTATGTGTAAATGAACACTTCTATAAAATGGACAGTAGACTAAATCCGAAAGACACCGCCCTTAATACTTGCAAGTTTTCACTGTATTGCACTAACTGATGTCACAGATCAGGTTCCTGTGCCCAAAGTACACTACAAAATAACACAACAAAACAAACCTGTAGGGAGATCTAGATCTGTCATCGTAACCTCGGCCAGGTCCTCGGTCATCACGCCACCCACCGCCTCGATCATCACGGCGACTAGAGCGATAACTTCCACCTCCTCCTCCTCCTCCTCCTCTACTGCTATTAGTTCGAGCCATTTCCACACGAACTCTCTCTCCACAAATTCTTGCCCCATCTAGTGACTTAATAGCATCTTCTGCATCATGCAGATCTACAAATTCGACAAAGGCAAAGCCAGGGGGATTACGGGCCACCCACACATCATGAAGCCTTCCAAACCTCTCAAACTCCATTTCCAGCTCTCTTTTGGAACCATTGCTGCCAAGATTTCCAACGTAAACTTTGTATGTCCGTGATGACATCTAAAACAAATGCTCAATTGAATTAACTATCACAGAAATTTTGTAAGTTAGAGTAATGGTCTAGATTCTAGAACTACTGTGCTGGTCAAAATCACTGCCACTGCATTTGTAGTCATGTAATCAGGCAAGAAAGACTTTTAGATATCCTCAGAGAGGTGTTCAAGGACTTATTATTCTTATCTAAATGTAACTTTCCTTATTTTATTGCACGATTACTGACTATGCATTTCTTGCCACTTGCAAAAAGCTTTATTCAATTTTATTTCCTCTACATCAGAAAGGAAAGTATTAGAGTACAACCCTCCAAGTTGCGACCATTTTAGTCGCCATGGCGCCTAAAATTTTGGAACTGGCGACTTGATTTGGAGAATAGTCGCCAAGCTGGCGACAGTGAAGAATAGGTTTGTGTTGTGGCGAATAGAAACAGAAATGGTAATCACTTCTACTGAAATATGAAGAACATTTTATTCTAGCTGATTTGAATGCCATTACTTTTTTACTTTTCCGTTGAAAAACATGCTACATTGAAAACTTAAAAAAGTCTCAGAGCTAATCGTTTTGAAAATGAACATCAATGAAACTTGACTTGCATTCGTTTGCCTAATAGCCTTCAGTCTGTTGCCTTGCACGTGACATTTTAACTTTTGACACGTGACAAATGGCACGCAATCGAAGCGCCTTGCTTGTCGACAGTGATGATTTCTTCGATATCTTAGGAATGCTTGTCTAGCCAAGTTCCGTGGTTGTTTAACTGGACTACATATTATAAATATTTTTGAATCAATACTCAAAAAATCTAATAACATGAAGAGGGAAAGCTAAATTGGTGCAAATTCAACACAGAACATTATGTGATAACCATAACGTGTGAACCGTGCTGCGAGTTGAATCGCGGTTTTGTAAACAAAAGCGATAATTGTAAGCGAAACTAAACATCGCAAAACTGACAGCTTATGGTTGTTGCAAAAAATGTTCTTTTAAACACCTGTAGCGATGATAAAGGAAAGAGAAAATTTATTATTTCGTAAGCGGCATTTTTGTTTGGGTTCCTTTCAATTGATTGGGAAAAATTTTTTTTCCCAGTACAACTCGTTGCGAAATTTTCACATGTGCGATGTTATCTCTGTAAAGCAATGATTTCATTTAGAAAACTTGTCAATCGTCCTATACTCTCCTGCCTTTGTCAGGCTTTCGCAATGTCTAGCGATATTAAAAACGACCTTTTAAATCTCCAAAAATATTTGTTAGTTGGGGAAACAAGTTCATCATCAACTAAAGTCGCAAAAGAAATGCGAAACAAATATCAGAAAAAAAAATAGGTCGCCTATCAAGTTGCGACTGGGAAATTTTGAAAACATTAACAGAGGATGAGTTAAGTTCTGCTCTCATATACCAACTGGGGATTATGTAGAAGGAATGAAGGCTCTAAAGACAAATGGAAATGGTAATTGTCTTTACAATTCCGTTTCAGTATTGATTCAAGGAGATGAATCTGCAACACTAATTCTCAGACTATCAGTAACTAATGCCTTGCACAATAAACGAGTAATTTATATGGCAGTGCTGCATTTTAAGTTAAACTTGCTAAATGCTTTTGTTAATGACAATTTTGATATATTAAGTCATTAATATAATTTGGCGCCTAAAAATTTCCCCTGGCGACTAAACCCAAAGAGCTGATCGCCAAATGGCCACTGAACAAAAATTTTAACTTTGAGGGTTGGAGTACTGTATGAATTAATCTTAATTAGCACATTTGTTTGGTTTTAAGAAGTTGCCCTGGTTATACAGAGCTATAAAGGAGTTTAATCTCATAGTTCATACAACAGCAGGAGACCTAGAGTAATTTTAACCTCAAAAAGCAACATTGAACCTAAGTACTGCTTGTACTTTATTATATTATTTTTTTCTGTTACATTTCGCAGATCAGGAATGTAGTTTCACTCCTATCACTAATTCACCCCTAAACTGCCCAAAAGTAGCCGCTTGGATCTATATCTCTTGTACTGCTTGTGAAATCATCAGTTTTAACCATCAAGGACAACTTTGTCATTTAACTTGTGAAGGGGGGAGAGGTCATTCAAACCATGCCAGAATGAGCAAGATTCAGTCAAGGAGACCAAAGAAAATGCAAAAAAAAACATGAAAAGTAAACCTAAAATTTCCCAATGAAAATCCTGTTCCACAAACCACCTATACTTCCCTCCACCTAATCCTATGATCCTAAAAGCTTTTGCTGAACTGTTTGCCACCAAGATGAAGCCAACAAAACGCCCAGCAAAAGGTAAAAAAAAAAAACGAGTACGAAGAGGGAAACAAGAGGGGACAAGAGAAAGCAAAAGGTAAAATTTGAGACTGCTTTGTCACTTTTAAACCCAAAAGCTATCTTGGAATTTTGTTTTCTGCCTATGTGCAAACTTCAAAAGCTTATATTTGGCTCTTTAAAGCCAGAGACTGACCAGAACATAAGGGTATATGAATCATAAATTCAAGACTTTGCCAGATTGGTTTTAGAATTCAAGACTGGGACTTAAGAATTTTCATCAAATACCAGCCTGAAACTTTGCCGGTATAAAACTCCAAGCGTGAGACTCTAACTGTCGAAACTTTAAAGTTCATAGTACACATAAAATGACTGAAAACTGAGGATGAGCTGTTCAAAAGGCAGTATACAGTTAACTCCCTTAATAACAGACACTTAAGGGACCTCGAGTCAGTGTCCTCATCAGCAAGATTTCATAATAGGGGAGTTTGTTTTGGCCAAACATTTCTAATTTATTTTTGCCTGGGATTTAACTGCTGTCTGTATTATCAGGGTCCTCGTTATAATGGGGTGTCAGCAAGGTGAGAGTTCAGGCCCGTGACCAGGATTTTATGTGGGGGGGTGCTAACAAGGCCAAAGTGGACCCAACTACCGAAATGTATTTTTTATTTTCTGATCCGTTTATTTAGGAAAGTAGCAATACATGAGAAATTGTAACCGCAAAGTACACGGTAGGAACTGAATATTACATTTTTCGAATACAACAGTTTGAATTAAGTTATAAAGGAGTAATTTTACGATGTAAAATGATACATCAAAATACTGCGGAACTAATCCCTCAGAACAGTCCCGCGCTCCAACCTGCGTGGGTGTAGCGACTAAATCTCAGAGCATGATAACGGATCAAGACTGGTGGACATTGTCAGCGTCTAATGGCTCTTGACAGGGTACTTTACTAACCCATGTATCGAGAGACTGGCAAGATTTAGCTGCAGCCTTCCTCTTTCTATTTTCCTGTTCTCTCGTACCCATAACGTATTACACAGAAAACTTATTTTGCATCTTCGGGCGTTCATGTGCTCGTACAAACAGAGAATACTACCCGACACGTTAGCAAACGTGTCTGACAAAAATAGTGAGATCGTTCCCTTGTCATTGTCTTGCTCGTCGTAAACTCCCGTGCGAAGCGTGCACGTTAATACGTAAGCTCAGACATCTTTGCCCTCATTGAAATGTTCTGAATGGCTCAGCCTACTAGAGTGCAGCTGGTCTTATTTCCCAGTGAATACACTACTGCTTTTTTCATTCTTTTATTTTGTTTAGATATCACTGTTAAGTTTGAAACTTCAGTTTAACCGACCGCACTCCTTAACTTGGATGTTGAGTATCAAAATGTGGACCTTTGGGGCCTGTGGGGGGGTGCGAACGCACCCCGTGCACCCCCCCTGGTTACGGGCCTGGAGTTGGCTTTATGAGTCATTTCAGTTAGAAGCATGTTTAGCTCCACATTTATATGGGAAACGTTAGTGCTTTTCAGCCATTTCCTACAAACCTTCAAGCTAAGTAAAAACACTACCGAAATGACCCTGTAGATCTACTGAGTCATTAAAATTAAATATCTATGGATGTTCTCAGTCATTAAGCACTGGTTATTTACTGATGCTAACTGAAGTAAAAAACTTGGCACCCGTTTCTCCTACATGCCGAACTTACCACTGTGAATATATAGCTTGATATTGGGCACACTTTTCGAGATTCAGAGATTCAAATTATCAAAATTCTAGACCTCAAAACAGGTCAGGTTCTAGCAAGACTAAGATTCCGAGACTCTTGATTTTGAGACTCAAATGATATTTTCTGCTGTATATCATTTTTTATTGAACATTCTATACCCCAAGAGAACAGTTCAACTACCTTCAGGAGGCAATTCTGGGCAAAATTCCCAGGCGATGAATGGGTTAGACAAAAAAAAAGCAGAGGTCTCTCACGACGAGGCCTCGTCGTGAGAGACCTCTGCTAGCAGGGAAGAAGAACTTACAACACCTGCCCTAGACGTCCTTCGCGGAACATTATTATAAGTCTAAAAAAATCTAAAATCGTGAAAAAACGCATTCCTTAGCTTACTATCTTTTTTACCTTTACTTCAAGGTGAGAAGTTCTCCCAAATATGCTTCGAAACAGTTCTTTATCAAAGAATAGAGAAAAGGCACGCAGCTGCAACCGATGAGAGCAAATACACTATAAGAGACTTATGGGAAGGCAAAATCCCAGAAACCACTACGATGAATTTATGGTAATACACAGTCCCCCGCTCATATGTTGGATTGTTACTCCTCCGGTTGCCCAAAATGGCCTTACTCTTAGTCATTTCCGCGATTATGTTTGCAGCAGTTCCTGTCCTACCAGTCGAGGGAACCGCTAAGGGTGCTGTTCCTCTGGACACTCTAACATTTGACAAGGTATTTTTAAAATGGTTAGGACCATAAAGTGGCGCCTAGATCATGATTGGTCATGTGCATGCCCAAATTATCTACGGGCTCTTATTTAGAGTCTTTAGAGTTGGCTGTCCAGACCATCCCGGTCGTAAAGAGGTTTCCACTATTAATCTGGACTATCCAGCCTGATAAGTCTTTTCCTAAATAGTGTGCATGACTGTGAGGGGTTTTGGCGAAAAGCCTTGCATTTCAGTTTCAAAATGACCTGCAGTGATTTAATCTTATATGATGGCTGATATCATGGCAGCCAAAGATCTTGGAATTGTAAGCTTGGATCTCAACTTTATTTGATAAAAGTGTTTCATAAGGCATTTGCAGTTGAGGAAACAAGTAAAATTTTCCAAGTTTTTTCAAAAGTAGATGGCTTTTCGTGAGTTCGTACATATACGTGTTACACGTGTTAAGTTCTTTAGACAAAACAACGTGCTCAGCTGCCATTGGTCAACTTTAAACAATTTTTGTTACGGTTTTGTTACAGAAGCGTGACTCAACCACTCCCTGTACTTTGTAATGTCCAAATCAGAGCTGATCACATAAGCAATAAGAATGTGTGGAGCATTAGAATTAAAGGCCTATATTAATATTTGTGACTGTATGGAGAAGTGGAGAGGATATTAAATATTGCTTTTTACAATGAAATATTCATCCAGAAATCTGTGATACCAGTAGTCCATCTTGGTGGTGTGAAGTCTAATATTATTATTTTGTTGTGTTTGTGTTCTTGTGGTCTTGTTTTCTGAGAGTTTCCCCAGCTACTTTCATTGGAAAATAGAAGAAAAATAGAACCAAAAGAAATCCGTAGCTGTTTGTGCCTACTTGTTGTATTTGCCTGGCAACTTAAAATCTTAGTGACAAACCTGCTATGGAGGGATATTTAATTTCATGTAAGACTTATGTTTCTTTTCTCATAACTTTTTTCGGAGGCAGGTCATTGGAAAACACAAGGCAGTTCTTGTTAAGTTTGACAAACAGTATGCATATGGGGAAAAAGAGGATGAGTTTAAGAAATTTGCTGAGAAAGCATCTTCACAGCCAGATCTTCTAGTTGCTGAGGTTGGAGTATCAGGTATTGAAATTACATTGGACATGTTTATTATGCAGCGGTGTGTATGTATGCATACTTCCAGATTAATACAGCTACAGACAGGGGTTATGTGTATCCTGTGTGCCTCTATCATTATTTATTGTCCCCAATAGTACAATATTAGGAGGCAATTTTACAGAACTCAGTAATATTATTATTAAGAAACAGTGTTTATCATTTTTAATAATATTTGTCAACGTTAATACTATTGTTTGCTGTACTAACCACAAACAAAGAAAAAGAGACACATCCAGTTTTTCGAAAATATCTGAAAATAAAATGTGAAAACCATACTCCCTTCATAATGGCAAAAAAGTTCATAAATAATATGTTGTTCTTCTGGGTTCGGTTTTTTCAAGGGAATCAAAAAATGTACTCTTAATATTGTCATTAATAGACACACCCACCAAATAATTTGATTATAATTTGGTCATATGGCTGAGTTCTGCTGTACCACCTTCACCCTTTCACTCCCAAAAGCAGCCAAAGTAAGAAAAAATCAAATCCTCATTTCATTTAGTTTAATGTTGAAAAACAAATACAATTACTGTAGTACTATGTGGTGCACCAACTCAAAAGTTAGAACCACCTCTTAGGAATCAATAATTATTCATTGTGCACTGCAGGCATTCTCCTCAGCTGGGGAAAACATTATGCTTGGGTAACCGCATTGCTGAATTCTAAAAACATTGAGGAGCTGTGGGGAATCACAGTGGGTGGAGATGCCAGAAAGAAGTCTTTTTGCCACCCCTCCCTTGTCTCCTTCTTTCACCATTCTACCTACCCCGGGGGTTGATATTTCAACTCTCTCTCTCCTGTCTTGCTTAGTGATATTCAAGGGTGACAGTCATGGCATTACAAACATAAACAAGCTGCTTTCGCTTACCCAATAAATAAGCCTGCAGATGGGACACATTTATGTACCATGTGCCTAGTTAATCTTGTAGGATGTGGTATTTACAGTATTTCATCTTTTTTGTAGAGTATGGTGAAAAGGAAAATGACCAACTAAGAGAGCGATTTAACATCAACAAGGATGACTTCCCGGTATACAAGCTATTCAAACAGAATGAGGCCAATCCAGTTGACTTCAAGGGGGAGGTCAAGGCTGATGAACTCTCTCAGTTTATCAAAACAAACGCCCGTCTTTGGATAGGTAGCTGTGATGTATTACTGAATACTTTTCATATGGATGATCCTACTGCTCTCATAAAATAATAATAATAATAACAATAATGATGATGGTAATATTTTTTTTAAAAAGAATTTTAACAATAATTACTTTATTAAAAAGAAACTATTAAAATCCTATTTACAATTAATTCACTTTAAAAGAAACTATTTCTTCAAAACACTATTTACAATTCCTTTCGTTTTAAAAAGAATACTCTTAGTTTTGATGAGGAAAAAAATTCATTTCATTAAACAAAAATTACCGTATTCAAATTAAGAAGATTTATTTCAATGAAAACAATTCATTTCGATTAAAAAAAAAGAAACTATTTTCAAGGTCAATTGCATTCTTACTAAGATAATCACTAAAAAAAATCACTAAAAAAGAGGAAAATTAAATAACGTTCACAATGTGTTAATGACGAATATTTGCCATTTAAAAGTAAGGAAACACATCAATAGTCCGATTGAATGGCTCCTTCAACAACTGCGACGTCAATATCAACATTCTTAATGTCACATGGCACTCTTCTTGTGTCACATGGCACTCTTCTTCTAATAATAATAACATTTTTTTATGAACAATTAGTTGTTTATTTAAATGTTGAAATATGTAGGTAATTTACAAAAATATTTGAAATAAAAAAGTAAGCAATATACCGTAAAATTCTGAAAGTAAGCCCGGGGGCTTATATTTTTCAAAGGCTCTTTTTGAGGGGCTTATTTTTTGAGGGGCTTATATTCGGAGGGGCTTATCTAAGGAGGGAAATTTGCGTTTCGCAATCGATAGGGCTAGCCTTATAGTTGGGAGTAAATTTATTGTTTTTCCTTTGTTTTACTTTGTATTTGAGGGCAATTTTCCAAGTACAAGCCCCCGGGGGGGCTTATATTTGGAGGGGAGATTTAACGGAGGGTTTTGGGGTTACCGGTTTGGGGGGCTTATATTTGGAGGGGCTTATACATGGAGGGGCTTATTTTCGGAATTTTACGGTATAAGACTAACAACTATACAGTCATAAATTATCAAGAAATTCAGTGGCAATAATGATTTTCCAAATACTTTCCTTGTGGCTCGGATGCAATCATTTCTGGTAGCACAATATCACTTGCACACAGTTCAGTGTTTTAAATTAAGTCATCGCAAATGCATTTCTCCTTTTCTGAAATGAAAAAAAATCAAGATAAAGAGAATAAATTAAACCTTGCATCCCTAACTGGTCTAAATGGCACTTTCTGCATTTTCAATCTTGTTGTCAACATTTTTTAAGATGTCATGTCATGAATTAAGCAAATCATTAAGAACCATATATGCAGGAGTCTTTGTGTGACTTTTCATAAGAGAACTCGCGATTCCTCCCTTTTCTTTTCCTTTCTTGCCTTTTTTAACATTATGGTTTTTCGGAATCAGCGCTGCTTAGAAAACTGAAAAGACTTAAAAAGCTGGGTTAACATAAGTGTGTGATAAAAGGGAGAATTTTTCTACTCTATTCTCACTGCATATATAATGAGCGTTTTTCACCCCTCCCACCTCCCCTGGTGGCGGTGACCACATCACCAAGCCTTGCTGCATATCTTTGTCAAGGCAGTTGCGGATTCGTCCCATTACTTAGTTTGCCGGGATGCCACAATAGCTATGCAGTGAGGATAAATTACTAATCCCATCCAGACAGGGTCGCAACAGAGGCAAGGTCGACAGACAATTAAATATTTTTCTCTCATTTCAGGGATGCCAAATTGCATCGAGAAATTCGACAAACTCGCTGAGGAACTCTTGAAAAGCGACAGCTCCAGTTATGCAGACATCATTCAAAAAGCAGGAAAAGCACTGGAAGAAAGCACAGACGAGATGGAAAAGGCGAATGGAGAGATTTACGTTAAAATCATGAAGAAGATCCAAGAGAAAGGTGTTGAATACGTTGACAGTGAAGTGGTGCGCGTTCAAAAACTTTTGAAAGATAAAATAACTGACAAAAAGAAGGATCTGTTTAAGAAACGATTAGATATTTTAACATCTTTTCAGCTTGTTAAGCAAGGCAGTGAAAAAGATGAATTGTAGTATTGTTTTAGTGCCACCCCACCTTAGGGAGGTTCGTAGTGAATTTCTATTTGAATTGCTAGCATGTTTGAGAGGTCTTTTTCAGTTGCAGCTATGCATGCCACTTTATCTAACAAATGCAACTTTTGAACATAAACAAATAAAATTGAGGATGGCAGTATTGAAGACTTAACGTTTTGAATGGACTGAGTCATTTTCTCAACCAACTGATTTTTGACAAATATCTTTGAATTGATAATAGCTAGTTGACAATGTTATAACTTTAATAAATAATGGTAATAGGACTGAGTGGAGTCCAGTTAGGTCTGTAATCATAAGAGTGATTTACGATGGAGTCCGATTTGTTTAATCACGCGTATGATTGCAGACTGAATTGGATGACTTGTTACCAATTAGTCATAACTACAATTTGTTTTAGTTTTACCAGCTAGGCTTTTTTCAGGTATTTTCTAAACTTAAAACACAAAATATTCCGAAAGTTTTTTTACTCGCAGTGAAAAAAAGAAAAGCTGCTTGTGTACCGACACCCCATCGTCTCTCTCCCCGATTTTTTCTGAGGGAAGGGGGGCGTCTTTAGACAGGCTAAAGCGCACGCTTGATGGTGTGCACTGTCCAATTACTTAGGCATGATGTGTATCGTCCTATTACACTGTACTATTAGTGCTGAAATCAGGATAGTTGATAGCCAATCAGATTTTGTTAGTTATGATTAACTAACTTACTGAGATATAAAATATCAGCAAGTCCGCAACGACAAACCGTTGAGTGGTGCAGGATCTCTCAGTTGTAGACTTGGATCAGTACAATAATAACTTGCACAAAATCATAAAACGGCAAACTGATCCTTACGGCAAGGCGATGAAGAAGTAAACAAAAGAATAGAACGAAAGTATAAATTGCCCAATATTTCAGTTTGAAAGCAAATCTTCCTCAGGGGCTTAAAGAAAAACTTTAACTTACTGAGACACGAAGCTCCGGCCCACCGAAAGCTTGGATACTCGCGTGGCGAGCGTGCGCGCCAAGACATACGCTGGCAAAATATTAAACAGCAATTATTGAAATACTGCAAAATCACAAAGCTTGGGGAAGTCGCCGCGATACTCATAACCTGCGAGTAAGCTCTCCTGTTTGGGCGAGTGAAACAGGTTTTGCGAGAACGCGCGAGCGAGTGGCAAAGCCCCTCGCTCGCGTGTTCTCGTGAGGCTCGCTTCGCTTGCTAGGAGAGCTTGCTTGCAGGCTACGATACTCACGGATAGCAACATTCAAGAGGTGAACCAGATTTCTTTGAATCATAATAACAATACCTCCAAAGGGAAGGAGGGAGGGAGGAAAGTATACAAAGAAAAATTTCAACGGCAGCTCTTACTACTGCCTGGTTGCAGCATAGTTCTTGAAAATAGAGGGAATGTCGAACAAGAGATCTGGGAACGAGATTTCGTACCGAGAGCAATTAGCAAATGCAGGTGGTGGTAAGCGCTGTAAGCAGCAGGCCTCTAGCCTGCTGGCAGACGTTCGAAAGGTCGGAAAAAGGAATTTGGGCGTGAGAAGGGAGGGGGATCCTTCGCACTTGTCATACGCCCAAAATCCCCTTTTCCCATTCAAACGCCACGTACAAAAAAGCTTTTAAGCCTGTATTGCCGTTCAGGCAGCAGTATAATCGTCTGTACTGAGATCGAGACCGCTTGCTTTCAGTATATGTCGCCGATCTACCTGCTACGTACCCGCTGTAAATGACCGGGAAACTGAACACACGGTGCCGGCAACAAGAAACATCGCAGGTCTTTTGTTGTACCGCCGAATATTTGGGTCCCTCCCTCCCGAAACCGCGTGTACCTGGAACTAGTGTATTGCTTGCTTTTGATCTTTCCGCGCTGAAAAGCACGCTGTGGTCCACGCCGTTTAGTAGATCGCTTTTTGCGCGTTTGTAATCACACAGACCTGAAAATCAAGGTAGGTGGAAATTAAATGGTTTGGTTTTGTGTTTAAGGAAATAATAGGGTTCAAGGATGGACTTAATCGTCAGTGTAACTGAATCACAACATCGGAAGCGTCCATTATTGACTGCATAGTGGAAGCTTATCAATCTTCTCGGTCGCGTAAATTTTCGAATAACATGTAAGACTTAACTGCCTGTCTGCGTTTGTTAAATACAATGTATTTTTGTAAACTTTGGTTTGTGTCGCGTAGCATTTTCCACTTTCGCTGCATTCATTTTTTAAGTTTATTCGCAGGGCATAAACGTTTGTCGAGTTAACGCGACGCCATATTAGTCTGGCCGTTTCTAAGAATGCTTCGTTGTGTGGCGATTTTACGTCCCAGGGTTCTGGGATCGCCAGGGGGCAAACATTGTGAGTCGCTACAAGGAAATGTATGGCGTGGAGTTGTTTCTCCGTTAAAAGCAGTGTCTTTGGACATAGAATGCCACATTTTGCCATGATTTTATGAGAAACGGAGGTGACTTATGTTGGTGCTTTGAAATTTCAAGTTTCTGTGTGATTAATGTGATAAATTCTATCGATAAACACTCCTTGCGTGAGGTTGAGTGTGAAATTTATGTTTACTGAATTCACACAGTGATCTACATGAAGAAAAGGTCTCAAAATATATAGTGCAAACTTAGGTATACATGTAGGGGGATTGGCTCATTTAAGCGGTTAAGTGATAATTACGTGTGGTGATATTTACGACGAGTGTAACTACGCTCGGCCGCGATCAGCGCTCTGCGGCGCTGTGCGGGTTATGACAAGACAACAATCGAAGGTATGTACGTGGCCATAAAAATAAAAATCCTCCTTTACTTTGGTGTAAACAAAGTGACATCTACGAAATATTTCATGGAAAGTACATGGTATTTAACCATTAGTAGATGAGGCAAAATCGTATGAACGAGCAGGATTTCCGATACAAAAGCAGTTAGAGTGTGTAAATAAATCCCAAGCTGATATGCGAAATTCAGAGATTCTATTTCTTCCCTAAAAATGATTGGAAAAGGCATCAGAACTCATTGGTGCTCTGGATCATGACGAAACCTTTCGCTTGTGTTTTTTTGGCAAGAAGAAATCAAAATACTAATGTGGGGAAGATGTTTTTGTTTTTAAAGTTAACACATATGAAATTCAACAATACATAAACTTACCGCCGATCGTTGTCACAAGCCGGCTCAGCATTGTGATCGCTGCCGAGCGGAGCGTAATTACAGTCGTTGTAAATATGAGCACATGTAAGTACAACTGGAAAGGCTTAAATGAGTCTACATTCCCCGCTCATTTATACCTAAGTTAGTACTATATTTTTCGAGACCATTCAGACTGTAAATTTCACAGTCGACCTTAAGCAAGGAGTGTTTATCGATAGATTTCATCGTATTGATCCCACAAAAACTTACAATTTCAAAGCACCAACATTAGTTACCTCCGCTTCTCATAAAATCTCAGCAAAATGCGGCATTCTCGTCCAAAGACACTGCTTTTAAGGGAGAAACAGCTCCACGCCATACATTTCTTTGTAGCGACTTGCAATGTTTGCCCCCTGGCGATCCCATAATCCTGTGCGCATAACTAAGTCTCACATTACTGGAAAATCATTCATTGCGCCAAAACAGCTAATGTAAAACAAGGCTGCTAAATTAATTATATTTAAAATTTTTTGCCCATGAAATTCTGCCAGAGGATGCTGTTTGAAGCTGGTAGAGCTTTATTTATGAAGAATTGAAAGATATATTCAAGGAAAACAAGCAGGGTTTTGACAGTAAAAGCCGTACTGTAACTAATTTCATTGCATTTGAAGAATATATGGTAAAAAAGTGTCTTGCAAAACCGTCGCAAAGTCTCTTGCTGACGGCATTGTACAGCTTGCAATTCCCAGTGTTTTAATACATAAGGAGAATCAATATGATGATTCAGTGACTGTAAACATTTCCGTTTTTATTAAACAAACAAACATTTCATTTCAGAATGATATTTCACTAAAAAACATGAGATTGGGAGTCCTGTCATGAGAAAAGTTAAAAATCATGAGCTTGGACCAGATTGGGAGTTGAAGAGCAATGCAGTTGCTGATCTTTTTGTCATGATTATAGCCTGGGTAAATCAAAAAGCTTGAAAAGTTCTGTCTCAAAGTTGGCCATAGTGCAGGGTTGTCATTAAGAGCCGGGAGCCGGGGATTTTCCCCGGCTACTAAGAGAGTGGCCCCCGGCTACTTTTATTGGAAAATAGAAGAAAAATAGAACCAAAAGAAATCCCTAGCCATTTGATTCCCCGCGTACTTGTTGTATTTACCCGGTAACTTGAAATCTTAGTGACAACCCTGATAGTGCTTATTTGAAACATTCAAAGTCCATATGAAGACAACTTATCATCCTGTGAAATGTCAGTACAAAAGTCATAACATCAAAAGCTCTGGGCAATCGCGGAAGAGGAATGATCTATGATAGTTGTTGTTTTGATATTGGGTGCTTTCATGCAGAGCAACTATATGTTACGAACGGTGTCTACACCCGAGTGACACATTTGCATATTGCAGTGCCCACAATAACTTTAATCCATAAGTTAAAAAAAGCATCAAGCAGCCATTTTGAATTGTGTGTTTCATAACAGTCCGATTTACAGTCCGATTTACAGTTAAGCCTAACTGCCAATCATAATGATATCTCTGAGTTATTGTATAAACTGCTGCAGTTGAAAATACAAACTACAGACTTATGGACCCTAATTTTTTGTCCCAACATCACGATTTGATTGTTCTATTCAGGGAACATCATCTTTGAGGAACATACGATCCCATTCTCTACATTTTTGCAGTCTTGGTGCTTTGAATAAGTTGGGCAAGTGTCCCAAGAGTTCGATTCCACTTCAAGCCTGAAATTTTTTGGGTTCTTTTTCAATCACTTAGGCCCGGTTCACACACCGAACTTTTCATGAGCCAAACCTAATACTTTGAATTGAGTACATGAAAAGTTTGGCATCTCAATCATATTAGGGATGCCCGTTTCAATTTGGAAAGACTCACCTGTTCTTTTTGCCTAGCCCAGCTGGAATTTCGCCTTTGGAGCAACTTTGGAATGGCTTTGATTCAGATGCCGAACTTTTCATGTACTGAACCTAATGCATAAATTATTATAACATATTTCGTAAGCAGTTTGACCAAAATGAGCATTTTGGGGGTTTTGAACTTAGTTCAGCTGCATATAGATTGGCGTCTGAATCAATTCAGGCCATCTTAATAATTTGGGTCAGCCTTAATTGGTATTAGGTTTGGTTCATGAAAAGTTCGGCGTCTGAACCAGGCCCTAGGTTGTATTGTTGTTCATTCTACCGCTAAGATCGCGTTCGCTTTCGCGTCTTGTATCCGCAGTTCAAAATATGATTCGTTTCATATATTTCATTTTGTGTTCCAAGGGTTAACATAATAATGGGAGTTGATTACCGTATACATATAATAATAATAATATGTAATTTTGTCATTGAGGGTCCTGTGGTTACTAAGAATCTTCCTTTATCCAAAAAATGTTCTTTGTGGAATATTCTTAGAGAAGTGAGACAGACTAAATTGATAATAATATTGCATGTGTTCATTTGTTTTTTTTGTAGATGGTGACCAAAGTGTATGTCGGAAACCTTGGGGATAATGGAAAGAAAGAAGAAATTCAGAGAGAGTTTGAGAAATATGGAAGACTTCGCGATGTTTGGGTGGCTCGTAATCCTCCAGGCTTTGCATTTGTGGAATTTGAGGATGCACGTGATGCTGATGATGCCATAAAGGATTTGGATGGGAAGCACATATGTGGAGCTCGTGTCAGAGTTGAACTGTCCCGACACAAAGGAGGTGGTCGCAGTCGAGGTGGAGGTGGAGGAGGCTACCGTGGAGGGGGAGGTCGCCGTTTTGAAGAAAGAGGTGGCTTTGGTCGTTATGATGACAGGTCCAGGTCACCCTATCGGTAGGTTTTGTTTTGTTTTTCAGTGTGCTCTATGAATTATTAATAGATTGAATCCATTGGTTTAATGAGCAATAGTATTAGCTAGATTTAAAGAGGAAGGTAAAATCAGGCTGTTGTTTTGCTTGTAATTCTGCAATCAGTAAATGTTAATTTCAGGGAGTGTTCTAGCATCTGCCATATTTAAACTAAGCTAATCATTTACAATTTGTACCTGTGTACAATCTGACACAAGTACCTTTATATGTAATGTACAGTTTTTGTTCTTCAGTTATCTCCAATCATTAGTTAATATGTTATAGCTCTCCATAGTGCACTCCATTATTGTAGCCAATAAATTAACTGTAGTATGTTTTTTTATGTGTTTCATGCCAAATACATGTAACTGTTTGGGTTGTTCTTTAGGTTCATCCACTAACCTCGTCTTCGCATCTTTACCACATTTTTATGGTGGCAAGCTCAACAAAGTGTGGTGCCTAAGAGCACCTTTGTTCTCCATTCAAAATACCAGTACACAGGATGTTCAACAAAACATCAACATTTTGTCCAGCAGATTGTTCACTTCCTTCAATCAACCTCCAAATTCTGCCCTCGTCCATCTGCCACCAACCAATTCAACTCGACCTCCCTCTCTCTTTAAATTCACCACACTCTGCTTTTGTGCACTCGGATATAAGAAAGGATTTCTGCTGTCACCCTCAAGGTCACCCAAATGCTGCCCACGTGTCGTCAGTTCAAATCCATGGGTTTCGATTTGTTTGACAGCAGCATGCATTCCTCTCCTCGAATTTGTCAACCTCCCCCAGCCAACTCGTTAGTTTACCTCTTCAGCATGTGAATCGACACTCCAGTTTGTTTAGCGTGGAAACTTGTGTTTTTCCTCTCCTGCAATTAACCAAACTTCAGCTTTACAGGTAGTGGTTGAGATGTTTTGATTAGTTTTAAGGGGCAGTGTCACCTTTATTATTTTTCACTGTGAAAAGGCAAAAAAATTGACATGTAAACAATTCAATAACTTCAAATGAATTGTCTGATGTTATAAATGTTTACTACATACTGTATGCTGGAAGGAATTAAAAACTATTTTTGACTTTTATGTGGCTAGGATGGAAATCATTTCAGTTCAGTGAAGTTTATTATGCATGGTCAATTTGCTGCATTGTTTTTACACTCTGCTCATTCACTCTTACAACTAATAGCTTTGGAGCAGTTTCCTAATGAATTTGTTTACCAGGCCCATGTCCTGTGCCTTTTGATGTCAAATCATTTGCCTACATTGTAGTTACTAGCTTTCCCATGCTATATAGTTAAAGCAAACCATGTGTAATCTTTCATCATATCTGCACACGTAATTAATATTTAAATATTTCCACTAATATTAGTCTTTAAATGTAAAACAGGTCACCACCAAGACGAAGGGGAAGGTCTCCTGAAATGGACAGGTATAACTTTTGTGTTGCTAAATTATTTGCCTTGTTCTGGGACTGGAGTTGGCCTCTGAAAGAAAATGGCTTTTTTTGCAGAGACTTAAAGTTGGGTCTTGCAAAGGTAGCCCATAAGTAGAGCTGTCTACTTACACTCAGTAGAGTGTCTGTTAAAAGAGGGCTTTGACTGCATATTGTTCCATGGAGTGTTTACTGTCCAAAGCTGTTATTTGGGTTCTGTCTAGTGTACCTGTGGCGTACCTGTAAATTATGTTAAAATTTTAAATAAAATTTACACCCTGTTATCTTCTCTTTTTGTCACAAGAAAAGGCATTAAACACTTTGCAGTCAATGCAAATTTCAAAGCTGGTTAACCTGTAGTAAGCAATCAGTCAGCCATTTTCGAAAGTGACCATTTGATACAAATTTGGCTGTATTACCAGACTTGATCAGTTTCACATATTTATTGACTTGTATCTTGACCTTATTAATGTGTTACAAATATAGTTAAGCTAACCTTTTTTCTCTCAGGTGGCAGTCAAGGAGGAGCAGATCTCGTAGCCCCAGACGTTTCTGAGTTTGGTCTTAGCAAATGCAGTTTTCAGCAACGGGTAACCTTACTCTTTTTTTAACTTATTTGATTATTTAAAGAATGCTCTGATAGAGCACAGATTCTGGCTGTTACTCCTGAAAAATTTCTGCTCTGATTTTAATAAAATAATATATTATCTTTCTTCTTTTTTCTGCAGATTTCTGGTGCTAAAGAACTCTAATGACCATTTGATTTACTCAAAACCATGTAGATGGCTGCATATTCTTCATTCATATATCCAAAGACAGTTTTTTTTATTTCTAATTTAATTGTTTTCCTATTTGTTCAGTTGTTTGTCATTGAAAACTTCAAGCGTGTATCACTGAGTTTGTTGAACATTACAATTTTTATCCAATGAAAGGTAGTTGTCCTGCATTACAATATAAAGGATGGATAGGTTTCCTTTCACACCTTGCGCAGATTTACCTAAAATTTTGATCACAGTAATAATACTTCATTCTTAAGACTTGCTTAATGGCATGTGATTCAATGAATTTGCTAGTTTCAGTGGTGGCTTTGGATAAACTTTGACTCACTGCTCACTACTAAAATCTATTTAAATAAATCAGGCTAAATAAAATGAAAATCAGTTACAGAAACCTCAGATGTGTACTTCTCAGTAGTCTGAGAAAATAACCAACTTTTCACAATACTACCAAGCAGCGTGCAAAGAATTTAAGTAGTGTTCAATAACCCGGATTTTGCTTTTGGGCTAGTGAATTCTGTTCTTAACTTGCCTGACGGGCAAGTGAGGTTTTTTAAGGAATTCAAATTGAAAAAGACCTGTGAAATGAATCCTGCTCATCAAAAGGCTTTTTGGACTAGTTGAAATGAGTTTGGGCTAGTAGCCTGTGAACAGGCCTTTGGTCGAGCGGTGAACTAGGGAGAGGGAAAAGCGAAAATTTCTCGGGAAAATGATTTCTGAAGACAAGGAGCAGAAATTCCTTGCTATTTTTTTCCCCAAACAGAGAGCCTGTTAACAGGCTATTGGGCTAGTAGATGCTAGCTTGAGCTTGCCCAAATGGCAAGCTGTAAAAATGATTTTCTTTGCACCCTGACCAAGGGTTTCTCGGGAAAATGATTTCTGAAGACAGGGAGCAGAAATTCTATATTGATGAGGTGTGAGTACCCAGATCTTGGTAATGCTTCTGGTTGGTTGAAAATTTGACCGATCAGAAGCACTACCCAGATCAGGGTAGTGACACTTTATCAGTATGGAATTTACATGCTTGTTTCTCACTTGTCATTTCACGAAGAAACTGTTGGTGGTGTTGAAAAATGTCAGTCTAATGACAGCTGTTTTCTCAGGCTAATTTCTCAGGTGGCAAGTAATCTTTAGCTCGTGCTTTTTTACTCTGCTAACTGAGTAGTTGACACACATGAAAGGTAAGGAAAAGACAGAAGGCAGTGTTCAAGGCAAAGTAACCACATTTTTTAAGTTTCTGGCCAGATGGCCTGTTGCCTACCATCTGATTTGAACTCTTTGTGGTGATGCACTTGATTTTAAAGCAAGTTTAAGCTTTAGTGTGATTGGGTAAATATAGTATTTTTTGATTTGATACTCATCTGGAACTTTGTATCTTGTGGAAATGCCATGAAGTCATGATTGATAAATACAGCGAGATAAGTGAGGATTGTTTTACTCAGAAGTGCATAAGACACTTTTATTATTCTTGACATGATTTTGCCTTTTTCCTTTATAACACAATCAGTGTGAGGATAGATAATCTTCTTACAGTTTAGAGATCAGTGTTTCTGTTTGTCAAATATAAGTGTTTGAGTATTATAGCCATTAATACATTGATAAACTCTGTTATACTGTAATTGTTGCCTCGTACCTGTCTTTCTCCTCTCATTTTTGTGCACCAGTATGGGGAGGGTGGTTAGGCATATCCACGGGCACGTGAAATTTTAGAGAGATTTTTTCATAAATCACAGCTCTCAGACTGTAAGGATGTCATTGAAACTTTTTATATAAAATGACTACTTCCAAATCCTGCTGTTTTCAGGTGTATAGCCTGAATTGTTCTACAGGTGCACACAATTTTTGCAAACCCCCTTCACTACCTCCTTCCCATCAAAGTCCCAATTTTTTTCAGGTCCCTTGATTATAGGCAAGATCTTGTTGTCCCAAACGTATCCCGCATGGCAGACGGTTAAACCTTTTGTAATTTAAACACTTGTGAGTGAGGGGTGCTGTACACAGACTACTTTCTAAAATCATTTGGGTTCTTTTATTATTCTCTTTTTCAAGAACTCATTAACAATTCATGAAGAAAACTACAAAATTAATTGATGGTTGTTGAGTGTCTTTATATCTGATCAAGACGGCTAAACTTTACGTCCAATTGTTTAGATCAAAATAACCCCAAATCTAAATATTAGTGCAAAAACGAGTTGATCTCTATCAGAGATCGTGTATTTTGCCTCGAATTTTTAAACCTTCTAAAATACCCCTGCTCGTTTTTTTAAACAGTACTTAAAAGTTGTTTCACTTTCTTTGCCCTCTACTTTTTCAAGTGCATGCCGTTCGTACAGGTAGCTACACACTTGGTTTTACCCAAGTCAAAGTTCAACATAATACCACGACAGCAGTGATTAAAACGACTTGACTTTTCCCGATATTTCGGACGGACAAGTCGTTATTCTTCAAGGATCCCCTGAAGCTGACAAGGACGGCTTGTCCTCCAAACTCTTTATCAGCCGATTTCTCTTTCTCCCTTAAACCTGAAGAACATTTGCTGGAGGAAAGTTATGCTCAAAAATACTCGGATATCCGGACTGAAGTTTTGTTTTATTTGCTTCTCTGCTGAACATGTCAACAATCCTAACACTGTACTCGGAGATGCCTTGTGGATATTTTCTTTAAAATTTGTTGTCGTGATGAGAAAGACGTAGAAATTCTCCCCGGAAATATCCTCTCGGAAGGTAAAAAAATGCGCACCTCTTCAGAGATGGTTCTACAGTTTTGGAGCCACAGCAGGACATTGACTATTCTTCACAGAGAGTAGGCAATACTATTTATGCTGTGTGCTTGAGACCCTTTGTTCCTTAGGGAAAGTTCATTTAATATGACAAGGGGGTGGGGATGAAGATATTGAAACTCGAAGCTTGAAATTTTAGCAGCCCCCCTTCGCTAGCGGTTTAATTTTTTTTGGAGCCCCTTCCTTGGTAGTCGAAAAAATTTCAGAGCCCCCCCCTCCTCCTTCAATTCCTTTGCTCCCTTGAAAAAAGATCGCTAGACTGTATTAAATATATTTACCGTTATTGTCTTCAATGGTTTATACTATGACAAACTTGAGATACAGTTGTGATACAATTTTCTAAAGCATTTTTGGGATGAACAAGAGTGTAATAATTACTGAGACTACATTTGTTAAATCTGTAAACCACGTGACATAGTTGAGTTGCACAGGTCATTAAATTGTTGAGTTGAAAACCATCTGATCTGTATGATGATGTCATGTGTTGGTTTTGAAGTATACAAATTTTCGGAGCCCCCCCTTCGGGTGTCTAAAAATTTTCGGAGCCCCCCCTCAATATCTTCATTCCCCCCCTTGTCATATTAAATGAACTTTCCCTTACCAGGCTCTAGCAGGCAAGAGAAGGAGCCTCGTTTCCAGATCAACATTCAAAATGGCGGCAATGTTTGACCGCGAAATCCTCTATCCACTTTATGCTTCAGCTTCTCGACTAGCAAAATAAACAGCTGAGACTCTCACGTTTAGTCATGGAGCGCTACCACATTCTAGAGCTTATTGGTGAGGGTTCCTTTGGGAAAGTTTACAAAGGACGGAAAAAATATAGTGGACAGGTAAGCTGCATGGAGGGTTCAAATATGTCGACAGCAACAAAATAAATTTATTATCATCTGAATGTGGATGACCTTGATGTCTCTTTGGTTTCTTTTTGTTCAGTCATTTATGTTTTTCATCTTAAACCGGAAACTCGTAAATGTAGTCTACATGTACAGCTGTTTTCTCAAGTGAATTTCATAAATGTTACACATTGGTATTAACTTAAGCTTATATTTTGATATTCTAATCCTTTATTTGTTAAATGATCAAGTTTAATACTAACATAAACAGGAAGTAGTGTGCAATAAATGCAGAGCCGTAGACTGCCAGGTAGACAATGTTAAAAAGTGATTATTAAATGATGTGAAATGGTCTGAAAGCTATACCTATCCCTAGATCTTAAGTTTTCTGAAGGTCTTGACAATTTTCAAAGCTTTTCACAACAATATTTACCAACTATTGTGCAAGTGTGAATTTGTCACACGCTTTGACACAAGAACTCTTTCTGTGGTTGAAATTTATACCGGTGAATGCTCAAGAATTCCTGGAAAAGAGAACTGTACTACTTTCCCAGCATGAGCACCACTATAGATCAGGTATGCAATGTTGTACTCCAGTAATCACATTGCCTTGCTAATGTTAACTTTCAGGTTGTGGCTTTGAAATTTATACCCAAAGTAGGGAGATCAGAGAAAGAGCTGAAAAATTTACAAAGAGAAATTGACATCATGAGGAACCTTGAGCATGAAAACATAATCAAATTACTGGACTCCTTTGCAACACCCAAAGAAGTATGTTGTTTTTGTTGCATTTATCAAAGTTTCAGAAAAGACAAATGTATCTCTCTTGAGTAGTGGGTATACTTACAATAAGTTAAGGTTGTAAGGAATCCCAAAGCTCTAATGTTTGAAATCCAGGGTGCTCGGCATATGTTTTCTCCAGAAGCTAAGATTTCCTGTCGAAGAATGTCTGGAGTGTATCAAGAATTTTGGGTTGAAAAAAATGGAAGTTAGGTCTCAGAGAGCTTCTCGTGATTATTAACCCTCAAATTAATAATTTCTTAAAAACTGTTACTTAAATTTAAAATTTGTGTTTATTTCCTGTAATGTTGTCAGAATAATTATCCCTCGTATCCCCCGTGCACTTTAGCAAACAATAAGCCAGTGAATCTGTTTGGGCATCTTTAATGAAAGAACCAAGACCCTGAGGACTCTAGAGAAGCTCCTAGGGAGGGAGAGAGGAAATAAAAACAGCAAATCAAACGACTGAGCAAGACCAATGATCAGATTACAGGATGTCAGTCAACACCCAAATGGTGAAACAGCATGGGGCCCTTGGGCTAATTAAGTTATTCCCTAGGAATATCAACCATGTGTAATAGCATAGCCTGAGAAAACAGCTGACATTTGGCGACGCTACCACTGGTTTCCCCGCCAAATGATGTCTGAGAAATGAGCGCAGAAATTTCATACTAATGACGTGCTATTACCCAGATCTGGGTAGTGCTTCTGATTGGTTGAATCAAATTTCCCTCGTGGCACGACCAATCAGAAGCTCTACCCAGATCTGGTTAGTGATGGTGCATCAGTATGGAATTTCTGCGCTTGTTTCTCAGAGGTCGTTTGGCGGGGAAACCAGTGGTAGCGCCTTCAAATCTCGGCTGTTTTCTCAGGCTAGTAATAGCAGAGAAGAACAAACTTAGGTGATGATTGTCTAACAATTTGTTTTGTTGAAAAAGGTTTGTGTGGTAACAGAGTATGCTGAAGGGGAATTATTCCAGGTATTAGAAGATGATGGTTCTCTTCCAGAGCAACAGGTTTGTCTTCTTTGGCAAATTGTATAATTATATTACATTAAAAATATTTTATTAATATGAACCTGTTAATTAAAAGCTAATGCTGTTTGGTGGGTTCTGGGGATGTTTGGAGGCGTTTTTTCTTCGTTGGTTATCAATAGAGAGGAGAAGTAGGATGTCATGTCACCATGGTAGCTCTATTTCTGGATGCAACAAAACCAACTACAACGGCGACGAAAGGAGAAGGCAAAAAAGAAATAGGTTTTAACAACAAATTTGCACGTGCATCACGCTATTTTGTACATTTCTTTGCTGTCGTTGCATCCCTGCGTCATGAAACTTCCTAATTTCACATGCTTGCTTTATAGAGTAGGTGAACACAACACAAAAGTTGTCTTTTTCCTCTTTTAAACTTAGATACAGTCCTTTCTGATTCAACCCGAGGAAATTTCGCCAACATTTGCCAAATTAAATGAAATTGAATAAGATCAATGAAGTTTGAAGTGGTGCGAATTCACCTGTTAAGTGACATTTTGGGTTTGTTGTGATCCAAAATTTTTGCTAACGTGGCAACATGACATAACAACTTCTCCTCTCTATTCCTTAGAAAATTAACTGCTCCCATGTTGTGCTATTACTGCAATGCTGCCACAATCCTTCACCTTTCATCTGGTCACTGTCTAAGAAAAGGAGAGGGTTTGGGAGGGGAGTAGCAGTAATGAAACAATCCATGGACCAAATTCACTGCAAAAATTATGTGCCACACTTCAACATGCAGAAATACACTTCATGTTTCTACAACAAAGATTGCTAAGAGTCAGCACTAACCTTCTGTTACCACTAACAGCCATAAAAATACCATCTGCTCTTTGCTATTTAAGCTTTGTTAACCTGGGTTTACCTGTACAATGGAAGCTCTCCTAACGGACACTCTTGTAAGAGGACAGCTCTACTTACAGCCACCTTCACAAAACCCCATTTCAATTCCCATACAAACCCCGTATTTTCACATTCCGTAGACACTTTCTGGATTTACAGGTTAGATTTTGGCTTTGTTTTTAAGCTTCCATAAGTAGACCCCTGAAATGAAATCCTAATCTCGTCTGAATCTTGTTTTTCAATAAATCACCTTCAAATCACTGTTCTTCATAATAAATTTACCAGTACATCTATTCAGTTTCTGTGTCAAGGTTTTTATAAATACACACCAGCCCAGTTGCACTTCAAATGCCCCTTGAATTTTAATTTTTTTCTGCATTGTCAGAACAACAGTGGAGTTAATCACTGAAAAAAGTGTGGTGGACTCCTTGACTTTTAATTTTTCAGGTCAGAAAGATTGCATGCCAGCTGGTTAAGGCATTATATTACCTGCACTCTCACAGGATTCTTCACAGAGATATGAAACCACAGAATATTCTTTTGGGAAAAGGAGGAGTTGTGAAACTGTGTGATTTTGGGTATGATGGTGATACAGGATTAATTTCTATCAAAATGGTCATTTTAAGTTGGCAGAAGCAATGTTACATGTATTTTAATTTCTAAATATACTCGAAACTCCCGTAAGCAACCACCTAAAATGGAAAGACTTGGTGGTTGGTTTCAACAGGTGGTCCTTTACGAGAATTGAACCATGGGGTCTCTTCTGAGAAGAGGTCTGGACACGTCTACTTCATGGAAGACAATACATTGCATGCAATTTCTAAGTTGCAAAATGTGTAGTTCCAAATTGTTGCTTAAGTTCTTATACGCTACAAGTAGCACAGTACATACAGTGAACATTGAGATCAGACCATGCCTCAAGACAGTGGTCCCTTAATACGAGAAGTTAAAAACAAAGAAAAACTAAAATCTGTTTGGGCTTCAGTGTTTTCAATGTTGCAGTGCATAAACTGCAGCTTGCTTGGGTTAGCTTGTTTAGTATTTAGCATGTAATTTGTAGTGAGTGTTAGGTAAAAAGAATTACCACCATTTTTTTCCAGACAGTTGAATTTAACATAAGTTCTAGCCTGCAATCAGTAATACAGATATGCAGAAAGAGAGCTCTGAGACTGGGTATTGAACATTAGATGTATTTCGTTCTCCTAGCAAAGCGATTATTGCTTTTACTTCCTTTTTGAGTAGATGTAACATTGTTGTCAACCTGAACATGAGATATTTTGAGGATGATGACAGTGTTATGACCAATCACATCAGAGAAAGGACATTTGACCACAAATATAATTAACATGTTGCTGCTTGTAGCTACATGTATCTCATACCTGATTGCCTTTTTCCATGAGACACAATGTACGTAGGTGCTCACGGTTTTCATGGTGGGATCATATAATACTATATGATTATATATAAAATTTGGAAATCATGATAAGTTTTTTCAATTTCAGTTTTGCACGAGCTATGAGCATCAACACACTTGTGCTTACATCAATAAAGGTACCGTTGTAAAACCTAATTTATGTTTATTGTAAATCCCAACTTTTGTTGTATGATGCTGTGGAAAAAGGAAAATCCGGGCTCGTTTGTGAGCCAAAAGAGCTATGCTTTCATGGGTCAGAGTTTGACGTACCATGCGGTAGTTTCGTTTTGCAAGGGCTCAATTTCCTGGATGGAGTGATTTTTCTATATTTTTTGGGCGCTAATTTTTGTGATTGGTCCAGTCTGGTTTTCAGGCTGGGAATTAATTTTTACTATTCTTGGTAATAATATTGCATTCAATTTGAGGTGAAATACAGGCAACACACCACATGGAAATACATACCAGTTGTCTCTCTTTAAGTTATTACAGTTAGGGCATCCATTTTTTGTGTTAAAAGTTTTACTAACAATAGCTTTTTTTTGTGGATCTTGAGAAACATCACAAAAACAGGAAAAATTTGAACTGTCAAGAATAAAGTACCAAACAGTAGTTATGAGGCATAAATCAGCTTAAGCACTGCTCCTTTCCCATAATCTGTTACTGTATAAACCTTAGTTAGCATTCTGCTTTGTAGCCCTTTCTTTATAAACCTGCCAGGCCTTTAATACCTACTACAACAAGAACAATGATTGTACTTCACATCGTACTTGCTTTAATTTCTTGCAGGGAACTCCACTTTACATGTCTCCGGAACTGGTGCAGGAAAAGCCATATGATCATAACTCTGATCTCTGGTTTGTAGTACTTTCGACATACTACTTCTTGGTTTAACAAATGCATGTCTTTGAAGTGTAAGGGATGTTCTTGCTTAACTTTACATATTATGCTATGTGGGTATGTAACTGCCAATATTGAGCTTTAGTCTCAAACTTGGTTTTCAATAAGAGTAAAGATTTGGGTATTTTGGGCAAACTATGTAATAATTGCATAGCAGTAGAAGTGTATTGTCTTGAACATGAAATGCAGTTTATTCTCCATTATTTAACGGACACTGCCTGTAGGCAGACACCCCCACCCCCTCTAAGTAGGTACTTAGTCATGGTGCCAGGGACATGCAAACACTGCGTTCTTATGATGTAATGTTCTTCAAGCAGACATTTCTTCTAAGCAAACACCAAGTTGCTAGCCTCAAAAGTCTCCACCTGTGGATCTTTTCTAAGCCGTAATTTTTATGCTTTTTTTCTTTTTCCGTAGGTCTGTAGGGTGTATCTTGTATGAATTGTTTGTTGGAACTCCACCATTTTATACCAACAGTATTTTTCAGCTGGTGAATCTTATCTGCAGGGTAAATGTGACACTTTCAGTGTGGTATTTTTTTATCTGTATTGTAAAAACCCACGAGTAAGAACCTGGTTTTAAAGAGCATGTTTGACTAAAATTTGCCAGTTAGGCCCCCTCTGTACAAGAACCCATTTAGACTTAAATTTGAAACAGGTTCTTATTTTCTAAAATTATTGGAAAAAAATCCTCTTCACTTGGGCACATAAGGTAACTCAACATTCAGGATCCTCTTTGGAGACATAGGTGCCTTATCATGACTCAACCTGCAAAGTTGAAAATGAAATAAAATAATTGTTATTGATAAATTGTACAATATTATTTTAGTACAACTTTATGTAAGGAATAAGCTTAATACCACTTATTAATCTTAGCTACAATGTATTTGTTCTTTTCAGAAAAAAAGATCATATTTAAGAACCTAAATAGCCTAAATTTGTGTCAATTACCATTTACATGACATGTACAATCCTCTTCAGGCTAACTTGGGAAAATGTAGGCTCTTACTCGCCGGTTTTTACCGAACTTTTTTCCTTGATTATTGCTAAATCTTTATTTGCGGTTGTTTTGTTGTTCAACTGTTCCTGTTTGAACGAGCATTATATTAATTTATTTACTCTTGTACCTGTACATTTTCCTTTGATACAGTGCATAATATTTCTTATTATAAAGTCATGAGGGGATGATTAAATATGGAAAAAACAAAAAAAACGCTTTGGCCAGGTACTTCAAGTCCACTAAATCTTAATGTCAAGGCTCATATAATTCTTATTAACTACACCTTATGTTGTTACACGTCAAATTTGTTCTCAGGTTTAAAATTTTTGAAATACTATCAGCTTGTTACAGGCCAAATTTGATCTCTGGGTTAATTTTGATTTAACCTACTAGGTTGATTCTCAGTTTACTTTAATTTGTCTCCTAGCCCTAGTTGATAAAGGAAATCAACAATCAACCCAGGTTGAAAAATTTTAAACCTGAGAACAAATTTGACCTGTAACATGTTGATAGTATTTCAAAAAGCCTGAATTACTTTATTAAAGAATACTTTAAGGTCAAATTAATAATAAGAGAGAAATAAAATATATTAATAATTAATAATAATGTATCTTTTCATTGTTAATTAGGATACTGTTAAGTGGCCTGAGAACATGAGCCCTGATTTTCAGGTTGGTGTATATCAGTTGGGCAGAAGCTAGGGATTTTGTGATTTCAGTAAAGTTACAAGAAAGCAAATTGCAATAATTTACCAGTTTAGTAAACTTTAGGGTCCATGTGCTATGTTTGCAGGCTAAGAGAGGATAATTAAGGGTAAGGAGAGAAGGAAGTGATCATGAGAAATATTCGTCATGGCTAAGTGAATAAAATTGGGCTAACTTTGACACTGGAGATGGACGAATGAAGTGTCTTTCAATAAAATTTTTAGAGATAAGCTATTAGTGTTGTCTCCTTTGATGGCTTTTGGTGTGTTTAGAAGACAGGATTGTTTTGTTCACTGATATAAGGTTTGGCTAATATAGTTTAGTGATAATTGTTTTGTCACTGTTGCTGTTTTTGCAGAGTTTTCTTCAAGGTCTCCTCACTAAAGATCCAAACAAAAGACTCTCCTGGCCGTACCTGCTCAGGCATCCGTTTGTGGCTGATGGAATTAATGGTGGGCTTAATTTACATGTATTTGGCCTGTTTGATCACTTTATGTGTTGCTATCATTGTTGAAAAATCTTTCATAATTTTTTCACAGTTAAAGCATACAAAATGATTAAAGGTTTTAAACCCCTAGGATTTGGACAATTTTACAATAATTCTTGTAATTAAGTTAATATGATTGCTTTTGGCTGTCACCTTCAATGATATGTCGGTCTCATGCTTGGCAAATCTCCTGCTTGCGTTCATCTGGGTGTTTACATTGAAAGGCAATAGACCACAAACAACTCTTGCTCCTGGACATAACTAATAACCATTCAACAGTAGGATTCCTAAAATGTGTGCAATTTTACAGTTGGTTTTGCCTCCCTTAAATCCTATACCAATGTTGCAGACCTTTTATTGATTAAACTGTTATTTGAGCAGAAGCTGAGTTGGAAAGGATGAGTGGTGATCCAGAGATGTTTGAACGGCCTTCCAATAGTGCCAGCGCTGAAGAGAAAACTGCAAAAACTAAGGGCAAAAAGCAAGGAACAATCAAGGTTTGGAAACATCTGAATGGCCCCTGCCTCAATACTGAAGATTGGGAAGAAAAAAAGTGTTTTAAAGTGACATCCAGACATTACATGTTAGACTTATAATAAGGACCCAGTGCTATAAAGAAGCTTTTCATGTTAGACTTATAATAAGGACCCAGATATTGCTATAAAGAAAATTGTTTCTGAGATATTAAGTTATGTTAGGCAAACTAAATTTGGCTTGGTTGAAAATGAAGATAATGTTAACTGCAGAAATACAAATCTAAATGAAGATCTGACCATCACAGTGGTAATGTTAACTGCAGAAATACAAATCTAAATGAAGATCTGACCATCACAGTGGTAATCGCAGTTTAAGCAATTGCAAAATAAGCTTGAAAAATATTTCAAGGCTTCAGTGGGATGACTCTGGGTCAGTGCTGCAGTGTTGCACTAACTGAGCTTTGAGGACCCACACATTAAGAGCGGGCCAATTTGTTGAGTTCATCTTAACCCATAAAAGGAATGAAACATGGAAATGAAGGTGATTTGAACTGCAGATGATGCACTGCAGTGCTAATGCAGAGGCCCCTTTGCAACAGTAATATCTTCATTTAGAAGGCAGTAATGTTATTGTTTAGTATCATCTGCTCAGTTTTGATTGAATTCAAATTATCAAACTGTGTGTCCCAAAAAAATCATTTTCATGGAAACAAGAAGAGTGATGAGATGTCTGAAAAGGCAGATGGTTAAAACTGTGTTACTGACATAGAATGTTTGAATTTCTTCTTTTGTAAAAACATACATTTATAGAAAGACGGTGGTAACACAGAAGTACGTCCATCGTGGATTAGGAAACTACAACAGCAACAGGAAGGAAAACAGCAGAAAGGAAATGAACCAAAGCAGGGCACTAAGGACAAAGGAAAACAGGAGGTGAAGAAGAAACCTTCAGGGAATTCAATAAAGAAAAAGCCTGCCCCTGCAAAGGAAAATGGAGAAAAAAAGCAGGCAAAAGCTAAAGAGGATATTGATGAAAAGAGCAGAATTGCAGAGGAAAAGGCTGGTGATGGTAAGGGATGTCCCTGAACAGAACAGTAGTTTTGTGTTAAAAAACAGAAAAGTGTATGTCCAGGTATTTAGACCAATTTACACAGCACAACTTTGTTGCGTGTGATGTGTTTACGATAATCCTTTGACATGACACAACATCTCACTTACAACTGACTTGCAGCTATCATATGTTTAATTTGAGTTGTATGTCTATCTTAAGCATTTTGCCCACAACAAAGGTGTACTGTGAATTGGTCTTTAGGATGGACTTCATGCGCTAATTTTGCAACACAACTTCTAATGAGACTCAGACATCCATTTTCTAAAGCAAACACAGTTACCTTGCATGAATTTATTACAGTAGCATTTTAATAACATGATTGTAGATGATTGGGAGGTGCAGATTGAAGACAAGCCAGCCAAGGCAGACAGAATAGGACACGAGATTAGTGATGACTATGACAGAGAGACATCAGTCGTTGAACAAGTGTTGGCTGCTGCTGTGAAGAGACGAGAGGAAATAAGCGAGAAGCAGGGAGGAAATCAATATGGGGGACAGGTCAGTCTTTGTAATAATAGTAATGTCTGTGTTTTGCAGCTGCATACGTTGCTTCCGTTCACAGTTCCTTTAATTTTGATATCATAATCAGTTAGTTCTCATCATGAGATTAATGCAAGAAATATATAGAATGATTTTCGTAGGACCTTGAAAAATGGTTTCGGTAGTGTTCTTTATTTTTTTTAACATCCAGTTTATGAAAAGATCAAAACATGGCTTCTTCGTTTTCCCACCAAAGAAAGGCCTAATATGGAGAAGGTATTGGTTGATTGGCCAATCGTGTTGCAGTATGATGTCAAAGCGAAGAATCAGTTGATTTCTAGAAAGTTCTCAGGCATGAAGTTTTTTTCACCCAAGCGTTAGCTTATCCAACCAAAAGCCACACCTGTTTGTATCTGTTTGATAAACCAGTCAAATCTCTCTATTTCCATTTGTTTCTTGTTTGTTTTCTGTTGTCGCACGTTTTCAGTTCAAGGTTATACCAAAATCGCTCTAATTTCATGGAGAATGGTACATTTTCGTTAACTTATATTCAGGAAGAGCTTGATAGTGAGGAAGAATGGGACTACTTAGTAGAGGTAACAGAACAAGCTGCGTCGGGGAATACATCAACCCTTCGAAACATGAGTCCTACACAAGAAACCAGTATTAGTGAGCAACTCATGACTGACACAGCATTTACCAGAAAAGTACAGAGTGCACTGGAAGGTGCAGCAGCTCAAGTTTTGGATGGACTCCTGGAGGGAGCTTCACGGCTGAGACAAATTCTTAGGGTGCTCAGAAGTTTGCTTACAACTGCTTGGTAATTTGTCAGCACTGTCCTTTTTTCTAACTATTTTCTAAAATCCTCTTCCCCTGTAAGTTTGTAATAATTATTGTTTTGGTTTTATTTTACAGTTCATCCAAGGTTAAAGTGAGGTTCTCAATTTCAGTTGGGATTCCTGTGGATAACATCATTCTGATAACACAGTTAATAAATAAGCAAGGCCTCTCTCAGGTACATTCTTTGTTTTTTTTATGCACTAGCTTAATTACCCATTAATTTTAACAATATTTGGCTTTTACACTTAATACATGTTAAAACTGACAGAAAATTTACCCTTAGAAAAAAAAAATGATAATTTCACTTTTTTAAGCCACACAAGAAAGTACAGCTGTACTGCTGTACAGTTTGATTGGAATGATTCTATCCACAGACTTAAAAGTTAGAAGTAAATTATATACTTATCAGTCTTTTCCATACATTATTGCTTGTTGTCTGATCTCTTAATCTTTAAAAGTACGTACCAGTGGCAGAACATGAATGGCAATGATAACGTACTATTCTGTGATAATTTGTAGCAACCTTGGGCAGTGCAAGTTATCGTGGATGTACTGAATGTGGCCACAGCCTTTCTGAAGGAGTGCATTCTGGATGATACCACTGTAGAAAGGCAAGACAAAGACTGTTCATTATGTCCACAAATGTTTGTTAGTATTCATGTGCTAGAGCACTAGACCATTTTAGAACAACATAGTTAAAAAGGTCCAAACTCTTTGTAAAACACTCCAGTAAGTGCTTAGGATTTCAAAAGTGCTATAGACCTCTACAAGGTAAAATTGAGGTTGTTAAACCATGCATTAACATGAATAAAAAGATTTTTCTCATTTTATCGCAAAAACAATTGCATTTCGCATAATGATATAGTGAAACAGGATTTTTGACGGAAATATTCTTTCCAGGGGGTACCCAATTAAGGTGGAAGAATGACGGAAATTGCAGGGGGTAGGGAGGTATGACAAGCACTTCCTGGAATGAAAATTCCAGCGGGGTGGGGGCTCCAAAGCAAAAGTGCCCTCCATCGGGGGTGGGTGGGGGGGGGGTATGGATATTTTCTGGAACTACACATTGCAATAAATATTGCAGTGAATGTATATAACTGAGTATAAGTGCAAATTTGATGCAGCTGACATCGCAATTTTAAATGGACTTGAGCAGGGTTTTTTTTTGTTTACTGCACTTTCATAGAATTTCTAATTAGTATTTTAAGGTGTCAAAATTTTAAGCTCTGCTTTTCTCCCCAGCAGTTTCAGCCTTTTGAGCTGTGCAAAAAAGTTTGTTGGAGTTTTACCAGCGCTGGTGAAGCACATTCAGGACAAAGAACTTTACCTTAGACAAGCTGTTCTTGAGGTTTGTTTAAAATGAGGTTTTGTTTAGGCTAAACTGTTTTATTGGACGTACCCTGTGATAATGATATGCAAGTATAATGACAAGGATGATAATGGTGGTGATAACGATGCAAAAAATCATTTACATGGAAACAGCACCATTTGATTTTTATCTTGAAGAAAAAATGAAGTTGATTGAATATACCAACCTTTTAAGAACTGTAAGTTGAAGTAGTTAAATATTTTAAACTGCTTATCTGTGGCACACTGCCATCTTCTTCCAAGTAATTGTGCAGCGGAGGCAAACACCTTTTCACGCAGAGCCGAAAAACGTGGGCAGTGTAGGAAATAATGTTTCGCATCTTCAATAAATGCATCACAAAGAGTGCAGGCAGGGTTCATTATGAGAGGTAAATGAGCATGGAGGTTCAGCTTAATCTTCTTTACTGGATGTTTGTGTCTTTTTTAACAGTGTGTTCAACATATGTGCAAAGCCATGGACACGGAAACTGCCACCGTAGAAGCAGAGGAATTTTATGATAATTTGGTCACCTGTGATATAAAGAGTGTAGATTGTCTGATCACAGCTCTTGTTATCGAATCAAATGTTCTACAGAGACTCAAAGGTAGTTTATCCCTTACTTTCTAATTATAAACCAGTTAACCAACCTCAATGGCTTAAACCCAGGGATTGTGTCATAAACTTGTTGAGTGTGATCACCCAGTTGAGCGTCGGAGAGCTTGTGTCAGTGACTGGTGTTTTGAAAAGCTGTGTGAATTTCATCCTCAGAGTCAAAATAAATAGTTCTTGTCCACCCAGGTCATCAGCTGAGAGTTTGATACGCAACTTACTTGCACTCTGAAGATGATTGCCTGGCGGGTTGTCGAAACTTCAGTCCAGGGTTCGCACGTACCTTGAAAGTCCTTGAATTTTAAAATAAAAATTCAATTACTCTTGGGTTCAAACCATTCACTATCAAAATGTTCTTGTTGATTTCGGGCATTTTTCGAATTTCTTTCTCATTGTAACTCGTAAAATCTTATTTGATTTTGATAGGTTCAATCGGTGATTCTACTTCTGTCAAAGCAAGAGTGGTTCATGTGCAGACAGTTGCTTTAACAACTTTACAAACACTGGTGACTTCACATAATGGCTCTTACGGTGAATCAAGTCCAAAAAGAAACTTAGCCTGTGTTGTAGCCAAAAAACTTCTTCAGCCATCAAATGAAAAGTGTTTAGAGGTCTTATATCTCCTTCTTCATCATAAGCTATCCTCGCTGTGCGTCTTAGACTTTCTTGCTGAACTCTGTGGAGTATCCAGAGAGCTGAGCATTCATCTTTCACGGCATTCAAACTGGATGGTATCATTGACCAAGTTCTTGTCAAGTTGTAGTGGAAAACATTTAGACCACAAAGAGACCTGTTCTGTTTTGCTGGTTTTATGTTCCATCGTAGAAAACTCGGAGGACATTCCTTCAGAGTGAGTTGTTTTGTTTCACAGTAGAGTCTGTATAAAGCGCACATAAAGGACAGCACATGTATCCCACGAAAATGGGAACTCGAAACTTGGGATTTCCGCTTTGGAGAAAGGTGTCTTAGCCAATGCTCTTCCAAGCCATTTGTCGAAACATCTTGTGGGGATGATGCTTGTTTAGAGTCAGAGGCATATGCGACACGGAAGAAAAGAAATCTGTGTTCTGCCAACAGGAGTCGAACCTGCTCTACCGCAGTTTATGTTTATGCGAAGATTCTGTTTTTTTACAGCGGATCAACTCGCTGTTGTTACGCACTTGAATGCATATTCATAGTTACGCGAATAAACGCCTCTCTCTATTAAACGCCCCCAACCCCCCCCCCCCCCCTCTTGTACCCTTAAAATTTAATAAGCGCCCCAGGCGTTTAATACGTCATTTACGGTACCCAAATACTCCCTCAGTAGGAACCCCATCTGTAGAAAACCAAACCCTAATTTCTAAAATATGAAATGTTCTGTATATTATTTTCATTTGACACATTTCTAGGTGTTGCGGTGTTCCGGGTTTTAGTACATGCATCTAACAAGTGGCCTAAAGCACGTATATGTATGTTAAAAGATGTGACCTTTTTATTCATCGTTTAAGAAACTATTTTCTCCTTACAGGATCATTGACTGCTCTGATCGTGTTGTCTCCATATTCGCTGGCTCGGATGTGTTCGAGATCCAAGCTCTTTCTGCCACTTTGCTGGCTAAACTTCTTACTTCAGACCCCAGATTGCAAACCGATCAAGACGACCAAATTTTAGATGGCATCTCTGCAGCACTGGCCAGGCTACCGCAGGTAATCAATGTTGAAAATTATTTCACCATCGGCGTCAAATCTTTTCCCATGTGGTAAGTGTTTGTTTTGCTACTGTGAAATGATTTCAGAAGTCATTTTCACCGGGGAAAGCTCAAAAGTATTGTTTGACTTGTTTTAGCCTACAGGACAGGTGTTATTTTTTTGGCGTTTTTTAAGCGAGCGAAGGTGAGCGCGAAGCAAGCGAGGAGCATCAGACACGCGCGAAGGGGAAGGCACTTCGTGCTTCGTTCGCCCGAAAAACGCGAAAAAATAGCGCCGGTTCTGCCGGTTAGACTTGTTGTATTCAATTAAAATTGGTTTGTAGGCAAGAGAAAATTAACCTAGAGACTGAAAAATTTAAGCTCGTATCTCTCTGGGCGTAAGCTAGAGACAAAGTTAAACAGGCTCTTTTGCCCTACGCAATCACTTTCTAAAAATTAAAAATTCTTCTAAATGGCCTGTTCGTAGCGAGGAAAAAGCTGCATATAACTTTACTTCTTTTCAGAGACCTTTGGCATTTGTTGGGGTTCGTGAAGGCCTTCTTGATGGCATTGTAACGTTACTGGAACATTGTGTTAGTCAGGTTAGTGACTTGTGGTGGTGCTTTATGGGTCGTATTCCAGGATATATACGTTGTAGTTAATGTTTTATCTCAAGTAATTTTTCTTTTTCCGTCTACCATGTCGAAGTAATGTTAACACGTAGCTTAACCAAACTTGACGGCAACAGCAGCGAAAACGTCACTAACGAAATGAATATATGTTCTTTCAATTCGTCGTGATCATTCCAACTCGCTCAATTTTAATGTGAAATGTAGGTGAATTTTCCTAGAGTTGAATTCTTGATGCCGCCACCCAGCTTCGGAAAGAGAAAGGAAAATTCTTCTTTGTGTGCTTTTGTCCTCCATAAAACGTGGTTATAGAGACTTTGACGTCGCATTCGTCCAGTGACGGCAAAGAAATAAATATACCAAAACGTTCGACGCTCGTAATTGCTTTTGTCTCCAGTTTCTTAGATAACAACCGGACTTTTAGTCCACTTTGTCTCTCAACCAAGCTGTTTAACATTGACTCCTAAACAATAAACCTGGGTAAAGCTCTTTTGTACGACTGGCTCCCTCATAACAGGGCCTAGAAAGAAAAAATCTTTTCAATGACATTTTGGCAACATTAACCCAGGGCTTACAGCTTAAGTTCTAGTAAGTGGAAAAGTGAGAAACTACTGGCTAATTTTTTAAACCTCGATTGGTGACGAATTCCTCACGTGTCTTAACTGAGGGAATCGCGAATACTTTTTGTCTCTTACAATTTACTTACATATAAAGGAGAAACCACTGGAATAGTACGTTTTTTAATAGTACAGATGGTTACAAGGGTGTACAGACAAATTTCATTCATTCATGAACACCAACAATTTGCTTTTGCAGGATGCTGGCTCCAGACTGGCCTCTCAAGTGGTCGAAACCTTTATCTGGAATAATTTGTGGTCTGCAGTTGGTGTTGTTTTAAGCATAGCACCAGCTGAAGCAGTAGTTCTAAGGTAGATAGTGATGTGAGAGTTGTGTATTCTTCATTCTTTAGCCATGGCTTTCAAGGCCTTAAAAGCATGTATAGAAGAGTACTTCCTGGTGGGAAAACATGGCATGGAGATTATTGAACCGTGTATAATTTAAGTGTGATAAAAATATCACGGAAAGTCGGATTATCTAGTCAACCAAGCAAAACAAGAGGCAAATATGAGTTGCCGGTCGCAAGGCGCGGGAAAGGCCAATGGACCAATCCGAACTGGAAGGAAACACGCGTAGCCGGTCGCAAGCGCGGGGAAGTCCAATGAACAAATACGTGTAGTCAGTCACAAGTGCGGGAAATTGCCAGCTAGCGACCAGAGGGAGCAAGTCAGGATTTGCCTAATTTCTCCTTTGTTAGGTCTAGATTTGCCTAATCGTTTTGTTAAGTTCGAAGTAATAAGAATTGTAGCCATTCAGTGACGTAAAAATTCTTCTAATTCAGTTTTGAACCCCTGATTGTCGTTCTTGTTTGTTAGTGATTTAGAGTTGCTAGTCGAAGAGGAAAATGGCGTCAGTGTGGGAGCCGTACAATGGAGACTTATGTCATATCGGGGCTTGGAAAAGGTCCTAGACGTCACTCAGTTATTATTTACCAAGGTGAGTACACACATTTTAATGCAAATGTGGAACGGACAGGAGTGGAAAGAATAATCGCTTGAGCCACCTATCACACGATTTTTTATTCACTATCACGGAAAATTTTGTTTATATTTGTTTGTTTGTTTGTTGTTGTTGTTCACTGGTTGTTGTTGTTGTTGAAAATGACTGTAAGCAGTGATGACTGTGTTCCACTTATACTATTTCTGCGGTTCTCGGTTTCTTGAAAAGATTAAAGCCCCGGACACATATCGTGTCGTAGTCAAATAATAAGTAAGGATCTTGAAAATGTCTTTTTTCCCGTCTACCTAATCCAAGTATACGTAGCTGATTCAATCTGTTTAATCACACAGACCCCATTACAGAGTATAGTAAAGCTGGTTGAGCCTCCCACTCATGCAGTATCCTTTTTGTGTAAAATGCTCACATCACCATTCGTGGAACAGTTTTCCAAGCAGTAAGTTCTAGTGATATTATAAAGGAGCTTAAGCAACGACGACGACGACGGCTAAGAAAACGTCACTTAAAAAGTCAAGTTGCGCTCCTTCCAACTTTATCGCGCTTATTCCATCTCGTTCAGTTCGTCAAATGTTGGCAATTTTTTTCCGGAGTTGAATTCTAAGGGACTGTATCAAAGTTCTGGAAAAGAAAAAGAAAGTCGTTGTCTTGTGCTTACGTCCTCCACAAAACGTGAAGTTAGGTATTTTCACGTTGTAGTCGTGCAGTGACGGCAAAGAAGTGTACAACAAAGCATGATGCACGAGCAAAGTTGTTGTTTTGCCAATCTAAACCTATTGCTTTTTTGCCGTTCTCGTTGACGTCGCCGTCGTCGTTGCTTAAGCTCCCTATTAATCCTCTATCAAGAAAACGCCTTGCAACCCTTCTTGTCAGTTGTCACTCTCTGACTGAAAGGTTACAAAACCGTCCTTCACACCATGCACAAAACAAACAAATCTGCATTTTGGCAAGCCACTATGTTTGTAAACTACTTCTCGAAGAATTGAATAAGTGGGAGTTACTGGGTTTTTCTCCTCCTCCAGCCCGCCGTTACAGGAACAAGTCAGAAACTCAAGCCGGAGCCAAGCGCGGGAAAAGGTCCTCTTTGCTACCAAGCAACGATATCATGATTTGTTCCTATACATCCCATTCATTTGAATAAAGGCAACAGTCAATTTGGTTATTGTTGAGAAACCGCTATTGAATATCCTCACATCCGGCATTATTGTCTTTGACGCGGAATCGAGCAGTTGTTTGTAAGCACTGCTAATATTATTTAGTAATGTTTGTCTTCCAGCCTCGTAGTTTCCAAGCATGAAGATAAACCGGAGGATAGAGAAATCCTTAAAGAGATCACTAGCAAGGTGAACATTTTTACTTCTTTTTTTCTCTTTCAGTGCAGGCAACGTCGAAACGTGTGACGAGCAATTATTGGGCTTACCTTGCGAAATTTGTGACATGTCGTAGGTACAAATCTGCCTCAAAGTTGCTGCACGAACTAAGCAAACATAAAGATGTGTTTCCCTTCAATTTTAACCATTTGTTTTCCAACCTTTACTCAATGAGAACAGCGAACCACTCAAATGAAGTTTCCAGCTAGAAGGCTTTGGCTTAAAAAGTCCCCTTTTTTCGGATAGATGGTCGCTTATAGGAGATGGTTGCAAATGGAGGTTCTACTGTCGTTTTTAGTTACAGTGTAGAAGGCTAAACTCCGTAATTCTGAGCAACCGGCTCGGACTGTTTGACTGCTCCCCTTCCCTCCTTTATGAAGCACGCTAATAATATCTTTGTGTATTCGTACAGGTCATCAGAATTTTCTACTTTCCATTTGCAACTGACGTGGAAGAACATCTTCTCCATGACACCCAGAGGTATAAATAATGGATAATTTTTTGTTTGCTTATTATTATTGACATCTAAATACAAGTCCTGATGAACTACAGCAACGTACTTGGCCTCAGCTTAACAACTTTTCTTCCAGGGTTAGTCTTTGCGTTAAAGGAAATTCTGAGATGTGACTGTCATACGGTAGAATACGTCAGTACTGCTAAACTGAAATACAGAGCGCGTAATTTAATAACTAGGGGTTACAATTTACTGCTCATTAAATAAAAGGCTTTCGGATAGTGGAGAGTGGCGCGAAGTGGAGAGCTCAGCGGAGGAGAGGGAGAGGGAGAGGGAGAAAGGAGAGAATGCCGGTCTTTCGCCCTCTCTTCCTACTCTAGTTCCTCTCTGTTTTTCTACTGCTTACTTCTCTTAGCTCCTTCCCCGCTGAATCTGAACACCAGGAACATGCTAAAATTGGCACAGGGATATGATCAAATCAAGACAGTAAGAGAGCCAATCGTCACTTTGTATTCCTTTGATTGACTGGATTTTTCTTCCTCAGTGTCTTGTACCAGTTCAGATTGGTTCCAATATTGTTAGAGTTTGCAGCAAGGTTTCTACCCATGGAGGATTTGGAACTTGCAATGGGTACGTTTTTACTTTATTACAGTGAGTGTTCCGTAACCTTGATCTAAAAGGGATATTGTTTCGATTCTCAACGCTGCTATGAGTATATAGAACCTTGCTAGATCTGTTTCTCTGAGTTTTCGATGTTTTTCATAACCTTCATGGAAGTTACTAAAGCAGGGAACGAAAAAATTGACAGTAGGAACAAGAAAACCTAACTTTAATCCAGGCCCTTTAGCTACCACCATTCTCTGTTGTGTTCCCATTTTTCATTTCCCTTTCCCCGTTCCCATTTTTTAAAATGAACTTACTATCCCCTGCCCGACCCCCCAAAAAAAAAAAAAGGAAACAATAAATGTTATAGTGCACGGAGCGAAAGCTGACAAAGTGTTTTCTACAGTTCCATTCATGTAATAAAGAGGGAAAAAAAGGTTTTTTTTACAGTGGTCTACAGTGCAGTTAGTGCTGATAGAAATAAATGTTGTAAGTGGTACGCGTGTTAATTGATTATGGTTGATGCTTGATCCGAGTTTTTGTAACATCCGTTTCTACGTATGTCCTTTTTCTTAATTTCAGGTCTTGTTTCTCGTTTGGTGCTAAGCGATGAAATTTTTGTCACTCAACTCGCGAAACATGTTATTAACAATAAGGTAAAACTATGTCTTTGCTTTGTTTCTTTTCCTTCTTCGGCACATTTATTGAGGACGTAGTTTCTCTTTTTAGGCCGAACCCTTTCTAACTTCACTTGTGTCAGCGGATAACCCTATTCCCCTACTAAATGATGTCATTGCGATACTAAGTCATGTGGCACGGATTTCCTCCGGGTATGTCACCATGGTTACACAGGTCCTGCGAACCGAACAAGGTGAGTTAAATCTTTGGGGAAAATTACTATTCCTTGGTTCTTAAAAACTCATGACAAAAAATAAAAACTTCCATTACAGTCGAACCTTTATGCGCGAGCACCTGTCCAAGACTTCAAAATGTTTGCAGTCATGTTGCGAAAGGCACCAGACTTAATCTGGTGCCTTTCGCAACCGAGCGCGATCACTGTTTATGGTGGTAGTTCTAACCCCCCGCCCCATTTCTGTTTGTCAAAACACCGATGTTAGCGAGGGATCCAGGGATCCCCTCTCTCCCAGCAATGCATGACAAAGAGACAGGGCCAGAACTGGAATGTAAACTTTCCAAGTTTAATGCTAGCGTATTTTTGGGTGAGCGACCGCGCTGTATTTCCTGCGTGTAGTTGCCTTGTAATTAACTTTTGAAAGCAGCGGAAGATCGGGAAAAAATAGTTCGATCAACCTGCCTCCTTCCCTGCCTTCCGTAATCGTGCACCACAACCCGAGCGAATCCTAAGGCTGGCGCTCATGGCAGCAAACACCTGAACTGTAAGGAAAAACATACCGAAAGTGGTCACCCAGTCGTGGATTTCTGAGAAGATAATTACTAGAGGTTTAACTTCATTTAGAAGAGTAAGAAAAATTGATTTTTTCTTATCTTTAGATTCATACGAGCCTTTACATCACCTGTTGACGCACCAGAACTCAGCTGTAGTTGCAAACGCGTGTGGAATGCTGGGTAACATACTCAAACATTCTTCCGTCTTCTATTCAACGCTTCAAAGGTAAATAACAGCGGTAAATAATATACGAATTGACCCACGACGACATTCATGATACCTTAACTCTCTCCAGTCCCCCAAGCGCTAGCTTACTCATAACTCACAAAGCGAGAAGTTGCTAAAATTTAGAATTTGACGTTTGTTATATTGAAAGATCAAGGCAATTCTGCTCTAGTGATCATTCTCTTGTTTTCATGTTCTTTTTGCTTATTTTGTGTTGATCATACAAAAAGAAATTGGACGCTGATCTTTGTTGGGACTCCAATGGTTACTGTAGTGTTTGTTTTCAGAACAAGTCTACTATCGAGTTTGTTAAGCTGTCTTAAGAGTGACGATTCTAATGTTAGAAAGGTGAGTTTCAAACAGTTTGCCTCTGTTGGGTTTTATTTGGAGGGGGAAAAGAGAGTATTAATTATAGTGAGTTTCCAGACATACAAGTGATGAAAGTCAAACGTGACCTTGCGTTACTAAACAAATAGCACCTTGAGAAGGTACTGCTAGAATTATGACAGTCAAGGATTTATTTGTCCAGAGCATGTTAATTTGGACGATCACCTTGTAGGGGATAATAAACAGTCTACTGAGTTGCTCGAATAGCTGAGGCAAGGGCTAACACAGTTTTGCTCTTGATGCCCTGGTATTCACACGCGTGTTCGTGTGCTGTGAAACTCCTCCTTTGATATGTGCCCTTGTTTTTCAGACGCGTGTCCGAGTGCTGTGAAACAACTCCCCTGATATGTGCCCCTGTTTTTCATACGCGTGTGTGAATGCTGTGAAACAACTCCCCTGACATGTGCCCCTGTGTTTCACACCCCTGTTCGAGCGCTGTGAAGCAACTCTAGGGAGTGGTCGGAGTTTCAGTGAGCGCGCTTACTCAGTCGTCTCTGCAAGCGCGCGGGGAGCGACCTCAAACCACGCGCGTGCGCGCACTAGTGGAGGCTCTACGGAAACAAGTGGGTACTAGTCAGGTTGGAGCGGTAAGTCCACCGTCCTTATCACTGGGCGACTGACTCTGCCTCTTATCACTTCTCCTCATTCCTGTCCCCTTGACTGCATAGGTTAACAACAGCCTTTTCCCCGGGCTCTTCCTTCGGAAACTGGGAGAGGCGGAAAAAGTCACGGAGTTTAGATTAAGTTGACGCCTAATAGAGTGTTGGTCACTTCTTTTGATTTTAACACTGGTTATTGTCATAGTAAGAGGTCTGTTAAGGATGAAATTAGTCTTTTGCCGTATTGAATTCGAACTACTGACAGCAAACAAACACAACACTGCATAGGTACATTAGGTGTTTATGATGTTAGAGATTTCAACACACAAAATGGTTGTCATTTCAGTCATTGTTATTATTCTAAGGGCACAGTTGAGAGTGACTAGCGCCATCACTGTACCGTACTGTCCCCATCTGTCTACTTTCAGACCGCCAGTTTCGCTATTGGTAATGCAGCGTACCACAGTGACTCCCTGTACCCAGCACTGAGCCCTGCTGTGCCGCTATTAGTTGATCTGCTGACAGACTCCTTGGCTAGAACAAGAGCTAACGCTGCTGGTGAGTCTAGTTATTATTTGACCTTCCATCATGACCAACTCAAAATGTTATGTTCATGTAGTCGCATCTTATGATCGACAAATGCACAGCACATAAAGGTGATGAAAGTGTACATGTTCTTCGCAGTAGAATCAACAACTTAAGCGGTCTAAAAAGAACCTGAAAAGTTCAGCCTTGACCGGGAATCTAACCCTGACCTTTAAGCTGACCGGACTCAATGCTCTATCCTTTGAGCTAATCAAGCCAGCTGGAGAGCAGGCCATTAGGGACCTTTCGATTCTAAGACGAGTGCGACTACGAATACGAGATTTTCTCAATACTAAGTAGTGCACGCGCGTAAACCAGTTTCATTTTGGCGGGAAAACGTGGTAGCCGTCGTCATTCTACTACGAGTTTTAGTGCGAATGTCGTAGTGACGAAAACAAGTTATCAAATGTTAGAAGTTTTATCATTTTGCGATGGGGAAAACACATAACCTCCTTCACTAAAGGTAACAGTGTTAACTTTTCTTGTGAAATATGATAAAATATAGCTTCCCGGGAAGTCTATATTTTGAGAATATGCGAAAAAGATTTAAGTCAAATCTCGTACTCGTAGTCGTTCTCGCTAAAGGACTCTATTATGACTTCGTATTATACCCGATGGTGGAAATGACAGGAACTAGCTAAATGGTCACACTTAGGTATTTCATTCATTGACGACACCAAAGCTAGAGAACACCATGGAAGAGTTCATTCTCCGTTGTAGGCCGATGCTCAATCGTTCACTACTTTGGCTTTGTGTTCGAATATCTCTTACTTTACCGAAAATGCATGCTACTTTACCTTGCTAATAATACAATCGTTTTAAACAGAGTAGAGACACACTGAGTTTAATCACGTTTTCTCACTCATTTTCGTAATATTAACTCCGTTTATTCTGTGTTTTGCTAGATGTGATAACACTGATCTGTTAGCGTGAGGCCTGTTGTTTTAGAGGAAGGACTCTATATTCATTTTTTCAAGGCCATCACGAAAATACTCGCCCTGGTGCCTCCAGTAGCTCAGTGGCTAGAGCATCCGAACTAGAACTCCGAGGGTCGTTAGTTCGATTCTTACCTGGAGCTCGGCATTTTTTCTGAGCTCTCTGGTGTTAAAATCCTCCTTCTTCCCAAAAAATGTGTAACATTCGATTCTACCTTCATTTCTGGAAATAAGCGCAAAAATGCGGCTGGGTTTTTTAAATTCAAAATTGTAATATTTTATATCTGTCTTGCAGGTGCTTTGGGTAACATGGTGAGACATTCACCTTTGTTGTATCAACAGATTATCAAGGCGCAAGCACCTCATGGGTGAGGAATTTATTGATTGATTTATTTATTTATTAGATCTTGTCAGCATTTATCTTCCTCTCTCTTTTCTCCAAGAAGAGGAGCGCTGATTGTCAACTCTAAGGAAGACCCCATTTTATTTTAAGGTGCGTCCGGTCGTTTTCGAACGACCACGCGACTGCAAGTAATTTTCTTCCTTTAACAACGTGTTCCATATCTTAAATATTTCCTCGTAAATTATCATTTTCCCTTATGCCAAGAATAGTTGTTTTAGCAGAGTCTTATTTGTTCATGATCAATAGCGCCCGCGATACTCTTGTCAATTCACGCCATTTCTCTCTCCTCCCTTCAAGCTTGTAAATTTGTCGTGCATAAGAAGCTATGACGTCAGCTTTCTGAAAAATCTCCACTTTTGCCTATTCGCACTACAAACGAGAGCATTTTAATAAACCATCCTCTGTGTATGATCCTTGTAGTGCGGGTGCAAGGCAAAGTGCATAAAAATGTCTCCGTTTCCAAAGGAGGACGCATTGGTGTGAGTGGTTAGCAATATAATACGGGAACGTTCATTGACGACGGGAAAGCGCGCGGAAAGGACTGAGTGCCACTGCCAGTGCCCATATTGCCGCTCTGCCATTGGTCAAGCACGTTTTTTATTTGCGCGCGCCGTTGTCAATGCTATTGCGTTTTCATTTTTTTGTTATATCCATTTTGAAATCACTGGTGATCCCTACAATCTGATTGGCTCTCAGAAGTGTGATTTATTCACGAATCACATCATTCTTTGTTCAAAATCCCATCTGTTCTAAATCGCGTCATTTCTGTTCTAAACCGCACCATTTTAGCTCTATCGTCATATCTGTTTCGAAGACAAAATGAGATTTAAAAGCCTTTTTGTTTCCACTTTTCAATAAACAGGCTACTCGATCAATAAAGTTTGGTACTGACTGAATTCTACGATTTCAAAATGGCTGTAATAAAGTGGTAATTGAACTTCGCGTCGTGCAATTTTGGTCTGAAATCAAACTTGTGATTTCAATGGAACTTGCACTGCGCGTCCGATTTTAAATCACTTAGCTCAATTACCATTATAAATCTGCCTATTTTCTCTGATTAAACGCGTTGTAACGTTTATCTTTCTTAGTGTTCTTGATATGGCGTGCAACGATGGGCACGCTGAACCTCAGGACGCGGCTTTGAAGACGCTCAGACTCTTCTGCAGAAACCCGCGCTGTAGGCAGGTTCTTGTTTCTCTCGGCATTCAACAACGACTTGTTAGGTTTTTAGAACGATCCCGGATGTCTGGTGCCTGTAGTCAGCAGTCCAGTATCTCGTCAGTTCCTAGTACTGCGCGGACAAATGATAGTGTTGTGTCTGAACACTGTGTGCGTATCTTGAACAAGCTTAAAACACGCGAGAATGAGACGTGACGGAAAGCTTGGCGGAAAAAGCAAGAAAAACGCATCGGACAAAATATGTTAACTGACCCAGAAGAAAACTTGACAGAGTAGAGATGGATACCCTTTACAACAACTGACACAGATCAAAGGCAGAACAGTGTACTAGATGTTAGTCAGGAAATAAAACAAGCCTCTTTTACTAACGATTTTTTACAAGTTGGATGTAGAGAATTCTTATTCAAGTTTGGGAGATCAAAAAAGAGAAAACAGCTGTGTTTATATGCAGAAATATCGTGACGCCTGTACATAATGTGGGTTAATATCACAGGAGCTATTTATTTTTTACAATTTAACAATAAAACGAGCAGAAAACGTAACGGCAAAGTGTTATCTGGATATCTTTGTAAAGTTCATTCCACCTTCCCGGGCTCCCCTCTCCATTCCCCCGTGCCGGCTTCTCCTCCCTAGCCCCATGATGAGAGATTAGGGATAGCAGGAGTGGGTTCCTGTTGTGTCTGTCGATCTTCAATGTTCCAGGAATGGGATGTGTGTGTTTTTGTGAGATAATCAGCGAGATCTTTAAAAGTAGGCTAGGTAGCCACGGATACACTTGGTGTTTAGCCTGCGAACGCAGATGTATTTCCAGTCGTCGCGTTACTTTTCGGGCGGAGGGAAGCAACAACCGTAAATCGTCTGCGTTCGCAGGTCACTCTAACTGGGACGGGATATTGAGCAAAAACCCAACAGGCAACTTGAAGTTTATAAAAAAAGGAAAAGCAAGTGGACACTTATTCCTACCGATCTGGTTCCACCAAAAAATATTTTGTGGCCAATCAGAAGACTGGAGAAGCCTGGGTCTTGGTCCCTTAGGATGGGTTGTGAGAAGAATGGAAGACCTGGTAACTAGAATGTTTTATTTTTGAATTTTTGAAAAAATTCTACTTCTTTCAAAGAGAATAGTTAATTTTTTTCTCTCTACCCACGCCTCTCGAACAGGTGTTAAAATCTTGTGGGAAAAATCTGTTAGTGATTGGATAGAACATCTGTTCCTTTAATCGATGATGCATTCAGAAAGTCTTTGTTAATAGTGGTGTTGTCATATTCTCAAACGAAGTGTCCTTTTCAAAAAAGGGGGTGTACCTTCAGCCGTCTTTTGTCTTCTTCGGCTCATAAGATTACAGCCTTAGAAAAAAAGAATCAGATTGGAAATCGACGAATATATCTTAAGTACTTTTCGCTTTAATAATTTATCAGTTTGCCAGCTGATTGATCGAACCGACCGACATAAAACAGATTAAAGGCATTAAAAACCGCACATAATTTTTATTGAGGAAAATATTTTCCCGGTAAATTCAGTCCGCAAAACCACTGTTTGATAAATATCCCATGAACTTTTAAGGTTAATTGGGTAGTAAATAAAGATCAGTCGCTTGCAACGGCGAGGACAGTACTGCTTTTGATGGCCTTTAAGTTACTGTAGAGGGATTGAGACGTGAAGAACAACAACGAGACGAAGGAGAGTTCTGCTCTCTTATCAGGGCGACTCTGACCGGTTACGATTAATTCTACTTTATCTTTAATATCACGGACTGTCCCACGACATTTACGGCAGGGGGCCGTGGGAGTTGGGAACGTTGACGTCCGCGTAAAAAGAGCGGTTTGAGAAAGTCTATTCTCCTTGCTTGCTGCTGTTTACCACAACAGATGTGTTGGAAAGAGTTGCTTTCAGATCGTTGTTTTATTGCTTGATAAGCACTCCATCATGCATGGAGTTGTTTGGCACCGTATTACGTACCGTACCCTACCATCTGGGTACAAGTGGAATTTCGACCGTACAACACGAAAAAGCACAGAACATTTTTTGCGTCATAGCAAAAAGAATTTTCACGACTATATCAACCAACGCAAACAGATATCACTGATTGAACTGATAATAATCATTTTGGGGGCTGTAAAGGTTTATACCATTAAAATTCTACGTACTGTTGACCATAATAACCCAAAATATACGTAATCATCATTAACCATGGTAATCCCTGCTGATAAATGCTTTTTTTTTCAACAACCAAGCAAAAGTACTCCGTTCAAATTGTCATTGTTTTACAACAAGCAGTAAGCCTTTGCTTGCCAGCAAGCTCTCTTGCTGGCTGGCAGCTGTAACAAGGCATATGCATATATAACCCATGCTTCCGCAAAAAACAAAAAAACAAAAACAATTGACCAATTCGGCTAACTCAATGTTGTACCCAATTCAAACCCCTTGGGAATAAAACGTTTTGTTTCAGGAATTTCCATATCATTTAAATGTGAATGCCACCTTATAAAAATACAGTGCACAAAAAAACCCCGAGAGATCTGAAAACAATTAGTTAAAAATTAGTTAAAAAACAAAACAACTCTGCGCGTGCATCATTCTTTTAATTTCATTTCTTTGATGTCCATTGTCCACTGCACGACTACGAAGTAAAACCTAATTCGACCTTTTACGGAGTTCGTGAACACACGACGAGGAATTTTATTTTCTCTTTTTTAACGTGGATATAAAGTCATAGAAGAATTCAACTCCAGGAAAATTCGCCTACATTTGACAAACTATCCTGGTCAAAATAGACTCGACATGGTTTGAAAGGACGCCAATTCAATTTTTTGGCGACGTTTTCATTGCCGTCGTCGTCGTCCTTGCTAAAGCTCCCTCGAAACCGACGCAAAGCCCCATGCAAACGGAAGCAACAAAAAAATTGTTGCGTCCGTTTGCACATAGCTAAAACTTTGACCGGTTTGAAACTTTGCACAACAACTCCCAACAACATGTAACAGCACCGTAACTTTTAGGGAGTTATTATAACTCCAAAAATGGAGTAAAAATTTTAGGTACAGGATAACCCCTTTTTTGGGGTTATTTTAACAATCTGGGGTCCCTGAAAAAACAACATGTAACACTGTAAGGAGTTAAATTAGCCCCACTAGAGGAGTTATTATAACTCCCTGAAAATTGCAGTGAGGCTGTGCAAAAGGACGCAACAAGTAACATCCACTAATGTTGCGTCCATTTGCACATAGCTTAAGTGGACGAAGGCCATGGGACCTAGAGCTCCCAAAACAATAGGTTTATGAAGCAAAACAACAACTTTGCACGTGCATCACGCTTTTTTGTAAATTTCTTTTTCGTCCTTGTACAACTGCGACATGAAATGACCAAATTTTAGGGCCTGTGGAACATGGTTAATACGACCACCGTGGGGTTGGTTTCTTTGTTAACACGGTCTGGGGACTTCAAAATAAGAAAATGAGTCAATGTTTTTTACGTTTGGTTTGAAAGAATATGGCCGTAATAACGAGGTGGTCTTATAAACGGGGTGGTCGTAAGGTGGGGTTCCACTGTACCTAAGAACGGGACGAAATCCTATGATGTGACCACTGAACTGAAATCATCTCCACGTTGAACGCTGATTTCACTGTTTTGCAAAATTACGATTTGGGAAGTTAACAGACTGTGTTATTCAACCTTAACTTTCTTCATCTTTTTTTTTTTAACTTTATGGTAGTATTCTGTTGTGATTATTTCATGTAAATATATCAGTGCCAGCACGGGGCAAGTACGTTTCAATCAGAAGCCTGACTGCATCACACGAGTAACGCCCCGTTTATATGAGGAACACGTACCCCGGGTAGAAAGGTCTCCATCCCAACCGAATCAACTTTAGTGAGCGTTTATATGAGAAAGAAGCTGACCCCTTTGCCCGAGCCAACATTGCTCGTGTTTGTTCTTTGTCTCAAACAGCGCTCACGCATGCTGATTGTCTCGCTTTGACTGGGCGAGCCAAAGTGCTTATCCAGTGGAACCCCGTTAATACGACCACCGTTGGGCCATAAAATCCTGGTCGTAATAACGAGGTGGTCGCATTAACGGGGTCTTCAAAATAAGAAAATGAGTCAATGTTTTTTACGTTTGGTTTGAAAGAATATGGCCGTAATAACGAGGTGGTCTTATAAACGGGGTGGTCGTAAGGTGGGGTTCCACTGTATGGAGAAAAGTTGGTCCGACTAGGAGGGTGTCCCTACCATCCGGCAAGGCAGGTCACCCTTCTAACCGAGCCAACTTTTTGTTTCTCATGTGAACAGTTCGCCTGTATTTCTTAGGATAAGTATGAAAGGGGAGCTCGGTTAGGCGGTGGAACAACTTTTCTCCAGATAAACGTGGTCTAGAAGCCTTTCTTTCTAGACTGCGACTGACTGCGAGCAGTCTCTTATTTTCTTCAAATTCACTGACTCAGAAGTAGCTCACTCGAGCGGCGACCTGCAAGAAACAAGGGTGTGAGGATAAGAGCGTGTTCCTACGTGCTTACTGTCTAAGAACTCAGCGGATTTAAGAGAAAAGGCGGACTGCAAGCAGTCTTCTTTCTTTCTGACCAACGCACCATGATGGAGTAATGCCAGTCGCGTTCCGCGCGTGTTCTTCCTTCGCTGAAACAACAACCTTGGCCTTCTGAGTGACTTATTGTAAGTTGTTGAATACAAAAAAATGATAGCCGATTCGGAAGGTGGTAATCCTATATGATCTTTTAATCCACTAAAGCTTATATTTCTCATATACCAGAATCTTGAATTCATTTGCATACCTCTTTAAAAGCGAAACCAACTCAATCAATCAATCAAACTTTATTTATAGAGGGTAACACATAGTTAGAAAACTAATGAACTTGTGGCCCTCTTACGTATTATCTCTGTCGCAATATCGACGACGCGTACGTGCCTTCCTGTAATGGTTCTTTTTCCTTGATTAAAGTTTTGCCTCGGAAGAGACAAGTTCTTTGGCCGAATCGAACCTTCCTCTGACTTAACCTTGATTCTTGCCTTTAAAACCCCTTGTTTGTATTTATCGGGCCCTCATTGATGTTATGATCCTATTTCTCAACAGTCATAAAAATAAGCTTTTTGTGATTAAATTTTTTATTATGTATCATTTATTTCGTATTTTATACAGGTAAATGAGCACCCTGTTTTGTTTGTTTTTACACCTGCAGTTAAAACCTTTGACAATATCAAACTCAAAACTTCTTTCTTCCCTGATTTCGAGGAGCCAGTTTCAGGAGAATTCTTGCAGTTTATTCGTACTGATTTTGTGCACAATATTAATGATTCATGCAAAATATTATAGATCATGACGTTTGACGATAAAGCTTAAAGATGTCCATAGTGAAAACGATGAGGTAATAACCGGCTTGGCTTCGATAATAAAAGTAAAAGTAAAACTGACACCTGGAACCATAAGAGTTGTGCGACGTTCGTTGCCTGCAGCAAATGGATTTTGGAATTTTTGTCGAAGTCCGACTTTGGCCACCTCTGGGCGTACCAAGGGTTATAGTTGATCAAAGTTGAGTTCACAAAGTTGAGCTCACCATTTAAAAATGCCGTCAGGCACCCATGAAATTATTTTATTTCATGACTGGGCCCATTCCAGCTGCGCTCTTAAGTCCCCTTTATTGTCGGAGGAGAAGAAAACTATCAAAGGCTGCCACTAAAAAAGCGGTGAAATAAACTTTTTGGCTTCGTGGCAGGCGTTCATGGCGATTCACCAATGAACTTCCCCATGTAAGGGATCTTGGATTCTGGATTCTACGCCGTGGATTCCGGATTTAGGTACTGGATTCCAGTCTTTGTCATTGGAATTTGGATTCCAGATTCTAAACGTTAGTGGGATTTCGGATTCCTTAAGTTGTATCCCAAAGCCCAGGATTGCGGATTCCACGAGCAAAAATTTTCCGGATTTCCCTTACACGTGGCGAAATGAAGTTCTCGCGCGCGGCTGATACCGGAAACCATACTGACTAGCAAAAATAGCAACGGTTGATGTAAATAAACATCAATTTGATAGTCAGTGTCGCATACTACACTCATGGACTTTGTTTTGTTTGTGTTTCTTTTCTAAAAAATCGATAATCGTAGTCGGTTTACTAAGGGAATAAAATTAAGGTTTTTCAAAAGGCTTGTTGGTCTTTTCTGGGCAGTTAGCAAAGTACCCTTTTGCGGGTGGGCTGGATACCGACTATTATAGAAAAACTACTGGTGCAATCTGTAGAACATTCACTACAACACACTTTTCAAGGAACATTGTATTGTAGCAATAAGCCTTAGTCGAACTGTAATCAGCAGTTATCCAGTTATCCGGCTAGACTGTAAAAGGCGCCCATTGAGCTTATTTTGATATATTTTTTTTCAATGGGATTTGATTTCGGCGTCTCAGCATTGACTGAATCCAGTATTTAAGTAACCCTAGCTATATATATATGACAGAGGTCGGCTTCTTTTAGTATAGGGATTCTGGCTTGAAGGCTGTATTAAGCATTTGCCAAGACTGACAAAATAATTATTATTTTAAAATGATAATTTATTAATTTCTATTGCACAATTAGAAATGTAAAAATTTTCAATTGTGCATTAAAATGACAAAAAAAAAATAAACAAAAATTTCGAAATGACTAGCTATAGCAAGCTATAAAAAATGTAGACATAAAATGTATATAAAAATAGAACGTAGATTTAAAAAGCTTTCCCAGTAAAAAGGTGTTGAAAGCTTTCTTGAACTTTGCACAGAGTTGATGTTCCTTATCATAATCCTTAATGTAATAAATGGAAGATCGTTCCGTAGTTTATGAAGGTTAGCGGCGGCCACAGGGAAAGAACGATCCAAGAGCGTGGCGGCTATTTCCGAAATGTTTCGTCTGAAACTGAACTTGGCACTTTTTTTTTGTGAACGTTTTTTTTACCTCCACATGGAGTTTATTACATCATCTACAGTTTCTAGTTTTATTTGTTTCTTCCCGGTAACAGAGGGGAGTCGGCGTGTATTGGCGATGACGGAGCTTTGGCGAGTTGCCTTTTTAAGATATTTCAGGGCCGCACTCTTACCGATCGACGCTTTTTTGTCATCTCACGGCTCTTTTTCTTTTCAAACAAAATATAAAGAATTATTCGGAAATTATTATTTCTGGAATTATTTGAATGTACAATATCGTATGTTCAATATATGAAATATAACCAGGAGCCTCCTGATATAACAAATTCCTCAGTTTCTTGAGTGACTATTGTTGACGGATTATGAAAGGAAGTGAATTCTTAAAATTCATCTTTGCTTCCAATTATAGATTTTTCTCGTTACGTGTATGAACCCGGGGGGGTGGGGGGGTACTTGGGTTAATTATAGTCTATTCAGTGACCAATTATAGACTCCATATTAGTCACTTTTGGGCAAATATGTAATTTTCGCGATCCCAGCTTAGCCACTCTCTATTTTTATGAAGTGACTCATTTTTTAAACTGAATGAAGAACACTTTACTTTTCACCTACAGTACAAACCTTCTGGTGCGTTTGCTAACCGTAAATATGAAGAACTGTCTTACCCCAAAAAGTCCGAAATGTGCGACCCCATTCTAGTACTCTATTGAAAATAAGACCCCATTATAGTCAATCCAGTCGTGAAAATGCGACCCCATTCAGCGGCACATCCTCATTAGACTCTTATAAAGAAGTAGCCCCCCCCCCCGCCATAAAGGCGGAGCTGAGAAGGAAGAAGAAGAGGTCGAAAAACTCTGAGAATATCACATTGATCGAGACCGACATCCAAAACTTCAAATTCTGTAGGAATAAATGGTTAGCATTTTGAACTATTGTAAGGCTAGCTAGAATCTCTATCAAATCAAGGTTTTTTTTTTTAAATTACGATGAAACAATTGAGTTGTTGAAAGGTGGCTGTTGGGAAACCCCATGCAGTGCGTTGTTCTGTCTACTCAATTCTCGCGCCAAAGCGAGGCTTGTTAGTTGGTATATAACCATTGGCCGTACCAGTCGCGAGCACATGCTTTTTGTAAACACCACGAGGAGAGAAGTTGTCGCTGTATTAACCGGCCAAAAACTGGTTTATATCCTGTGAATATGGAAAAGAGTACGCATGGGGATATGGATTCTACCGAAAAGAAGTTGATCGAGAAGGGAAATGAGGCAAACGGGGAAGAAAACGGTGACTCAAGTGGCAGCAATTCTGCAGTTGTCGAGATACAGGATGAACGCGAACAGTGGGGAAAGAAAACAGATTTTTTGCTTTCCTGTATCGGATTTGCCGTCGGTTTGGGAAATGTTTGGCGTTTCCCCTATCTCTGCTACGCCAATGGTGGAGGTAAGAAAGCAGGCTACGTTACAGCGTGTATTTAACGTGTTGTGTTTGGATCATGTGAATGACCTGAATGAACTCAGTCCCTGGTGAAATTTTTTGATGTTTGACCTGTTTCCTTGTGTAGATTTAAACACACTAAGGCATTCGCCATAATAACTCAAAGCTTCAAACAATACGATTTCACTTATATTTCATCAGTAAGGGGAACCAGATAGGATTTCGTTTTTTACCGCCCGTGGCTGGCTATTGTAGTAAACATTTATTGAATGCAAGTCATCTGGAAGTCAAGTGTTATTGACTGTCATTATATTAACCATGCATGACCAGTTTTCGCGCGTTTTGCGAGTTTACTTTCTTGCGGGCGGCCATTTTTGCATCTGCAAAATTTGTTTTCATCACGGACATTGTATAAGCTATTTCCTTTTTACTTTTTTTCGGACAATGGAAATGACTTTGTTATTTCTTGCCCGAATGTAATCGTACCAGCGAATCTCATTTTGCCAACATCTTTTTTGACGCGGAATGATGTTTTATTAACGTGGCTGGTAAACTTCACATGCCAAGGTGGTCTTACAGAGAAAATAACTCGTGTGGGGGTGTTTTTTTAAACCTCTTTTTTTTTACCGCGATTTCAACGCCCCCAGAAAACCGTGTTTGGGTTTAATAAAGCTGGGTGAACTTTGAACATCATCACCAGTTTTCAGGATTATCGGTCAATGTCCATGATTTATTTGATACCACGAGACCTTTGCTACATATGTTTAACACGGAAATACTTTCCAGATCCCACCCTCCCAAGGATATCTATTTTATTGTGATTACATGTTTTGATTTTACACTGTTGTCTTGCCATTAATCACTTGTCTAGACATACGCTGTTAAAAATTCCGAAATGAAAAAGATCACGATGGATCACGGTGGTTGGATGTTTATGTCGAGCACAATTTCTTTTCTTTTGAGTCCCCAGTTGAATTGTGCCTCCTACTAGATCAATCTCTATCCACTAAATTTGTTTTATCATATATTCCTAATGAGCCTGTTATGTAATCTGTTTACCTCGATATTTGACAATGCACCATTCAATGGCTAAGCCTATACGATATGTCAACATGTACACTACATTAAACAATAAGTGGTTACGTGGACTTAAACCCATTCAGTAGTTGTCCAGTGATTATAATAGGACCAGGTCTACAACAAGTTTATAGTTCAGGACCAGAAACCCATCAGTTTCTGTCAGGACTTAGTTTGTTTAGAAAATTGAAGACTTCGTAATGGAAGCTTCCTTTATATATATTGTCTGTCAGTTTTGTAGAAAACATTTCTTTTTTGCTTTGCTAATCCCAAGACCACTACTAATTTCTATTCCATGTTTATAAAAGAAAACTATGAGTGTAGTCTGAGAACACATGATTGAATTTGTAAATATTATCTGTGTGCAGGCAAATGATCAGCCCAGATTGTAAAGCTGAAGTATTAATGCATGTTAAAGTGCCAGTAATATTATTGAGTACATAATTTATGCTCTGGTTTACCCAATAAAATGCTCCACCTTAATGCTCAGTCACCCCTCCCCTCCCCCCAAAGAAAAAATCTCTCAAATGGTTGATAATGCTCAACTTTGAGAGACTTTTTATTAATTCTAAGCATTTTCTAAAACAAACTGTAAAAGTGTGTTTACATGTAAGGCAAATAGAAATGTATAAGTGGTATGACAACAATGTTTACAAGATAAAAGTTTTTACACAGTGAAAAAATGATCCTGTACACCATTTAAGGTGAAATGTGAATATTATTTTGAATTTTGAGTTTAAGTCATCATATCTCTTAAAAAATGTGTCAATTTATTTTCTGTGACAAAAAGGCTAATTTTACAAAAAAAATGCCACTAAAATTGGTGAACAATGCTTAAAATACTTTTGCCTCACTAAAATGCTCAAACGAATGCTAGCGTAATATACAAAAGCCAAACGTAATACCTATTTAGGTCGACCCAAACTATTAAGTTCAACTGTTGATTCAGATGGTCGAACTTTACATGTGCCAAACCTAATTCGCGGCGAAAACAAATATCATCCTTACTGCTTAAAATAGGGAAATAAACTGAAAAAAGATAATTCATTAAGTCTGAAAATTCTTGTTTTGATTTTAGTGTGATTTGTGTTCTTTCATTGCAAGGAGTGAGCCGAGGAGATCGTGATCACATTGACATTTGGACAAAATAAAGAAACGCCATAAATTTTAAAATATAGTAGGATTTCTTTATCAATATAAAGAAAAGCAACTTTGTAGAAGACCATTTTAAGCTGTCCAGTTTCAGTAAAAAAATCGACAACAAGAATGCTGGTTAAGTCATTACGCTTCTGTGAGTTCTGTCCACACAGGCATGAAAACTCACTATATAGCCAGTCAGAAGTGCGGTTAGACGATGATTTATGAATTAGGTTCGGCGCATATGAGTTTCAATGAATGAATCGAAGTTGATCTTTTGCCGTTCTATTCGACAAGCTCAGTTGAATAGAATGGAAGAGGTGACTCAAATACAAAAGTGTCGTTCCTAAATGATTCATACGTCGAAGTTAACATGTGACAAACCTAGGTTCGGTACATGTAAAGTTCGAAGTGGCTTTGCAAGTTACCTTGATTTGGTGAAAAGCGTTTTTATTAATGGATTGTTTCTCTCCATACATACGTATACCATAGACAAAACCCATCATGGCTAGAAACTACAGTATAGATGTTAAAAGTTTCAGAATATTAAGTTGAGACTTAAGGTTTGAAAATGCCTCATTTGTTTTGTTGTGCTATCAAGATGACATTATTGTGTAAAACCTACTTCAAACCTCTATTTAAGCTTTTTCCTGTCCTGAACAATCAAAAAGAACCCTGGTGTGATATTAATGTGAATGCCAGTATTATGTTGTTTTTAATTTAGCATTTTATTATTTTTTGTGTTTGCAAAAGATGAAACTTTTCTTTGGAAGTTGTTAAAAAGTGTGACCAGTTAAGTTATTAAAGCATGCTTTTATGGTGGAATATTTTTGGTTTTGAGGTTTTTATTTGTTTGTTTATTCATAGGAGCTTTCCTCATACCCTATATAATTTTTCTTATACTGTGTGGAATGCCAATGTTTTACATGGAACTGGCTGTTGGACAGTACTTCAGTCTTGGTCCGCTTGGATCATGGGGAGCTGCCTGTCCGTTGTTTCAAGGTAATCATTTTGCATGTACCTATCACCTTTTTGTGTTTGTTTTTGTCCTGTAAGTTTATTGAGGGTATTACTTAAATGTTAAAGGGAAATCTTTACTTTCTGATCTTAGCAAATAACCCAGTGACAGTACCAATGTGAGTCTTTTTCTTTTGCTAAGTTATCTGTAAAATACTTGTTGGCTATTGTCACCAATTTATCCTTCATTCAAGATGCCCCACCAGAGTCAGGAACAATGTAAGGATTGATAAGTGCAGACAGATAAAACTAAGTTCAGAACCAAGCACTTTTTCACTCTCTTTTGATTCAAAATTCACCCACTACCACCTTCTCCTCCTATGCACCCCTCCCCCACAAAAAAAGGAACTAAAGAAATGAAACAATATTGATCTTGTAACATTACTCTCTACCAGGGGTTGGATTTGCCAGCATGATGGTTTCTTTTCTTGTGAGTGCTTACTACAACATCATCATAGCCTGGTGCCTTTATTACCTGTTCTTGTCCATGAAGAAGGAGGTTCCTTGGAAATCTTGTGGTAATTGGTGGAACACTGACAATTGTTTAGCAGGCCGTATACCAGATAAAACCAGCTGTTCTGCTTTTACAAATAACACAGCAGCTATTGCCAATGGTACTGCTGCGCTTGCTAATGCAACATTTTCAAACTGCAGTAGTAATACAACATTAGAAGACAATGCCTCACCATCTCTGGAGTTTTGGCAGTAAGTACATTTTCTAGTATTCAATGTTACAGTAGCAGACTTGCATGTATCTTTAGAATTTGCATCCCCCTGGACCCAAATTTCAAGTGACTGCTATTTTTGGTCATTGATTTTGTTGTTTTAGGGCCCAAGGTTGTGCAATCTCTGTTTCCGGTCTTGTTTCTTTTCTGTTACAGACATTATGTCCTACGTTTGACCGACAGTATTGATGATGCAGGAGTTTTCAGATGGGAGATATTACTTTGTCTAATTGCAGCATGGGTTATAGTGTACTTTTGCATGTGGAAAGGGGTCAAATCTTCTGGAAAGGTAAATTAGAGAAGAAAAGTGATGAAGTCACAAAAACTAAATTTGTGAAATTATGGGATTGGTTGGCATACCCAGAAAGAACAAGATGAAAAATGTTCACTGGTCAACCCTTTAAGCCCCAGTATCCACATACAAATTCTCCAAACATTTCCATACATTTACTTAAAGAATTAGTTGAGAGAATTTGATGATAGATCAAGGCATTTTCTCTTGGGTGATCATTTTATTAATTATCATAACTTATCTCTTGACAGTGTATGGATCTTGTTAGGAGAAAATTGATCTTGGTCACTATTGGGACTTAAAATCAGCCTGTTGGTGTGAATTGGTGGTGAGATGTAAGCAATGTTATGCTCCGATTACTCCATACAAGTTCTTCTAAAATAGGCCCGGATCATTAATGTTATGGTCCAAGCTAATTTTAGAGAGATTTGTAAGGAGTCATCGGGGCAACCTGGTGCTTATATCCCCTCGCCAATTTGCACTAACCGGCTGATTTTTGGCAAGGGGGCTTTCTCGTCTTGTACTTTCTGGATATGCTAACCAATCCCATAATTTGCACATGAATTTTTGTCGCATCACACTTCTTGCTAATGTTAATTATAAAAATAAACTGTTATACAGTTCATGTGAGACCACCTCCCATAAACGACCACCTGTCCAAAACACTGAAATTTTCCCATTGAAATCCCTGCAATCAGAACCTCTCGTGAATGAGCACCTCTCATAAGTGACCTCGACCAGGGTTTGGCCCAACATTTATTGCTTCCATTGTTTTTAACCTTTTTGTAAGGGAACACTTGACACATAATGTGGTCTTTGTTCACTGTATGTGCTATGCCCCCAGCGTGTAACGAGAACTTTCAGTGACAACATGTAACTATACTTATATGTAACTTAGAAATTGCATGCAGTAATTAATTGTCTTCCAAAAAGTACATGTGTTGGGAAGAGGCCCCCTGTTGTTGATTCTTGTTAGCTACCACTACAGTTCGAAAACAACCATGTTGGGTGGTTGCTTTCGAGAGGTTTGACTGTATTAAATATTTGTTCTCTTGTTCACAGGTTGTGTACTTCACTGCAACCTTTCCTTACATTGTTTTGTTTATCTTGTTCATCCGTGGTGTCACACTTCCAAATGCAAGTGAAGGCATCATTTACTATTTGAAGCCTGATTTTGCACGTCTCAAGGACCCAGCGGTAAGATCATAAGCAGATTTTGAAATTAATGGGTGTCCAGTCATCATGGATGACCAGAATTTGACACTGACGACCAAATCACAGATCATGGTTGCCCCTTGGACAATAGAATTAAGCTGCCCTTTACCTAAAGATACATGTATGAATGATTATTATAAGAACCCCAAATTATTTTTCAAAGTTGATATTTCTGCTTGATAAATGGCACATTGTAATAATTATCAATCCATTTGTTTACGATGCGTATGTACATGTACACAAACATTCGTATTGTCTGCCATCCTGTTTTGTGTTTTGCTGTTGTGCATGAACACCCAAGCTCCAAGACGATTCCCAGTTTTACATGCCATATTATGGCGCATTCACCCATGTGGATTTAGCACATCTGGCAAAACCAGCGTGCTGGATGCCAAGTAAACAAAAAGAAGAATCAACTCTTTCTGAAAAAGAGACTTGGGAGGAGGTTTCAACCATTGCCTTGGCAAACAAGAGAACTCAAACAGAGGCAGGACACTCTGAACCTTAACAAAATGCACTGGTTTAGAAAATTCAGATGCAGTGGGATATATTTATTTAGCTATTGAATTAAATACTCACTATGCCATGATTGTGTTAGTAAGCCTCTAGTATTTTTCTCATAATGTACATTACAGTTCAGTTCACTTCAGTTTATTCACACTTATAATATTTACACTGTATAGAATAGGAATAAAATAGCAAATAAGAGAAAAAAGAAAAGAAATAACTAAATGGCTTTGATAGAAGTGTACGGTGGTCAGAGGAGCTTAGTTTTCGAGCTAACCACCTCTGTATTATGAATGAAAAAACTTAATATGTGCTTTAGGTACCATGGCAAATACGCACGATAATGTGTAACAGTCATTTATATGTAGTCAACTTTGAGAGTTACGCAGATTTCATTAATTGAACTGGTAGTAGTTGAGTGTTTTTACGTTTGTAGGAATCTCTTACGGCAAACTTAACTGTGTGTTTGCCATAATTTGACCTTATACGTGGCGCAAGTTTTGGCTTCTAGTTCACCTTAGTTTTATTTGGCACCGAGATTTCACCTTGGATGCTTACAGCTGTATATGGTCCCTCACTCTCCTCTCTTTACTTGTCCTTGTCCTTCACCCCATAGTATTTTGATTCCCTCTACCCAAAGCTATTCAGTTTACATCACATCCCAATCCAACTTTTTTCTAATGAATATCTAACATATTATGTCTTCAAGAATTCCTTGCGTTAGATTTCTATTTTCCTTCTTTTGGACCTGTTAATTTAGAATACTGAGTTTGAAAACAAAGGATAGTGCCATAAAAAATTACCATGCAAAAATACAGCATGTCACTTATTTATTTGTTGCAATATTATTGCAGTTTGAGAGCCATGTTTTCTGTTTTGGTTTGTCTTAGGTGTGGGTGGCAGCTGCTACTCAGATTTTTTACTCGCTTGGCATTGGGTTTGGTTCTTTGGTTACGATGGGAAGTTACAATAAGTTCCATAACAACGTGTTCAAGTGAGTGAAAGTTTTTTGACCATTTTAACTAAGAGCCGATCCACACCTGGAGACAAATTGGGAATTGTCTTTGAAACATCTAAACCAAATATTGTATGGTGACAATGTTTATCTGCAGTGGAAACTATTAATTTTTTCTTAACAGGGCCTTACATCTGACAATACTTGCATTTTGTTAGTGGAGAGAATAATGGCTTTACAACAAATGATTGACAAGAAAAACACATTTTCATTCATTGAATTGATTTTGTCCAGTTTTTACGCAGGACAAATTTTGTCTGCGGTGCCAGTTTGAAGATTGTCCTGGCTCAGACAAAATTTTGTTAAATTAGGACAAACCATCTGCATTTGTTAAGCGTTGGTGATGACAGAAAATTTGCCTAAATAAACAGCTTTTTTGCTAGTGCGGATAGTTTTTCTTATTGCCGTTTTGTCTAATGTATGGTGTTGTTTTTCATGACTAGAGATGCCATGATGATTTCGTTGATCAACTGTGGAACGAGTGTTTTTGCTGGCTTTGTTATCTTTTCCACCCTTGGTTTCATGGCTGGAGAGCTCAACAAAGACATCACAACAGTTGCAAGTTCTGGTAAGTTTTACCGGTAACTGCATAGTGTGTTCAAAAGAATCAGTAACCTTTACCTGTACCCTTAGTTTTGTGAAGTAGAATCTCCTGAAGATGAAATTGTGACATATGTGAAAACTTCTCTTCAAAGGACCTGGACTGGCTTTTGTGGTGTATCCAGAGGCTATAGCGCAAATGCCAATTTCTCCGTTGTGGGCTATCCTGTTCTTCTTCATGCTGCTGACTCTGGGTTTGGATAGTCAGGTACAAAAAATAATACACACCCTATTCCAAAATGTTGGCAACTTGAGTAATTCTTTTCACAATAATTGGCCCTCATTGTCTTATTTCAAGGTAAAAGCTCTTTTGAATTCAGATGCAAGTGATTCAAGAAGGAGGAATAACATAATTAACATAAATATTAAAAGAATTAAAATAGAAAAAAAATAATTCTTTTATATTTATGTTAATTATTATTGTTCATTAATAATAATAATTGTAATATTGCTGCCATTTTGGAAAAGGGTGTATATGGCTAGTTGTTTTAATGTTTTGATTCTTTACAGCTACCTAAAGTTTCTTAACATTTATTATTAAGTTTTACACTCAGCAACGTTATCTTATTAGGGGGAAGGTGCCTGTTTAACTAGTTGTAAGCTGTAAAACTGACTTTCTTTGCACCCTGGACTTAACAGTTTGTTTCCTTGTGGAGTAATAAACTATCCAGATTCTTCATAATTCATATAAGAGTGCTGCAGTATTGCCAGTAATTTGTTTCAGTCTAGAATATGGTTAATCACTTTTCTTTCCTTCTAGTTTGGCATGATGGAAGCGGTAATCACAGGATTTGTTGATGAGTACCACATTCTCAGAAAACGCAAGGAACTATTCATCTTGGTTGCTTGTATCATTTGCTTTCTACTTGGCCTGCCGTGTGTAACCCAAGGTGGAGCATATGTTCTAAATCTGTTTGATTACCAGTCTGGAGGTGTTTCTCTTCTGTTTTTGGCTTTCTTTGAGACTGTAACCTTGGCCTGGATATATGGTACAGACAAATTTGCTCTTGACATTGAGAAAATGATTGGATGCCGGCCAGGACCATGGTGGAGGTTTTGTTGGAAGTTCTTTGCACCAGCCATCATGGCTGGAATCTTTTTGTACAGTACTTCACAGTGGGCTGGAGTCTCCTACGGTGATTACAAGTATCCACCTTGGGCAGAATTTATAGGATGGCTTCTTGCTTTGTCATCCATGCTTCTGATTCCTGGAGTTGCCATTTGGCAGTTGTATCGCACTCCTGGCACATTCATGGAGGTAAGTGCTCCGAAATTGTGATCTGTGATCCGTTCAACAGAATCACTAGCGACACTGCATGGTCATAAATTATATGACTTGCTTCCTCCTTAACACAACAGGGCCCTTAGAGACAGGGACCATGACTTCATATTCCTTAGAGTGAAAACTGTGCTTTTGTAAATTAAGATATCTTTTTAGTTTTATTTCTTGATATCCTTTTGTAATTTACGTTTTGGAATTTTGTAATACATATATATATTTATTTTATTACTGATTGTAAAGCCACACGTATGTTGTGTCTGATCTCTTAATTATGAAGACCTGTACTACTTTTGAAGTGTTAAAGGAGCTATGTCACAGTTTATGGTGCAGAAGTTTTCAAGTTTTTTTGTTTGTAATCTCTGGGAGTTTCCTCCATCCCACACCATCTTTAGTCATTAATGTCACTTGCTGTTGAATAGGACACAAATTATGCACAAGGACAAAATGGAGCATAGCTTTTTTATTTACATGGTTATCAAATTTTAATATGCTCTTTAAGTTCCTGCTAACAAAAATTTTCCCAAAGCGAAGTGTTTTTGTGTTTACAGAAAGTTGAACACGTGATCAACTTTTACAAAAGGCCTGTTCTAAAGTAAGGAGAAGGGGTGAACCACTGTTGCTCACCCAAGATAATAATAATATGATCTAAATTTATTTAACAAATAAAATAATATGAAATATTCATATTAATATATACCTTTTGCTTTCTTTTTGCTATTAGCGACTCTATATATGCTTAAAACCAGACCCTGTTATCCAAAGGGAGATAGAAGAGAAGCAAGGTCTTGAACATAAAGTAGAACTTGTTAAAGTGTAAATAAAAAGGTGAGAAGTTTGGTTCTTATTTGCATCATCTTGTTTCCAAAAACCACTGCCTTCTTAGCAGTATTGATGCTTTTGTGGTTACCTTGCCATTAACAACTGCATCGCTAAAATGGAGATTGGGTGCCTGAAGTATCCAGGGGCTTCCACTATTGGCAACCAGCCCCTAGATTGAAATAATGCCCCCATGACTGGCACAACAGCGCAACCCAGCCATGAGCCCCCACACCAAAGGAAAGGAACGGGCACCTGTCACACTGAAAAAACATCAGTGGAGAAAAAACCCAACAAGCCTAGGGGGAGGGCGGGAGGGGACGAAAATGGCCGACAGAACCCAGCACGAAGTGAAAACTGAACGCGCCAAGGAATCACATGATCGATGTAGCCAGCCACCGGGCATGTGCATGCCAAAGACCGCTGACCTAGGCACCCAATCGATCTTAGTTGTTAACTCCTTTAAATTGCATTTAAATGCATACAACAGGCAACACAACTAGAATAATGTATGTTCCCACCATGTATTCTCATGTCTGTTTTGTGGTATTTTGCAGGTTCACAATATAAAATGTAATAATGTTTATACTGTTTCCGTACTCTGCTTGTGTAAATAAAGATCAAGAGTGATGAAGAAATCGTGACCTGTACACCAAGTCTTCAAGGTGATCAGATCTCAAGACTCTTCCTTTCACTCCTAAAGACATTACCATGTTATTGGTAACAGTGGTATGCCATTTATACTCATGGAATAAAGTGGCAGCCGCACCATTGCTTCCATCCTCAACAGCTCTGAAATATCACTAAAGAACTTAAGTTGTCTTCATGGGAGATTGTGTTCATAAAATTTTGAGAAGAAGAACGTTGGTTAATGGTTTCCTGTGTTGTGTATATAGCAGACAGGAATTTGCATCGAGTGCCACACTAGCAGAGTTTGGTGGGTGGCAGATGTGACAGAGGGGACGGGGAGTGGAAAGAAGTCCTTGGTACTCCATGGACCCTTCCTCTTACCCCATGTACACTTACCCCCTTTCACAAAATACCCCTTGTGAGCCTGCAATCACTTCCTAGATTTGGCTGCCTTTGTTCAAAAATTAAAATGGTTTCCAATCTTTTTCACTCCTCCAGCAGATAGTCATTTGACTGGGGATAGTGCTATCCAGGTCTTATTCGACGAAAGACAGCTCTTGAACTGTAGGATTGAGGAGTATTTAAAATGCAACATACTTAGGTTGGCTCTATAAAATGTTTCTTGTAATCTCATATAATGTAAGATGGGTATGTTCAGACTCAAGTAAGATGGAAGTAATATTTTTGTTCTATGAGTCTCACTACAAAGAAAAGGAAATACAGTGCTGGCACGGTTCATCAGTAACATACCTTTTTTGTGCTTTTACGTCAAGACCCTATGAAACGAGATTATGGTGATGTTCGAATTCTTCAAGCCTTTTTTCTGTCGCATTGCTATAATAAGGACTGCCTTTATGCTATTTTGCCTGAAGTTTATCTCCTAAATTAGCTTTTTGCAGCCTCAAGTATCAGTTGGTGTATGTTTTTGTACAAAATGAAAAGAATTGTGTTTGGAGTTGTATATAAGGTCATCTTTTCAGGATGTAAGGAAAGTAAGTTTTTCTAGTTTGTCTATCAAGTAATTAATTTGGATTTACTAATCCAAAAGGCATTCTCGACACTTTTCTCAATTTCTGGAAAAAAATTATGGAGACACAAAATTTTGTTCTTTCGAGTCCATGAACCAAAATAAATAATGTTGTGCTGTTACCATTTTAAAAAATATTTCTTTTTGACTCTACTTCCACGACGTACTTTTTCTCTTTCACTATGTCATTTCATCAAACCATTGATTATAGAGAGATATTTATATTAAAAAAATTGTATTCATCACCTGTAGGTCGGATGTAGTTTTTGAGGGAGCAAGCTCAGTATTTTCTGCAGTTGTCAGCTTTGCCTTCGAAAGCAGAGGAAGATTAGAGAGATTAAAAACTGTGATTGAACCCAAGCAAATTCTTGTGCTCGCCCTCTTGTCCCGTAACGATTGCCAACCCCCCACCCACCCTGAGCCCCCACTCACTACATGGTAGGAAATAGTAAGTGCTTCATGGTGCTGTATTTGGCCTCACCTGGGCCCCTATCCTGGATCCGCCATTGATTACAGAGACCTTATTCTTATGTTGTTTTACGAGAATAGTGAATGTTCCATATGGAAGTGGTGGCCAAGCGGTTTGGTAATTTTACTACTGCAGAAAATACTGTGTAACTCTTGTGGGGGTAATATATGAGATATGAGTGATTAATGTTTGAATTTGTTACACTTGTTTAGTTCCGATTTTGATTCCAAACGTAATTTTTGTGAAGGTGGAACTGGCCTACAAGCTAAGAATGGCCTTTTGGAAATTAATCAAATGGTTTGGCTTTGAAAGTCCGCAGTCCATTTGCCGGTTCATTCAAAACGTCTCGAATGAGAGCTATTTTTTCTTTGTTCCAAAGTTTACAATGTCAGTTCAAGTTTGTTTTCTTACTGGTTGGACTTTTTTCTCTGTGCTGTACTACTATACTTATTAGCTTCAATAAAAATGACAATAACAAATTGCATAGCTACAGTAAGTGAATGAATATAATAAAGTTATATATACTCCAATAAAACTCTGTGGTCTTTTTTGTGTTTACTTGAAAGTCAAACAATTGCGATGGTGGGTGGAGTCCACTTAGAGAAGAAAGAAAGGTGGAGAAGAAGGAACAGATGGCTTTGAATACGCAGTTTGCATGTTACTAGTACATTATTGGAAAAACCTTCCACACAATTAGTGTAGCGGTCACTTCTTAAATGGTAAACGGAATGTCGATTCCCCGTTCCAAAAGAGATGAAAAGGAGATCGTCGCCTTTCATGTGGGACATACAAGAAGCTCAAACAACCACGACAGTGAATTTGCGCTGTTTCAAACTTATTCCACTACGTTTAATCCGTCAATGTTCGCGAATTTTTCCGGATTTGATTTCTTAAGGGCTGTATCCACCTTTAGGGAAAGAAAGAAAAATAGTTGTCTTGTGTTAAAGCACGACGTTTAACGTCGTAGTCGTGCAGTGTTGTTGTTTTGCTTATGAAATTCGCTGTGGCCATATGGCCGGAAACCGGTCAAGGTTTTCAAAACACTTAGTGACCGGCAGTCCTATATTCGCAATAAATTTCAGAAAACGAAACCATGTTTTGTCACACTTAGAACTTTTCTTAGCTTCCCTCTTTCCTCTTTCCTTTTTCCTTTTTCCTCTTTCCGCTTTCCTTTTTCCTCTTTCGGCTTTTCTCTTTCCTCGCGTTTCAGGATCGCTTGACTTTTTTTACTAATTTCTTAGTAATCGACATATGATAGTTTAGATTAGATGGATTTTTTCGATTTGTCAAATTTATTGAGAATATAGGACTGCCGGTCATTTAGTGTTTTAGAAACCTTGACTGGCAGTCGACCTGAAAAAAGTTCTAAGTGTCACAAAACATGGTTTTGTTTTCTGATCCCAGCGTAAACCAAACGCTAGACTTGAGATCTAGTATTTCAGGATCGCTTGACTTTTCTTAATCGACATATGATAGTTTGGATTGGTTGGGATTCTTAGAGAAGTCAAACTGATTGAAAATACCGGACTGCTGGTCATGTTACCGGCCATATAGCCACGGCGTATTAAATTTATCGCTTTTTTGGCGTTCTTGTCGCCGTAGACATACCCTGCTAGCAGAGTCGCTTCGATCTTACCTTGATATCGCCCCATGTAAGGAATTCCGGAATCCGGGAAATGTTTGCTTGTAGAATCCGGAATCCAAGTTGCACTGACAAAGGTCTAGAATCCAGTAACTGCAATCCGGAATCCACCGCGTGGAATCCAGAATCCATGACTGTCTTGCATTCCCTTACATGGAGTGATGGATAAGTCGGCTCTTCCCGATTTATCTTGGAAAGATCGAAGGAGACTCTGCTCGCAGAGAGCCGTAAACGTGTCGAGAGCATAACTAAGTTAAAAGAGATAGTCCTTATTGTTAGTCAAAGAATTTCATTTTATTACGTTTGAATTATTTACACGGAAGTTTTCTTCAAAACATAACTGTATTGTTTTATTGTCGACTGTACTTGTTATGATCTCCATCTGAGAAAGAAAACAGAAAACACAATATTTGAGATCTATGCCACTTGTTTTGCCCCAGCGATTGGTGTGTGCGTATTTTTAGAGACAAAAACATCTTTCCCGGCATGATATACGTAATGTGAGAGATGATTGTGAGGTTCCTTGGACTTTCACCCCGTTTCAATACCACAGCGCAGACGATTTAACTTTGGCCCGCTGAGTTATTTGTTTATTTTACCCTAATAACACTTGATCGCTGTTGGACTCAACAAGGGGCACAGGAAATGGCTCTTATCAAATGTCTGGCACGCAATAATGTCCCAACAGCATCTTTCACCCCAGCCAAACCCTCACGCAACCAAGCGTGGCAGATGCGAGGAATTTTTCAAGGTCATCTCACCCACACGCACGTCCGTTTTTCATTTTTTTCGTCTTGTTCCGCTTTCTTTTCTAACACGTGCCTCGTGTAAGCGGGCTTTAATACCCCGCATTCTGGTATTTAAAGTACGAATGTTTCTTTATGGTCGTTTGTAGAGGAGCAAGAGTTGCGCAGCGGTGAGAGCACACGCATCTCACCAATTTGGCCCGGGTTCAAAGCCCGGCGTCGATGCCATACGTGGGTTGAGTTAGTTATTTGTCCTCTCCCTTGCTTCAAGAGGTTTTTCTCCGGGTTTTCCGGTTTTCCCTTCTCCTCAAAAACCAGCACTTCCAGATTCCAATTCGATCTTGAACGCGCGAACACATTATAAACGCGTTGTTAAGAACTTTTTAAGTGTTTCGTGGGTAAACAAATTACAACACAAATTACAAAAATTACAATTAAGTGTAAATAGGCGCAGTCTATGAAAATATTTCCTCTCTTATGAAAAAGTAAGATGGTTTGTGCCGACGAAATGTTATGAAATTTCTCTATCTAAAATCGTGGACAAAAGTCCTACGACAAAATTGCAATTTTTACAATAAACATGCCCACATCCTTTCCCAAACCCACATACAGAGTTGCCAAACCCGTATATCCAGAATTTTCTGGAATTTTCA